GTTTATGCATTCTACTTATGGACATTTGAATGTGTACTGTTATTGCTTAAAGATACCACTACGGACATGTCTTTTGGTGCACATGCACAGAGTTCTGTTAAGTATGTTTTAGAGGAGTGAAATTGTTGAGTCATAGGATGTATTGCTCACAGTTCATAGGTCATTTGGTTTTGCAAGTTTTGTATGTAACGCCAGTTTTCTAAAGTGGTTCTGTCAGTTTACACTTCCAACAGCGCCATAGGAGTTTTCTGTTGTTCACATTTTACTGGTCCTTTAACTTTGCCCACTCTGGTGGGCATGGGGAAGGGTCTCACTGTGGTTCTCGCTTGTATCTCCCTAATCAATGAACTGTGGTGGGGGGAGGCATGGATTTTTCTGTGTTCATTGACTGCTTGAATAGCCATCCTTTGGGATGGTGGTGTGTGGGAAGAAGTATTTATTCAAGTCTGGCCTAGTTTCATATTGGGTTGCCTGTAGTCTCTTTTATTTATACGAGCTCTTTAAATGTTCTAGATTGGGGCTTTTATTCTTTTTGCTTGTTTGTTTTGGCTTTTAGGTTTATTTTGTGGGGGTGAGTGTGGGTGTAATGGAGTTTGAATTCAGGGCCTCATGCTTGCTAGCAAGGAGGTTGTCTACAACCTCTCTACTCTGTGAGCCATGCCGCCAGCCCTTTTTGCTCTGGTTATTTTTGAGATAAGGTCATGCTTTTTGCCCAGGCCAGCCTGGACCTGGATCCTTGTATCTCACCCTCCCAAGTAGCTAGGATTACAAGTGTGAACCACCAGATCCAGCTGGTTTTTGGATTTTCAAGAGAAGGTCTTAGCATGTAGCCCAAGCTGGCCTGGAGCTCACTGTGTAACCCGGGCTGGTCTTGAACCAGACTTGACTAATCCTCCTGCCCAGTTCTCCTGAGTGCTGGAATTACAGCACCTGGCTTTGGATCTGAGCTCTTTAAAAATTATTAGTGTGCTGGGCGCCAGTGACTCATGCCTGTAATCCTAGCTACTCGGGAGGCAGAGACCAGAAGGCTCGAAGATCAAAGCCAGCCCAGGCAAATAGTTCTCAAGACCCTATCTTGAAAATGCCCATCACAAAAAAGGGCTGGTGGAGTGGCTTGAAGTGAAGGCCCTGAGTTTAAGGCCCAGTACCACCAAAAAACAAAACAAAACAAAACAAAACCGGGAATCTTTCTGCACCTCAAGATTGCAAAGAAATGCTCCCATATTTACCTTTCACATTAAGCTTGTCGTCTACCTGGAATTGACTTGTGTACGCCCTGAGGCAGAATCAAGTTTCATTTTTTTCCTTTGGATATCTGATTGATCCATTACTGTTATAAGAAAAGCCATCTTTCCTCTACTTCTTTACAAAGACTTTTTGTCATGAATAAAATGTCCAGATTCCTGTAGGTTTGTCTGTTTCTGGCTTCTCAGTTGTGAGTCATTTATCTTACTCCGGTTCCATATTGCACCAGTATCATCGTCATACCAATCCCCATATTGACAAATGAAGAAACTGAGGTACAAGGAAGCGAAGCATCTTGTCCAGGTGAGTTTGCAACTCGCTGGGTAATGGCAGAGCTGGAACCCAAACTGCGGGAGCTGGGCTTTACAGTCCACGCTTTCAAAAAGCTTTACAGCTTCTCAAACTGAAGAGTTCAAAGAACAAACATTTCTGTCACTACCTCGAAGCGGGCTTTGGGTGTTGTCTTGGAAACAGGGCCCCAGCCACTGCACACTGCCTGCCTCACGTCACTGAGGACAGGGTCCTGAAATGGAACAGCAGCTTCCCCATTCCACCACTAGGGGGCGCGGGTAGGTAGCTTAAAGTCGCCGCCAATCATAAATATTTACACAAAGCCCAGGTCAGAGCCAATGCAGAAAGTTGTCCAATTCAGTCTCCGCTTAGGACTTTGCCAAAAAAGAGGCAAAACAGGACTGAGCTGTCTTCTTAAAGATCTTCAGGGAAGATAATTGGCTAATTTGGCTCATCTTTGAGCCCCTCCTTAAGCCTCTGACCCTTCCTAGTTCAAGTGAGTTATCTGTAGTGAAAACAAAGCAGCAGTTTGGTATCATCATGGCACCCACTCTTCTGGAGGTGCTTGTCAATATCGAGCTGTATAGCTGTGCCATCATCAGTTCTCATTTACCTCAGAGAGAAACAGTATCCGTTCTAACCAGGTGTGGTGGCTCACATCTGTAATCCCAGCACTGCAGCTATTGAGACCAGCCTGGGCTACCTAGTGAGACTCTCTGTCTCAAAAAAATAATCAAGTGTTAAAAAACCAAAAGTGGACTTTGCACTCTAGGATTCTATCTGGTGCTAGACTTCCTTCCTGGTTATTGAATATTGCCATGTGAATATACCCAGGCAACAGCCAATCCATTCAGTAAAATAATTCATCTTTATCAACTTAATGATAGCAACACAAACCACACAGAACAATGACAATGACGCAGCAATATAGACATGCTTACCGGTGTCAGTGTGGAAAAGGTGAGTCAACACCGGACCTCTGCTTTGATTAAAGCTGTTAGATGCTCTGGGTGGACAAAGTCCACAAGCCAACATGTAGATAAAAAACAATTGATTTGTTAGGTTTGAGGCATTGATTGCTTGGTTTTTATCATTATAATTTTGTGGACTGTAAAAATGAGTCAAACCTTTTATTCATTCAATCACTTATGGTACACATACTACATGTAAGATTTAGGACTGGATTTTACAGTGAGGGCAAAATTAGATACAAATCCTGTTGTTCAGAGTAACAGTTACTGACATAGTATGAGTGCTTACTGTGTTCAAGGCACTGTTATCATTCCTGCTGTGCCTATTAAGAAAGTGAGGAACAGAGAGATTAACTCACTTGTCCAAGGTCACACAGACTAAAAGAACCAGAATTTGAACTCAGCCACTTCTATGTGCAAGAATTCAGTCTTAACCATTGCACTTCACTGTCTCTCGTGATAGCCTATTGAGATAGGAAGAGATGTGACATTTAAATCATCTAGCAAGTATTTATAGGGCTCTGATGACATGTCAAATACCACAGTAGGTGCTGGATTACAGTAATAAACAAGATAGCACAGGCTCTGCCTTTCTGGAGCTCACAGTCTGTAGATACAGTGTTATGGTGTTCAGAGAAGGGAAAAGGAAGGTTCCCTGCCTTTGAGGCTGTTTAGAAAAGAACCCCATCCTTACACTCTCTGTTCTCTTCCTACCTGGTATCAGCCTTGCAGAGATAACAGGAGAAAGAAGGAGAGGGGACAAAATGCTTCAAAAGAAAATAATGAGAGGTGGCACTGATTCACTCAGCAAACATTTGGAGAAGAGATTGAAAAATAGGGTCAGGGTCAGGAGAGGGCCCTGGATAGAGACGTAAGGTCCCTGAAAATCCAGCACTCTAGTCACTTTACTCAAATCATCTTTCAGTGTTAGGTGTCAAGCACTGACCTAGGCACTAGAAATACAGAGGAGCTGTGGCCCTTGAACTCTAGGAGTTTATGGTCTTTGGGGGCAGACAGACAATGAAGCAAGAAATTCCAGAACAATGTGCTAAGATCGGAGATGGGGGCACTATGCAGGTTCGGCCCAGACAGCAAGAAAGTGACATCTATACTAGAGATGACACAGGGTAAACTGGAATTCAAAAGGATTTGGGGTGGGGCATGTGATCTGTGCTGAGGGAACAGTTTGTACACAGCCTGGAAATGACAAAGAGCCTAGGATTTCAATGACGCTCTGGTTTAGAAAGTGGTGCCAGTTGATGCTACTTAATTGCTGACTAAATTGCTAAATTCTTTCACTGCTCATTCCCAGGTTCAGGGTGGGTTCCATCCTATTCCAGGATGGACATAGGTTCAAATTGAAAGAGGCAGCTCTCTACCTGCTAACTCCAGCACTCCAGCCTGACTGGGCTATCCTGGCCCACCTTTAACTGCTGGTATTTATAGTTTCCCCTGGTACTCAGTCAGTTAGCAAGCCCTGTGCTAAACTCCAGAAGAATCAGAGGGCCTCTCCCAGGTGCAGTTGGAGCAGTGCCCGCCACATCTCCGAAATCACACGGAATCCAGTTCCGGGCTTTGTACATAACAGTGCCATTGGGGCCACTAAACACAGACTAAAAGAAAAGAAATTCACCTGATAGCATAATTACCGTGTCAGCGCACATGCTCCACTTTCTGGCCCTACTCTAAGCCCTGTACTGATGCAAAATAAACACGGGCGCGCCTCCTTGTCCTTAGACTCTGCCACTTGCAAGCGCCAAGGATCCCAGCACAGAAGGACGTACAGCTTCGTGGGTTAAAAGCGGGCGCTTTGAAATCAGAAGACTCTGGATGGGAAAACTCTTATTAGCCTTATGATATGGAGCAAGTCACTCAACCTCGGTTTCCATCATCTGTGGGATGGGACTAATAAGAGCTTTTTCACTGACGTTTGTTAGATGAATGTAGAGGGATGAGTTGGGAATAGAAAATAAGACAGTTTGTGTGAGGAGATTATTATGTCCCCGGGCATCTAAAATGCGTTCAGGAAGTGGCAGGTGAATGAAGGAGAATGGTGTGTGACTGTAATATAGGAAGGCCGGTTGTCAGTTCTGTAAGTCACTGGCTGGAGTCATGGCAACCCTCGCCAGCCTAAGCAGCTAATTCCAGAGGCAAACTCTGAACACGTCGCGTGTAAGAGATCCGCGGTCCCTCGAGACTCGGCCCACGCCCGGACCTCGGCGAGGAGTGCCAGCCTGCGTCACTCGCGGGGCTAGCCCGCCGTTCTAGGGCTGTACGACACATGGTGGGAACGTGAGTGGGCGGGGCCGGACCGGCGCTGCTGGGCCAATCGGCCGCCGGAAGGTTCTCAGCCAATGATAGGGGTTCTCCCGGGCTCTGAAGGCGTGGCCACAGAGAGGAGCGGCGGTGTCATAGGTTGCTAGGCGGGCTGTGGGCGGGGCCCTCGGCGCCGTGGAGTGCGGGGAGTCGGCGGCCGCAGCAGTCGGAGCGGTAATGGCGGCGGCTGTGGGTACGGTGGCAGCGACGGTCCCCGCGCCGGCGACCGGAGCGGATGGCGCCTCCTCTGTGCACTGGTTCCGCAAAGGGTTGCGGCTGCACGACAACCCGGCGCTGCTGGCTGCCGTGCGCGGGGCGCGCTGCGTGCGCTGCGTTTACATCCTGGACCCCTGGTTCGCGGCCTCCTCCTCAGTGGGAATCAACCGATGGAGGTGAGGGGGTCCGCGGGATCGCGGGGCCGAGGGGGACGCCGCCTGTCCCTCTCGGCCTCAGGGAGGCGGGGCGGGGAGATGGAGCTGGCTCTCCTGGGGAGGGGATGGGGAGAGCGGGATAAGCCGGGACCAGGAAATAGTCGTCGTACTCGCGCCCTCGGTGGGTCAGGGCGCCGTCTCGCATTGCTGAATCCCCTCTGAGTCCCATAACATGTCTGTAGGACAGAAATCATGATCCCCCTTGTACAGGCGAGCCTCTTAAGCCCCAGAAACGCAAAGTTGATCTGCCCAAGGATTTGCAGCCAGTGAGTGGCAGAGCGGGGATTCCCGATCTTGGGCTCTTCAAGGTGTGCAGAGGGAGGGGCGAGTGGAGATGGGGTGTGAGGGCAGGAACCGGCTTCTGCTCCTACTCTTCACGTGAACCCCTGAAGGTCATCCCTTAGCCTCTGGTTTGTTTGAATTCGCGCTTTTGCTCATCTTGGCTTCCTCCCCACCCAGCCAGTCCTGCTTCTGGAGATGTCTAGAGGCCCTGGCTTAGTGTTAGGTAAGCCTTCTCCCTGTAGTATAGGGACCCCCAAGGACATCTTCTTTGGGTCCTGAGCGCCAGAGCAGTCCCCAATCCATTGTATAGAATCCCGTCAGCAGTTGTGATCTTGCTAGAAAAAGTGTTGAAAGGGAACCAAAGCATCACCCTCTTCTCCCCTTCTCAGGAGATGATTTTAGAGGACAGGTGGGCCAAAATAAATGACGTGCTTATGAACTGATGTGGTAAGGAGCAGGAAAGCCATGCTCTCAGAGGCTCCACTCTCATGACTCCCAGGAGGTAGACGTGGGAAGGAATCAACAGCTAGGTGGTTAGTGTGTCTCTGTAATCAGCATTCACAGCAAGAAGTTTTGATACACCATGTACCCATCACTCTTTAAAACACCCAGCAGCAGTTGCTTGGTTTGTTTGCATGTTGTGAGAGATGTTTGCATGTGGCCTTGTTGCACAGATGGGCATGGTTATTCCCAGGGTACAGTGGCTCTCAGCACACCATTCTTTCCTCTCCGAGGTGTGTGCCCTGCCAGGAGAGTGAGTGCTCCTAGCAGCGGGTCTATTAAGTGCCTCCTCCTGCCCTGTTTCTATAGAGGGAACAACTAAAGATAGTCCTGTGGAGAGCTTGCTTGCACAGTTTTCTGGCAGCTCTGTTGCTCTTTCTTGCTCTAGTTTCTATAGATAGGAGGTTGGGTTTGACAAACATCCTCAAATGACCATCCCCAGTGTGGACATTAAGCGAAGCCTCAGACTTTGTCCCTGTCCTCGTGGCAGTGTGCCAGTCTGAGCAGAGTAAATACGATCTGGCCACCTGCTTATTGCATTGTCGTGAAAGTGCTTCTTTTTTCACAGGGTTTTGGGGATCGATATATGGGATTGTCCAGTCCTTTGTGGTAGTGAGATGAAATATCAACAGAAAAACTCTGTTGCTGATGACACTCCAGTTTGTAAAACTAGGTGTTTATGGATTTTTTGTGGGTCACCCTTTCGTGATTGTGCTTTCAATAGAGTGAGGGGAAAAAGGAATGGTGGCAGTGCAGATGACTGGGTTAAATCCCCAAGTCAGAGGCCATGTAGAAAGGCAGATATTACATGGGTGATTATTTAGCAAATGCCTAACACTGCCAGGCACTGCTATAGAAGCTGCTGGGTACAGCACTGATCAAGCAGATGTGTGTCTGTGCTCCCCAATCTCCTGGAGCCTACATTTTAGTGAAGAAAGGAATGTAAACAACCATAAGTTAGTATGTTTATGACGTGAGAAAACAAGATGGAGGTCAAACTAGAGCAGTGTTTCTCAAGCTTGGCTGCACATTGGAATCGCCTAAGGATCTTTAAAAGCTGCCTAGGTCCCCTCCCCCACTTGGGATTGAATCGTTCTGGCCTGGGCATTAAGGTTTTCAAAGTGCTCCTTGCAGCCAAGCTCGGGAAGCACTGGAGAACCACAGAGCTGAGCCGAACAACCTGGGAAGTGTGTTGCTATAGCACATTGGCAGGAAGTCTAATTAGCTTTGGCATTCAGGAGAAAGTGGTGAAACAGCGCAAAACAGATCGAATACGGTAACTGCTTCTGAGCCTGGCAACAAACATGCCTGCCAGCTGCCATTCTCCCTACTACTCCTACTGGATGGATGGATGGAGGGCAGAGCTTCATGCTGTTTGTGCACAGGGTTGGAGGTGGGGGGAGTGGGGGCAGCGACCAGCTGCTCCGCTACATAACTGCAGTATATGCAGCCTTCCAGTGGCTGTTCTGGACCCTAGAAGTGGTCTGGGAGAATTGGGTGGCATGGTAACGTCCCGGCTCTCAACTCTCTTGAGTTTCTATTCTAAAAAGCCTCTCTAGGAATGGTGAGAGTCCATCTACCAGAAGTGGGGGGAATCAAAATCTGTCACCTCTGTTACCCTCCTGAACATCCTAGACTGGATCCTGCATAAATAGCATTTTCCTGAAGATGGAATCACAAATACCATGAATGGCACTCCCTAATAGTAAAAGAGAAAGGAGGAAGGCAGCCAAGAAATATGTGTATTTATTGGCATAGGCGGAGGCTAGCGTACTCCTTCCCTTGGGGATAGTGGGAAGTCTGTGGGCTAATTGCAGCTACATGAACCCCAAGATTTATTTTACATGCACCAATTGGCTAAGCCTGTGCCATTTTCCCTACCTTCTCTTTCCCCAAATTTGCGGCATCTAGAAGGAGGTACCACAGCAAGAACCAACACAAAAAGATGTGAGCAGCTTCTAGATTTTACAATGGGTTCTCACAATAGGTCCTGACAGTTTTTTAATTACCTTTCTCTCCCAGTTGCAACTTAGATAAATGTTGGCAGTGATTCTCTTTGTGCTTTATTGAAATTATTTTGTTCCTGGCTCTGTGCTATACCTCTTTCAGGAGCTTCCGGGACAGAGGGAATTGGTAGGAATGAAACATGTTTTTTCTCAGCCATTGCTCTCAGAATTAGTAAATGAGGTAAACTGGGATCCCCTCAGATGCCTGGTGAGAATGAGTGTCTCTTCCCAAATGCTGGGAGCTCAATACTGCTAGACTGTGAAGTGGGTGGTTCTTCCCTGGAACTTGGTCAGCTAGAAGCAGGTAGAGGACTATTGTCTGCTGGTAGGGAAATTTGCATTTCTCTGAGCTATTCACACTGGTACTCAAGCAAAGCATTTTTTTTTTTCTCTCTCTTTTTTTTTTTTTGGTGGTGCTGGGAGTTGAAGTCAGGGCCTCGTGCATGCCAGGCAAGCAGTCTACCACTGAGCTATATTTCCAGCCCCTCAAGCAAAGCATTTTACTGGTCTGCAGCCAACATGTTTCCATTGCCCAAAAGGGATGAAAACCTTCATCTTTCTCTTTGAAATTAGAAAAGAATAAATATATTTTATCTGAATGAGCTATAGAAAGCAATCCCTGCCATACATTATGGGTGTAAGTTATACTTTTCCACAGAGCTTAAGGTCTCTTTAATTACTTAAAAGAAGTTGATTTCTATTAATAGCCTATGTTGCCAGTCTGTACCAGCCAATGGTATCATCATTATGGTTAGATAACCTTGGCTTGAAGCAGAGGAACTTGGTCAAGGACAGTCTGGACCCAGAAGAAGAATTCGCTATCCTCCCTCTTTGTATTAGCAACAAAATAAACAAAATATTTCTCTACACAGAATCTGTAGTCCCTAGAGAAGGTGTTCCTTAATGATCACAGGCAACCAAAGGATCTGCCTGTTTTATTCTAAGGGGCTAGCCTGGTGGAATCTCTGACTTGCAGAGTCTCCAAATTGTTGGAAATCCCAGTTTGTTTTTCTCCATTTCTGTCTGCCTCTGGCTCCAGGGGACTTACATAATGTAACACACATGTTGTCTAATCCAAAGGGTGAGCTTTAACTGCTACCCAGGACCATTGAATTTTGCCCATGTGACTCAACTTGGAGCTGCCAAGGGTGAGGTGCCAGCTTCTAGCACCATTACCTCCAATGCCCAGGCCATTTTCCTCTGGAGTCCCCCACCCTGCAATGGAGTAAAGAGAAGCTGGCTAATGCAGAGGAGACCCTCAGAGAGCACAGAAGGAAGGCCCAGGGTTCTCTTTGGTGACAGAATGCCTGTACCTACCCAGTAAGCATTTGCCAATAGCAGAGGTGCTTTAGTTCCTTTGGTGTTATGCAAAGCTGTTACTTGGCAGGCCTGATAGGTGATGTCATGGTGGTGGCCTCCCTTTCTCTGGCAGGTGCTACCCAGGGGTCTCCTCACGTCTCCTGTCTATTGCCTTCTCTGAGGCTGTCCTGAGCCCTCTCTGACCAGAGGAGCCCTGCAGGACTTGACTCAGGAGAGAAATTGGAAGGAACTGAGCATTTCTCAAGGGCCAAAGAAGAGGCAGAAACCAAGATCTCCAAGACAGGAGGGGAGAAGGAGAGAGCTCAGAAGAAACAAATTTGAAGCACCACCCCCCCCCCAAAAAAAAAAAAGGCAACTTGGAAACAAAAGTGAAAAGTAAAGTTTGTTTTCCAGAGTCACTAGTGCTTCTGAAACTTTTTTGCAACTTTTGTGCAGGTATTGGGGTTTGAACCCAGGCATGCTTCTGAAACTTTAATGTACAGATGAATTGCCAGATGATCTTAATAAAATGCAGAACCGATTGTGGAGGTCTGACATGGACTGGCACGGACGCACTGAGATTGTGCATTCTTGTGAACTTCTAGGCAATACACAGCAAATGCTGCTGTGCCTCAGACCACACTCAGAAGCGAAGATCTGGCAGCAGAGGTGTTGGCCTTTGCACTGGGCTGTGGTGCTCCCTCATGGCTGAGCCCTGGGCAGCTCAACCTCATTGCTTTCTGCTCAGAGGCAGTGGATCCTGGCAGCTAAGAATGAACACAGTGAGCCTGGCAGATGCCTGCTTTTAAATCCTGGCCACTTACTACGTATGTGATATTGGGGAAGTTACTTAATCTCTAAGGCTCAGTTTCCTCATCTACAAAACAGGGATGATAACAGCGCCTACTTCCTAGGGCTATTTGAAGATTAGGTGAAGTAATGAATGTAACAAGTAGAATAGTGCCTGCTTCTCTATAAATGCTCATTGAATGTTAGCTGATGCCCTCTATTATCATTACCATTATTTTGTTGCTAGGTTCACAGTTGGGCCTTCTTCCTGCCTCGGATTTAGATGTTTCTTGTCAAAGAAAAAAAGGGTTCTCATGTCTGTACTTTTGAGATGCTGCAGGAAGCTCTTCTTTTAGTAAATGAGGCCTAAAAATAAAATTCTATAGAAGGCAAATTGCAACATGTTCTGGAACCTAGATTTCATGTGTGTTTCCGCCTTTTTTATAGCTTCAGATCAAAGTCCTTATGCAGCCTGATGGACTGTGACGGGGAAGACCACCAAAGTGCAGGGACCATTCCTGGGAGCCTCTGATGGAGGATCCTCTGTCCTGGGGTTGTGGAACTTAAATTATACTTATCTCTAGGCACTCTACCCAGCAGGGTCCTGGTTTCAGATGACTGAGAATATTCTTGTAAGTCTCTCATTTTCCTCCTGGGAGGAGTGAGGCACATAGGGAAGGCCAGTGCAATTATGTCACCGTCACTTGCAGATCACTTAGCACTCAGAGGGTGTCAGTTTTTCCAAAACAAATTCACAGAGGCAGAACTTTTGCTTTGCATACAGCAGCTTTCCGTCTGTCAGAGTCCCCCATCCCAACCCTCACAAGCCCCCTGCATGCTCTTTAGCTAACAGTGTAATGCTGTGATGCGCTGGGCTGGGCTCAGGGCTTGGCTTCTGCTGGAATGTGGACCAGTGGCATTGTGTCATGTTGTGTGCGTCAGAGGCAGTAGTGGGGGCTGGTGCTAATTGGTGCATGTGAACAGTCTCTGCTTTGTAAACTTCCAGTATTTGGAGATGCAATGTGCTGCAGGGGAGACAGAGGGCTTCACTGTTCCCAAAATAAAACTGGTGACTTCTGTTGTGGATAGAGAGAAAAGATGCTGGGGACAAGTGAGAGAGGCCACGGGGTCAACAGCAGGCTTCCTTGGAGGGGTCCTGAGGAAGAAGATGAGAATGCCAGTGAATTACCTATATGAGGCCATGTCTACCAGGAGTTCTGCAGTCTCAACCTGGAGCACTGCTGGTGTACCCCTAAAGTCTTTAGAAATGGGGCACTGAGAAGAAAACAAGGGTTTCAGAGTCTGATCCACCTGGGTTCCTCTGCCAGCTGTGTCACTTCATAGCTATGATCTTAGGGAAATTGACTTCTTTCTGCCTCAGTTTCCTTGTCTATAAAATGGGGATGCTAAAAATAAAATAAAATAAAATAAAATGGGGATGCTACAGGGTTTGAGGAAATGCACTTTAAAAGCATGACAGATTCATAATCAAATTGATTATGAATCTGCTTGCCTCTGGAGAGGGAAGCAGGAGAGGACATTTTACTCTGTACCCTTTTATCACTGGGATTTTGAGACACACAAATAACTATCTGGTTAAAATGTTAACACCAAAGGCACTCAGGAAAGGTTAATTTCCTTTCCCCTCGAGACCCAGCTTCTTGCAGGGGGTCTCAAGTATTTGTCTCTCCCCACACACCCTGGGTATATCTATCCAGACCCTCTTTGGATGAGAACTAGGTGGCCAGAGCCATGGAGAGGCCTGAAGAGTGAGCCACCTGCCAAACAAAGCCCCAGGGACAGGGAACTCACCCCAGGCTAAGGGCAGGGGTGGCTTTCACATTAGATATATTTGTATCCCAAAGTAGCCCAAAGCATGAATGCAGAAAAGCATTACATCAGGATAGGTAGCATTTGCCAGGGCTATGACTATCTGTACAGAGTTGGCTTTCTCATCCTTTGTCCCTGGTGATTCTCACAACCACCTCCCACTGGGCAGATTGTTATATACTATCTGGAGACTCCAGGGAATGAGGGACTTGTCTCTGATCACAGAGAAACATAGCGGCAGAAGCAGCTCACGTTCAGCCCACCATTTGTATGTGCCAGGCTCTGTGCCAAGTGTTCTTTTACTTCAGATTTCCTTTTTTCACACTTAAGTACTAACATCTTAGCAATTCTGTAGGCACTAACATTAAGTCCACATTACAGAAGAGAAAACAGATGAAAGAGGTGAAGTCACAGCTGAAAGGCAGCTAGGAGGGGCAAGGCAGGATTTGCATCCAGATAGTGCTGACCCACTCTACCTTTCGCTCCTGAGCTGGAGCCTCCTGGGGTCACCGTGCCACTAGTTTGCTATCAACAGTGGTCTGGTTTCTCCCTGCTGTGCTAGGAAAGAGTTCCTCTTTGTTATGTTACCACTAACGAGGCCTGTGTGGACTCTGCAGATTCCTATTGCAGTCTCTGGAAGATCTGGATACAAGTTTAAGGAAACTCAACTCACGCCTGTTTGTAGTCCGGGGACAGCCAACTGATGTGTTCCCAAGGCTGTTCAAGGTGAGTTCGTAGGGAGATTCTGCTCCCTAGGGCTGCCCCCAGACTTAGTGAGATGCTATTCTGACCAAGGAAATGGAAATGTCGGCTCTGGTCTGGCCACTAAATGGCTGCTAGGGAAGTCGGAAGCAAAGGCAGCTGGTCAGCTTGCCAATAGAATGGAAATCATGTTAAGGAAAAAAAATTCTGTGAAACCAGTGCCTTGTTGGAAAGTTCCCAACTCAGTCCAGACATGCGATGTGGTAAGTCATTCCATCCTGGCTGCCACTGGCTTCCTTAGATATTTCTTGGCTCAAACCATTAAGATTTATTAGAGCTCCTTCTAGCCAGGACCTGGAGGGTGGAGTTTCCTGTCTAGCAAGGGGTGTTTCCTACCTTGCTTTGCTCTGCTTATTGGGGAAAAAAAGTCAGCCTTTCTGAGGGAGCATCGTGTTTCCCTGGGATGAGCTATTGATAGAAATCTCTTGGGTGCAGTTTGGGAGCCAGCTCACTTGCCCCCAATCCCTTTAAAATGCATGTTTTAAGGCCCAAGGAGAGGCAAAAGTATTCATGCACAAAGGGTTCTATCCTCAACAGCGCACAGTGGTTTTTGTGTCCCCTCCACCCCACCTCCATGACACGAAGAGAAGTCTGATGTCAAGGCAACCAGCTTCATAAGTACGTCATTATTCACTTCACTTCCCCACCCCCACATAATTATACACATACATACAAATCATTCAATCCTGTGGTTTGCTAGCGTTGACTGGGGGCTGACCGTGAGTCAAGCACTGTTCCAAGTGCTAATATGCATTAACTCACCCTCACAGCAGCCCTAAGAGGCAGGCACTGCTATCCCAGTTTACAGGTGAGGAAACAGGTGCCTGTGGTCAGGAAGCCAGTAAGTGGTGGTCTTGGGCTTCTGCAGCTTACCCGTCATACCACGTAAGTACATTTGGCAGGCCAGGGATGTAACTTGGCAGTAAAGCGCTTCCCTAGCATGCATAAGTCCTTGAGTTTTATCCCCAGCACCACCAAAACAACAACGACAAAATTGCCTTTCTTATCCCTACACATTCCTCCTGTCTCCTCTAGCAACTTAGAGGCCAACCCAGTTATAACACAAAAATACAGATTGATCATTCATTCAATCACTCATTTTATACTTCATGAACTTCTACTATGTACTGGACCTCATATCAGGCAGTAGGGTAGAAACGATGAACGAGATAGCATGGTTCTGCTCTGAGAGCTCACACTCCAGTAGGGAAATAACTTCAATGCCATATGATAAATGTTGTGCTGGGAATAGGACAAGGCTTAAGAGAACCATAGGAGAATCATCTAATAATAATATCATTATTCATGGGATTGTGTGAGCATTTAATGATGTTGACTGTATGAACCACTAAACACTGTGCCTGGCTTACAGTAAGTGCTCAACAAATGTTTACCCTTGGACAAGGGAGGTATCCCTTGTCCCCCCAGCAGGGCTGAGTTAGAATCAGACCAGCCTGTGCATGGCCAGGATATTTGCCCCCTCCTGGGTTCACAGCTTGAGGGACTGTGACCACAGACTTTGGTGAGAATGTGTTTTTATTCTTGCTAGTTACATGCTATAGAGCTTTCTGTGGGTTTCTATACAGCCTTTCTCTGGGCCAGCTTTGTCTCGGTGTTGCTAGGTGACTGAGAAATTCCTTCCATAAGTAACTTAAGACTTAGAAAAGAATTCTCTTTTCAACCTGCTGCAGTCCCTCTGCTCTTTTTTTTTTTCCTGACCTCTGGACTAAGAATCACTCCTCCTTCCCCAACTCAGAGAGCTGGAGCCTATTAGCTCTGTTTGCCTCTGGCCCCGGGATTGTTGCTATGGAAACCATTAAGACACTTTACATAGCACAAGTCTGCCAAAAAAAAAAACTAGGCCACAGGTTTGCAGGCTGTGAGGAACCCTGGGAAAGGCTTGCACAGCAGGCAGGAGGTGGCAGTCCTGTTCTCTGCTATCTCTACTGTGAGTCAGTGCCTCTTTTTGGGCCTGGAGCTCCCCTGGTAGAGTTGTATTTATAGCTTTGCGCTGCATTCTCCTACTTCAGGTACACAGTGCGTACACACAGTCCCTCCTGGCCACGGCCACGAGTTTGACCTCACCCTAATGGCTGCCCTCCTCACGCTTTCTAAGCCTCAGGTTACTTGCTTTCCAGTTCAAATCATTGTCCTTAGTTTGTTCTACAGCCATTCTGATAGGGAAGGAGACTGGCTCTGAGTGCCCAGCTCCCCTCTCCAAACAGGGCTGACAGTAACAGATTCTCTTCCCACAGGAATGGGGGGTGACCCGCTTGACCTTTGAATATGATTCTGAACCCTTTGGGAAAGAACGGGATGCAGCCATTATGAAGATGGCCAAGGAAGCTGGTGTAGAGGTGGTGACTGAGAACTCTCATACCCTCTATGACCTGGACAGGTAAGAGACAGGGCCCAGGGTCAGGCTGCCTATCATGAGGCTGGTGATTTGGACACCTGCTGAGCAGAACCAGGCAGGTTCAGTGATAGGGTTACCTGGTTCATGAGGAGTGGCGTTTTCTAGAAGTTGAAGGAGAATAGGCCAGAGTTGGGGCCTGAAGAACAGGTCACAAAGAGTTTTGCCTGATTTAAGTGGCAAAGAAGCTAGTTAGACCCAAGGCTTGGAAACAGAATTTCCACTCAGGATCTTTGTAGATCTGCTGCTGTTCTGTTGTGCTCCCCACTTCTGTCATGTTCCTCAGTGGCTGCTCTCTTACCTTGATGTACCCCATCTGTTACCCCTCCCAGCAGGTCTCTGCCCTCATGGCCTCAGTTCCCATACCTAGGATGGTTTCCAGGCCATGTACTCTGATGCTGCTCGGAGGCTCTAGAGACTCTTGTGGGGAGCTGGTAACCACAATAGAGCCTCTTTCACTGGTGACAACCTCTGTGCTTTCAGAGAGCCCAGGGGGAATCTTCTCCTCCTCTTTCCTGTTGGAAGTGTCACCTTCCTGCTGCCAAGCCAGCAGCCACCACTGCTCCCTGCCCCCCTCTCCCTACTGAGGGCTGACTGCCAGGAGACTGGGTCACACAGCTATGCATGTGAGCTGGGCCCTCAGGAGGAGAGGCTGGGTCTATAGCTTTTCCTCCTGCCACGTGCCAGAGGAGGGGAGGGACTGCAGAGGCAGCAGCCAGTCTCTTCTAATGGAGGGAGAGCAAAGAGAACAAACTGGGAATTGAACTTGTCCAGCAGCGGGCCTTGCATAAGCTACTTCTTGGCCAAAAAGAGCCCCAGGAATCTGGCTGCAAACCATTACAGTTTATCCATACATAAACAGCTCCATTCTTTTCTTCACCCCTTGTATATACTTTCCTTCTTGCACAAGTGCACTTTTAATTCCCTGCTCATGAGAAATACTTTGTATACTACATAACCCTTTAAGTATTAGTTGTTGCTGTTTACTCTAGCCCAATCTCTCTGTTCTAAGTGGGGCTAGCAGTAGGATGATCTTCCAAAAAAGGAATATGTTTGGAGCTGTTAAAGAACTTCCTCCAAGGCTCGTGCTTGATGTAGAGATTGGCCTGTGGTGTGGTCAAATGGGCCCGGTACCAAGAAGGCCAGTGGGGATTTCTCTGTGATTACAGAGATATGGTCAGTCTCTGTCTTTAGGCAGCTCTACGTGGACACCAGGGAACCTGGAATTGAGTCCCAGCTTTGGCCCTCCCTTGCTCCATTACCTGAGGCACCTGCTCCAGCTCTGTGGGCTTCATTTTCCCTCTTGGTAAAATGGAGATGCAGCCTTCCGTGCCCCCTCCTTTCCACTCAGGGGTGGGACCTGTGAGTGGATGAGGAAAGCTACCCTCAAAGCTTCAGAGTCTGAGCTCTGTTTTGGGTGTGCAGGGACCCAAAACAAAGGGCTTCATGAGTGACACCAGTGTGCTTTGGGCTTCCCAGGATCATTGAACTGAATGGACAGAAGCCACCCCTTACCTATAAGCGGTTTCAGGCCATCATCAGTCGTATGGAACTGCCCAAGAAGCCAGTGGGCTCAGTGACCAGCCAGCAGATGGAGAGCTGCAGGGCTGACATCCAGGAGAACCATGATGACACCTATGGTGTGCCCTCCCTGGAGGAGCTGGGTGCGTGTGTCCTGCCCCAAGTCTCTTACGCCGCTGCTTTTTGTGGTGGAAAGTAATTTGCTGGGTGTTTTCTTCTTTATCACAGTCCTGTGTATGATTATAGAAAGCTTAGAAAATACAGAACAGCAAAGGTGGAAATAACCATTGCTATTAACCCACCCTCCCAGATAACCACTATTAATTTTGGAATATGTCCTTCCAGTCTTTTTGCTGCTCATATTCTTGCAATCTGTGTCTAGTTCATACCTCTATTTGTGTACATCCTCTCTCAGACAATAGAGGTGCTGTCTGGTGCTATTACCAGTAGGCTTCTCAATACCAGATATACTAGTATTTTCTCTAGGTACCAACTCCACCCTTCCTCCACATCTCACTTCCTACCCCATCTTTTGACCTAAGCAGAGTTAGCTTTTCCTGCTTGAAAACCACAATCATTCCCAGCTAATGTGGAAGGAGAAGTCCAGGATTGTTCTCACCCGCCTTGAATGATGAGGGGAGGGGCTGGGGGAAGGCAAGGGAAAAAAGAGAAAATAAATAGCAGCAGTGGGGAGAGAATCATGATGACCTAGAAAACACTAAAACTTGAAGGATTTTTTTCAGTTCCAAGAATAAGAACTGTGGTTTAGTTCTTATAGAATGTAAAAAAGCAGACCAATGTATCAGAACTTGCCGAGCTATCTTGAGATAGCCTGACCTCCAGTCCTATGACCTGCTGCTCCTTTTGCAGGTTTCCCAACTGAAGGACTTGGCCCAGCTGTCTGGCAAGGAGGAGAGACAGAAGCTCTGGCCCGCCTGGATAAACACTTGGAACGGAAGGTATGGCCCTGTTTCTGAGTGCAGAACTGTGGATGCTGGCACCCATGCAGCAGGGGATGCAGGTCAGGTTCATGTCTCTTGGTGCCTCTTAGCTCCAACTGATGAAAAATGAAAAATACTCCTGATTGCAAAAATAACCACAGCAGCTGCTATTTAGAGAGTTCTTACCTCGTGCTGGTCACTAGTCTGTTTCTGGGTTAAGGGCCTGCTTGCATTGTCTCTTTTCATCTCTCCAGCAGCCCTACAAAGCAAGAATTAGACCTCTGTTTTATAGATTACAAAATTGAGGCTTAGTAAATTGCTTGAGGTCACACACTTTGGTAAGTAGTGGACCGAAACATAGTTCTATATTATTTTAAAGCTTGCAGTTCTGGGCAGGGTCCCCTTACTAAAAGAGTATCTGGTCAGCAAAGTCCATATAATTAATCATTTTGTGTTGATATGCCCCCCATTTTGGCTGTGGGCAGGGACCCAAAGCAAAGGGCCTCATGCTGGATCTCCTCCAAGGCTTTGATTTCCTTTTGCTTGGACCCAAAGCAAAAGACTCTGGCGAGAGGAAAGAAAAAGACTGAGGGCACAGAGATACCCAACAGCGTCATACAGCCCTCACCACCCTGTGACTAGAGCAGCAAAGAAGGTTCTCCTGGCTGAGAACTGTCAGCCCCTAGTTCCCTGCCCCTTCAGCCTGTTTGGAGACTGGGCCCTTAAAGACACAATACTTTCTATTCCTGTTCAAATAGCAAAGCATTTTGCCCAGCATCCAGATGATAACAATGGAACAAGGAAGCCAAGGCAGGCGTACTTGGGAAGAATGTTTTCCTAGTCTTAGAGGAGCCTAGCCAGCACTGGAAGTGACGCTGATGGCCTCAGTCTTCCTGAGCCCGCAGCCTTGGTGTTCCCATCTAGGTGTTCCTATCAGCTGGGGCCAAAAGCAAGCCTCCCAGACTTGAAAGGTGAGGTCCATGTAACATCCAAGGACTACCAGGGGACCAGCTTTCTCTGTCTAGATAGAGCTTTATCCAGGGCTAAGAGTACAGCTCAAGGCCCTGAATTTGATCCCCAGCAACACAGACAAACAAATAAATGAAATTGTACCCAAAGATTCTTGGGCTCAGTTTGGAGACAAAAGTTGGGCCAATGCTGCAGAGGATGGAGATGACAAGTGGGATGACAAGAACAGAAGAGGGCTTAATATAAAGAGCTGACCTATGGCCCCATGGATTATAATGTTTATCACCTTAAAAGCATTTTATAGAGGACTGCCCCTCAGGCCACCAAGTTAGGAACCCCTTTTCCATACACCCCTGGGCAGCCCCTTCCATAGTGGACCCATTAAGAATCAGTGGTGACCAGAGGATTAATACTGTGTGCTATGTACCTGAGAGAGCTGAAGGGGAATTGAGCCTGTCCAGGTTTATTTTAATTCTTTCATTTCTCTAAATCTTAAATGAACAGCTACTCATGCTAATGTACTCTAGATAAAAAGACTGCTGAGCAAGACAGACATGGAAGCATCTCCAGAAGCATGGTCTGCTGGAGATGATGCACATTAAAGAGGAATTATAGGTGTCCTAAGGATTAGGAAAATGAGTTCAGAGGTTACGGGAGCAAAGAGCACGAGGATTATATGGATCAATTCTTGTTTGCAACTGCCTTTTGAAAAAGGAAACTTTAACTTACATAACCAGGAGTCTAAGGCTTAGCTTTAAGGCATAGCTGGATCTGGGTGTCCAAAGAATGCTAGGAGGAAGACATTCTCCATCTCTCAGCTCTACTTTCCTCTGTGTTAGTTCATTTTCAGGCAGGCTTCTCTTGAGCACCATGAGTATGTAGTCAACAAAGTCCTGCTTGAGAATCAGTCCAGTAGCCTGAGTTCTGCCACAGAAAAATGGAAAGGAAAAGAAAGAAATGGCAGGAAGTGTATAAATTAGAAGAAACTTAAATGACATGAAATTTTTTAAATGGCAAAGACTAAACTGTAGCATCTCAGGATGTACATTTGGGTAAAAAAAAAAAAAAAGGAATAACAAAATAAAGTTGTTACTTCCAAACATGTTTTGCAAAAGTAGAAAAATGTAAACATCTAAAAAATGCAGGAAGTGATTATTATGAAAGTTGGAGCAGGGGTCCAGGGGTCACTTTCTGGGGGGAAGGAGGAAAGGAGGGGACTGTTCTGAAATGAGTACGTAGGCCACTCCAGGGTAGCTAGCGAAGTCTTTTTTTTGTTGTTGTTGCAAGGTAGGAGGTGGTACTGGGGTTTGAACTCAGGGCCTCACGCTTGCTAGACAGGCGCTCTGACACTTGAACCACTCCACCATCCCTCTTTTTTTGTGTGTTGGGTATTTTCAAAATAGGGTCTTTTTAACTATTTGCTCAGGCTGGCTTTAAACTGCAATCCTCCTGATCGAGGCCTCCTGAGTAACTAGGATTATAGGCATGAGCTGCCAGTGCTGGCAGAATCCTATTTTTTGAACTTTGGTGGTGGTTGCCTGGATGTTTGCCTTAGAATTATGATTAAGCCACACATTTGTGTGGATTTCTTTGCAGTCGGGGGCAGTACTGGGAACTCAGGACCTCACGCTTGCTAGGCAGGTGCTCTGCCACTTGAGCCATGCATGCCCTCAGCTCTTGTGTGGGTTTCTGTGCTTCATTTAAAATAAAAAGATTGAGCTGGTACAGGCTGGGGCGGGGGTGGGGGAAACAGGCAGAAGTACCCAGTGTCTGTTAAAAGTGCTTAGGTTGAGACTTGAAGGGCAGTCAGCAAAAGAAGTGAAGAGGGGGAGGGGCTGCATATGCAAAGGCTAGTGAGGACATTGTCCTTGAAGGATAGTTACAAGAGGTGAAGCTGGAGAAGTGTGGGGTGCTTGTAAGCCATATAAACCCTGTTTAAGATTCAGGACTCAGTCCTAAAAATAGCACGAGCACTGTGTTGCCAGTATGGAGAGTGGACTAGAGGGGGCTCAGAGTAATGCAGAAGGGCCAGTCAGGGGCTGTCTGTGTTGTTCAGTCATCTAGATAAGATCTTAGTCTGAACCAGGTTGGTCACAGTAGAGAGTGGAAAGAAAAGGACAGAGTTGAGCAATATTTGGGCAGCAGAATTGACAGGGCTTGGAGAGGGGGCAGTCAAAGGTGATGGCCAAGCTTGTGTCTTAGGCAACTAGGTGGATGGCGGTGCATTTCTGAGAAGGGGAGGCCATTGGAAGGGTGGGTTTGAAGAAGAGCATGTTATACAGAAGGCAGCTAGATGGAGCCATCTGAGCTAGAGCTACAAACATGGTGATTATTAAGAAATGACATTGGAGCCATAGGCCTAAAGGACCTGAGTCCAGAGGTGCTAACGTTTAAGGGAGAGGTAGAGAGAGTGGAGCCTGTGAAAGACCAAGAGAGTGGCTAGCCAGATAGGAGGTAACCTGGAGTGCATGGATCACTGAGGCCGAAAGAATGGAGGGATGAGATGGGGGAGTGGGCAGCAGGGTTCAGTGCTGCTGAAGTCCAAAAATATAAGGACAGAAAATGCCTTCAGGATGCAGTGGCATGGCAGTCACAGGAGGCCAGTGGGCACCATTAAGCTAGGGTGGTGAAGATGGAAGCCAGCCAGGTGGGTTGGAAAGGAGGGGACTTGATTGGGCAATGGAGATAGGTTAGCTGTGAAGGAGGAAAGAGGCCCACAGGGTACCACAAGTCCTTTTGTTTTTTGGTTGGTTGGTTGGTTTGGTTGGTTTACAAAGAGGAGAAATAAGATCATTTTTCTAATGTTCTTGGAGCAGACTGTTGAGAATGAGAGGGTGATTATTGTAAGAGAAGGAAGGGGGAGGGCTTCAGAGCCAAGTGGAGGCCTTAACCTTGGGTAGGGTGTCCAGAGGGAAGGTGGGGGGAAGAGGATGCAGGAGAGCGTATAGGTTGGGTGGCTGAAAGTTGAGGTGTTTTGTGCCTTCTGTTTCCTTACCATAATAAGGAAGAAAGGTCATTTGAAGGGTGTCAGGGAAGTGTGGAGCAGGAGGCCTCAGGACGGTGTGAAGTTTGCGAAAGGTCTCGTTCAGAGAAAGAGGGGTCAGGAGTGGAGGAAGAGAAAGCAGTTATTAGCTGTAGTTGGAAGAGACTGTAATGTGTCAGAAGCCCAAATTCCCCACACCATGTCTCTTACCATCTCCATAACCCCAAGAGAGTCACAGAAGCCTTTTGAGCTTGGTTTCCTCATTTCCAGAAGGAGATAACGATAAGTGCTGTCCAGAGAACTGTTAAGATTGAATGGAAGAGCATGTGGAACTGCGAGTTAGGAAAGTAAAGTGTTATGCCAGTTGCTATTCATAAAAATAAAAAATAAGACCAATAGTATTATATGACAAGTGGCCCCAGAAGTGAATGGCTCTGTTGGTTCCCAGAAATGGATTGGAAGTTCCCGCCTTCCCTGGTCGCTTTTGGAACAGTGGGGAAAAGTCACTGGGTATTTGTGACACACCAGCAGTCTCAGGCCCCTGGTGATGACAGCAGAGACTGAGCTAGGAATATATTTTTTTCTATAGAGTAGAGAGAGAAAGAGTTTGTTAATGCTTTCAGATTCTTTCATATCTCATTTAATCCCTGGAGATGGGAAGTTTGTACTTATTTAATAGATAAGTAACTAAGATAAATGACCTTGCCATCCCAAGCTCAGGGCAAGAACATGGGCCTCCTTGTTTGGCTTCGTGGTGGCTCCATCTCAGAATCTGCTGGCATAAAGAGCACTGGGTGAGCACAGTGCTCTAGACCTGGCTTTGTGGCTTTCTGGGTTTTAACCTTAGGAAAACCCTTACGTCCTCAGGTTCTCAGTTTTTCCTCTGCAACAGCTAGGCCTTTACTTTTGTCACCTTTCCTCTCCACTTCAGGCCTGGGTTGCCAACTATGAGAGACCACGGATGAATGCCAACTCCCTGCTGGCCAGCCCCACAGGCCTCAGTCCTTACCTGCGCTTCGGCTGCCTTTCCTGCCGCCTCTTCTACTACCGCCTGTGGGACCTGTATAAAAAGGTGAGATGCAGTGAGTTTGACACAGCCACCCTCACTTAGATGCAGTCACAGGCACCAGGACCTGCAATAACTGCCAGTCACCCCCAAAAGGGTCCTTCCCTCTGGCCCTGGGTAAGCACCTGGCCTATGGGTCCTGGATATGCTTGGTCCAAAGGAGTTAAAGAAGAATTGATTTCCAAGAGGTGGCAGAGCCAAGCACATACTGAATCTCTGATCTAAATAAACCCAGATTTTCCTGTAGCACAAAAGGACAGGCAGAAAAGCAGGCCTCAGGGTGTAACCCTGGGGGTGGCAGATCTGCTGGTAGCAGGTGGTTGGGGCCAAGGTCATTGGGGTGGAGAGTCCGGAAAGTGGCCAGTCCTAAGCAAAATTGCACAGCTGCTGTCTCTGGGGCTGTGTGGGGAATGTTTAAAGAGGTCATGGGCACAGTTGTGCCATCATGAGGGGATGGAGGAATGGCCTGGAGGGGCTGCATGCAGGGCTGTGCCATGTAGACAAGGCAAATAACCCTGTGTTAAGGCATTCCTTGAAGAAGAGAGGAAAGCATGCAGTTCCTCAGATCATCCTTTGTCTACATTTTTTAATGTTATTTCCCCACCTTGCCAATATCAGGATTTTGTGGCATGGGGTAGCTTTGCCAGTTTGGTGGATGTGCTCTTGTGATTGTGAAAAAATCATTATTTGCATGAAGGTCTGATTTCCTGATTCCTTCATGAGCGCTGATGCAGACTGCTTTATGTAGTTTATTTAGCCAAAATCTAGAATTGATTATCTTTTTAATGTGTACTGATGCATAAACTCCCTTAGACTTTCTAAAAAGTGGTGCTGAACAGGGAATCCTGAGGACAAGGATCATGGCCAGTCTTAGGGAGTTTGATTCCTATGACAGAGTCATACAGCAGTATCCTTTTCCCTTGTGCCTGTCTAAAGCCATTCTTGTTGCTCATAGCAGTGGCTCAGCACAGGCAGGATATGGTGTTGAGTCTATAAGCACACCCTGTCACTTTTAGGGGTAGTTACTCTGCATATCTTGGGTTTGGCACTACCACACTTGGGGGCGGGGCTCCAGATTCCTTTTTGGGAGAGAACTAACTGACACAATGCTAAGAGCTGGGCAGGTATTTATTTCCTTGTGCTACCCCTACTCCTCAGGTGAAGCGGAACAGCACCCCCCCACTATCCCTGTTTGGGCAGCTCCTGTGGCGAGAGTTCTTCTACACAGCAGCCACCAACAACCCCAGGTTTGACCGCATGGAGGGGAACCCCATCTGCATCCAGATCCCCTGGGACCGCAACCCCGAGGCCCTGGCCAAGTGGGCCGAGGGCAAGACAGGCTTCCCTTGGATTGATGCCATCATGACCCAACTGAGGCAGGAGGGCTGGATCCACCATCTGGCCCGACATGCAGTGGCCTGCTTCCTCACCCGCGGGGACCTCTGGGTCAGCTGGGAGAGCGGGGTCCGGGTGAGTGCTCTCTCAGCAGAAGTAAAGGGCAACCCCCTTCCGGCTGGGGGATGGGGTGGGATCCCTGGGTCCAGGAGATCTCCTCCACATCCTCTGTGGCCTGCCCTTGGCAGAAGGGATGTGGCTCCTTGGGGTGCTGTGGTGACTTGAAAAGAGCCATAGCAGCAGGTCCCCAAGGAAACTGGTTGTTCATCCCACCTGTCTAGGTATTTGATGAGCTGCTCCTGGATGCAGATTTCAGTGTGAATGCAGGCAGCTGGATGTGGCTGTCCTGCAGTGCTTTCTTCCAACAGTTCTTCCACTGCTATTGCCCTGTGGGTTTTGGCCGCCGCACAGACCCCAGTGGGGACTACATCAGGTAAGGACTCAGGCCAGGCTTTCTGACTCCTGGCCACTGTGGCATTCTCCTGGGCCCTTTGAAGAAGGGTCAAAACGTGCTGACCAGTAGTCTGAATGGGTTGTCTGGTGTGTTTCAGGCGATACCTGCCCAAATTGAAAGGTTTCCCCTCTCGATACATCTATGAGCCCTGGAATGCCCCAGAGTCGATTCAGAAGGCAGCCAAGTGCATCATAGGCGTGGACTACCCACGGCCCATTGTCAACCATGCAGAGACCAGCAGACTCAACATCGAGCGGATGAAGCAAATCTACCAGCAGCTCTCACGCTACCGGGGACTCTGTAAGCAGCGTCACCATCTCCTAGCTCACCCAGGGAGGCCAGCACATGCAGGCAGAGGGATAGGTGGGGCTTTCCAGATGTTTGCAGAGGAAGACTTCCTGGGGCATAGGACATTGCAGTTTGGGCTGGATTAAGCCTACCTGAATAGTCATGGGGTAATGGAAGGAGAGAACCTGTGTGTCCTGGCCCTGCCCTCTCCACCCCTTTGTTTCTCATACTCTGCAGTCCTCTGTAATGCTGTGGGGCTACATTCTGATTGTTTCCCCACACACACCTCTGTCCCCAGGTCTACTGGCATCTGTCCCTTCCTGTGTGGAAGACCTCAGCCACCCTGTGGCAGAGCCTGGATCGAACCAGGCTGGGAGCATCAGCAGCATGGGTGAGTAGCAGCCACTGGCCTGTGGCCTCCCATCTCCTGTGGCCTTCTGTGGCCTGTGCTACCACTTGAGTCATTCAGGACTGATGAGGTTTATGTTTCATCTGAAGCAAGCAGATAGTAAGGGAACCAAGGAAGATTACTTCAGATAACAAGTGCCTCAGGGGAAATAAAATTGAGTGGCTTGATGGAGAGAGGCTGGAGGGAGGGGTTCCTTTGGGTCACTTTAGGTGGGAGCAGTCATGGAACACCTCTCTAAGCAGTGGCTGATTACTTACATAATGAGCAGGAACCACCATTCCAAGAAGTGGGAAAGGAACATTCTAGGAAAAGAGAATAGTAAGGCCTGAAACACAATCAAGCAGAGTGCACTTATGAGACAGAAGGAAGCCAGTGTTCTGTGTCATGTGAGAGGAGAAAGAATGAGCGGGGACAAGGCACAAGTGAAGCAGCGCTGGCGGCTCCACAACAGTCTGCTTCCATGCCTTGTAGAGGGTGACAGGGCAGTGTATAGCCCCACTTACAGCAGGCAGTTTTTTTTTTTTTATTCATATGTGCATACAATGCTCATTTCTCCCCCCTGCCCCCACTCCCTCCCTTACCACCCACTCCGCCCCCTCCCTCTCCCCCCACCCCCTCAGTACCCAGCAGAAACTATTTTGCCCTTATTTCTAATTTTGTTGAAGAGAGAGTATAAGCAATAATAGGAAGGAACAAGGGTTTTTGCTGGTTGAGATAAGGATAGCTATACAGGGAGTTGATTCGCATTGATTTCCTGTGCATGTGTGTTACCTTCTAGGTTAATTCTTTTTGATCTAACCTTTTCTCTAGTTCCTGGTCCCCTTCTCCTATTGGCCTCAGTTGCTTTTAAGGTATCTGCTTTAGTTTCTCTAGCAGGCACGTTTTAAAAGCCCCTGCCTACTGCATGAACAGCGGAGGGTGTGGGACAGGTGTGAGGATCGGGAGGCGAGGAAGAAGGTAGCTGCAAGGGGTCAGGCCTGGCCTAAGTCGGCTCCAAGGTCTTTTCAGTCTGCCCAGCCAGGCTGGCTCCGTTGCTGGGCCCTGTCATTGCCTCTCCCTGGGCTGCTCCAGGGTTGCAGAGCGAATGCCTTACCTTCAAAGTGAGGACAGCAGATAGGCAAAATCATGTCTTTCTTGGAGCCTGTGGAGTCTAGGGGACAGAAGCTGTCCCTCCTGCCAGCAGGCCTGACCATGCTCTCCCTGAACACCACCAGGCAAGCTCAGTACTGAAAGGAAGTCCAGGGCAGGTTGAGGAGCAGCCTCAGGACAGGAAGCATCTGCATAGTATGGAATCTTCTTGGCTTACATAGCCTCTATGACCCTTTAACATGCTTCTCTGCAGGCCCCAGACCACTACCCAGTGGCCCAGCATCCCCCAAACGCAAGCTGGAAGCAGCTGAGGAGCCACCTGGTGAAGAGCTCAACAAACGGGCCAGGGTGGCAGAGTTGCCTGCTCCAGAGCTGCCAAGCAAGGACTCCTGAGTGAGTGATGGCAGCTTAGAGACCTGAAGAAGAATGGTGGGAGAGTGCTGGGGCTTGGTTTGGAAAACTGCTTGCTAGCTGAGGGCTAAATCAATAAACTAGATTAAAATCTGGTAGGGGACAGCATGATTTAGGATTTCAGCTAAAAATCCCGTCATCCTGCTGGGCATGGTGGTGTACACCTCTAATCCCAATTGCTAAGGAGGCTGAGGCAGGAGGATCATAAGTTCAAAGCCAACCAAGGCAACTTAAGGAGACCCTGTCTCAAAATAAAAACAAGTAAAAAGGACTGAGGTGTAGCTTAGTGGTAGAGTATGAAGCCCTGGGTACCACCAAAAAAATCCACCATTGTGACTTTTCCTAAACTTGGTTTTTTTTTTTTTTTTGTGGTACTGGGGTTTGAACTCAGGGCCTCACATTTGCTAGACAGGCACTCTACCCCTTGAGTCACATGCCCAGCCCTACTTTTTCTAAAACTTTAAAAGAAATTTCAAAGTCAAAGCCCTTTGCTTTGTTTGCCAGCTAACGAGAAGTTAAAAGTTTTTGTTGTTTGTTTGTTTGTATTGATGCTTTCTACCTGTTAAAATGAATCAAATCCAACACAGAGAAATCATAGGCCTAGTTAAGAAGCTGTGGAGAAGTGACCCTGTGACAGAATGAGAGGCTGCTCCAGCCCTGCATTTCCCAACAGACTGTTCTATAGGCAGGCCAGTGGAGGGCGGCACTGAGCTTCAGAAGTTGGGCAGTAGCTGTGCATAGCTGGCTCAGCCCAACCCCACAAAAGACCAGTGGCCTAGCCTCCTATGTGTATGCCTTTTACAGCCACCCCTCCATTCTCACCTTTCTTGTATTTTTTTAGTGGGGAGGGAAGGGTGGGACTGGGGTTTGAACTCAAGGCTTTGCACCTGCAAAGCAGGTGCTCTCTCTCTCTTGAGCTCATGCCTCCAGTTCATTTTTGTTCTAGTTTTTTTTTTTTTTTTTTTGGAGGTGGGGTCTCATGAACTATTTATTTGCCTAGGCTGGCCTCAAACCGTGATCCTCCCAATTAGCTCGGATTATAGGTGCAAGCCACTTGCACCCGTCTCTATTCTCACCTTTTCCTCCACTGAGGCTGCAGCTTTGCACTTCCTTGTCAGTGCTCCTTTTCTGGAAGCCCAAATGTCATAAACAACAACTGTCTCTTCCTTCTCCCCAAAGCAGGAAAGGCCTTTTATGCTTTTCTTGGGGAAATTTAGATTGCTGTCTTCCCTGAGTCATCGTGTCAGGCTGTTCCTTTCATGCCACGTCTGTGTCAGAAGATAGGAGGGTGCTTTCCTCAATGGAGCTGTTTGATTTTTTTTTTTTTAGATCCCTCTCACTTCAGGGCCACACTGGGGCCATCCAGTTTGAGTGTCTGGGTTTGCTCTCTCAGTGAGACAGTGAGCATTTGTTGCTTGCATCTTCCTCCTTTACAGGGCTCTTTAATATCGACATTGCTGATGGACAGATCATGCTACCTTGTCCCCAGGAGCTGGTACTGTAGACAGCACTACAACCGTAGCTACTACTCTCTCAGTTATCTCCTAGCTTTGTGACACTAAGCAGAATTGGTTCTGTATTCTAATTGGAACTTGCCAGGCCAGTGTTCTGATTTTCAGGCAAGATCAAAGAACAGAAAGGTTAAATGTCTGGGTCAAGATTTTCAGTAAGCAGATAGCATCTAGTTCAGCTCAAAATTGTTGCCAGAAGAGGTGTGAGGAAGGGGAAGTGTAAGACAAAGTATGTTACAGATATGTAACAGTCTGCTCAGAAAAGGAAGACAGATAATCTGTAATTCCTAGACAAATGATACAGACTCTAAACTTAACCAGAACAGAGCTGTTGGTGGGCTGTAGAGATCCAGGAACGCACATGTGGACCAGAAGGATGAATTGACTTCAGGCAGTGAGGAGGATGTTTTGGATAAGACAAACAGTTTAAAGTTTATATGATCTTGTACAAATTACTTAATCTCTATGAGAGTTGGTTTCCTCACCTATAAAATAGTCATTGCTGCAAAGATTAAATGATTAAATTTGTATCTGTCAGGAGTATGAGGGACCTCTAGTACAGGCTGAGCATCCCTAAACCAAAACTCCAAAATTTGAAATGCTCTGATATCCAACACTTTTTGAACACCAACATGATGCTCAAAAAGACTTGAATTTTCTCTGGACCAGGCCCAGGGTCCCCTGAACAAAATCTAGATTCTGTTATCTAGGAAGGGTGAACCCTGGTATATAACTACAGTGTCTACTTAATATGTAGGGCCCCACTCCCGTGCCAAGCTCCTAAGTCCTCAGTAAGCTGCAGTTCTTTTTTTTTTAATATTTGTTTTGACAACTTTATTTCTAATTATTCACAATACTCCAGAAAATATTCTGGGATATATTTTCTTTCTTTCTTTCTTTCTTTCTTCTTCTTTTTTTTTTTTTTTTTCTTATTTCTTTTACATTTACTCACTAAACTATAGTTCTTTTTGTGTTAGATATTGTTGGGCCAGGTGAGGCTCTTGAAGGTAGGAGTGGAGCCAAGAGGTCAGAGTTTGTGGGCTGGAGCAGACTTTCCTCCAACATAGAAGAACACCCATGCTCTTTGGAATCCGAGCGCTGGCTGGGACATCGATTCCTAAAGATGCCCAGCATCATCCTCTGTGAATCACTTCACAGTGTGCTCTTTCCTTGTCACCTGCCCTCCCCGTGGTATACTCACATTGGGGTAAAAATGAAAAACTTGACGTGAAAAGTCTTTGCACAAGTAAGGTGCACCATGCACGTGAAATCAGTATCACCTTCATGTGCTTCTCAGAGTAACTTTAACTGTGTTGTGTTCAGTCAGAGCCTGCACTGAATGGACCACACAGCTGAGGCTATGGGGCCCAAGGTTGACAAGTATTATATATTGGGGGGAGAGGCTTGTCCCTTCCTCCCCTCCACTGTGTCCTTTTTAGTTATGTGACTTTGGGCTGGATACGTAACTCTTCTGAGATGCTGTAAGGATAAGGTGTGAATTATCATTCTTTTCCAACCTGAGGACTCCATCCTGGGCCTTTTGAGGTCTCTTAGTTCTGAGCTCTCTAGATTTGTGACTCTGGTATTTCTAAGGCCTCCAGTTTGCGACAGTGCACAGGATGGACAGTCATTTACAGTTTGATATTGTAGGAGAACATGTCTGGTATCAGTAGGTTCCATGCTTACCTCAAATCCACACCTACTGAATGCTCTGCATTTAGTTTTATTCTACAATGTTCACTAAACTGAAAAACAAGCTAGCCTCCAAATAGCTATTATGTCAGCTGCTTCCCCATAATCCCCAGAGCTGCTGACTGCTTGGGATTCCATTAGCCTCAAATTGTGCACAGATTTCCCTCATTGGTCCAATTATCTTACTATGTGGGGAACAGCTCACATGTTCTATTTGCCCCTCTGCTGGTACATAGTGATCCACAGCACTAAGTCCCATTGCATACCAAAGGTTCATGGCCAAGGAGCAGCTTTTTCCCTCCCTGGCCTGTGCATTGTTACTTCATTGAGTAAAGCCTGACCTCTGAAATCTCCTCATTGTCACTTTGACACTTGCTTAGTTGTATACTCCCTCCTGGTATGTGTCACACACTGACAATCTTCAAAATATGGAGGTCAAGGCAGCCTGGCCTACAGAAGTGCCCCAGCTCTACACATAGACCTGTGTCTGCATCCCAGTCTTGCTGGCTCACTGGCTACCAGACTTCGTATAAATTGTCTCACTGGGAATCTCTGATTCCCAGTTTCTGACCTGCAAATGAAAAGAAAGAGCTTGGTGTCCCCTAGCACTTTCCCTGGCATTTAAGTAGTTGTTGACTGGCTGATGGCCCTTCCCTGCTTTGTGTGGCGTAGGAAGAGAAAGGATGTGATTGGAAGGGGAATGAGACTGAGCGCATCAGCAAATTGTGCCCCAGCCAGGCCCAGCTCATCTCTGGACTTCCCAGCCAGGCCCAGCTCATCTCTGGACTTCCCAGGTCCTAACTTGGGAGCCCCGTGCCTTCCCCACGTGGTGAGAAGAGGAGAGCATTGAGTCTCAGAGATAGCTCAAGAAAGTCTCCTACAGCCCTCTCTGTGAGTACAGCTCATGTATGCATGCTGTGCACTTGCCCCTCAAGCTAGGGTCGTAGGGAAGGGAAGGGCAGTGACAGATTTCTTGGTAGCATCTAATGTATAGGAAAGGCTGTGAGACCATCCTAACCAACAATGGGGACAGAAGGAAGCAGTCATTAGCTTCCTTGCTGTTCTAGCTCCCTCTGCGGTCCTTGTATTTGTGACAGGTTGAAAGAGATAGACAACCAAGAGGCTGATTTTTCAGGGCCTGTTTTGTGAGTTGATTTCCCTTTCCACTTGCTGACCTTCCCTTTCTTTTTGTGCTGCTGTCATCATTTTCCTGCAAGGCTCATTTGATTTCCCCAGCCCCCTTTTTCTACAGACTTGAGAGGAGGAGAATATTCAAGCAGCTAGAGCAACTAGTTGAATGAGTCTTTAATTGCATTGTAGGCAAGGACAAACTGGTTCTTCTTAACCTTGATGGCTTTGGACCAATTGTAGAGGAGCTTAGGTGACTGGGGCTTATCACCTCCTGTCTTGAGCCTGTCCCAAAAGAAATCATGCCTGAAACAACACAGGTCTGAATGATAATTATATTTACCTAGCTGCACCTCAACCCCTTCTCAGTTGAGACTTTGGTTCCTAAACCCTTTGTGGCTTCCCCACCTTTGGAGAGACTGATGGAAGATGGAGCCTCCTCCTAGAATACTGCACACATTCACACTCATCAGATAATGACACATATGCACAATAAAGCACTATTAGGCCATAAAAAAAGAATGAAATCCTGTTATTTGCAACATCAGGGATGTTAAGAAAAAGTTGACCTATTGGAAGCTAAAAGCAAAATGGTGGTTACTGGCAGCTGGGAGAGTTGGGGAGGAGGGTGGACTGGGAAGAAGTACTAGATTATAGTTAGGGTAAGAGGTTCTGGTGGACTGTTAACAGAGTGCCTGTAAATAACAGTATGTGCTGCATATTTCAAAAAGCTAGAAGAATGGAGTTTAATGTTTTCACCAAAAAGAAATGATAAATGTTGAGGTGATACATACATGTTTAAATTGATCTAAGCAATATTCGATGTATACATGGGTCATAACGTCACATGGTACCCCATAATATACAATTATATACAATTTTTATGTTTTTATACATCAGTTAAAACGAATTTTAAAAAATTTTAACATGCCCCTAACTCCAAGAGTCTTCATGGACTGCCCCTTAGGCTCGAAGGATCCAGAAGGGTCCAAGGGACCCCTGAGAACAAGGCCTGAATAATCTGCAAGCATTCTTTGCATTCCCCTAGCTCTGAAGCTGCAGAAAACAAAAACTGGAGGATCTATTGTTGTATGCCTCCAGTCCTGGAATGGTTCCATTTCAAAAGAATACTTGTCTCTTTGGTTTAACAGGGCCAGCTCTCTGTATATGGAGTGTATTCTCATAGTCAGTGTGTTTCAATATGCCTCACTAACAAATACATTTATTTGTAATGACAAAGTATGGCTAGGATATTACAGTAAATACTTAAGGGAAAAATTGTTGAAAATAATAACTGAGTTTAAACAATGAGGCACTTAGAACTGAACCATACAGATGCCTACCCTGCTTTGGCTGTTCATTTTGCCCTTCTAGGTAAATTATCATCATCTAGATACTGTCTGCTGCAGATCTAACATATGGACTTAAAAGGATCACATGTGCTAGAGGGCTGATTTTGGATCTAGGCCTCCCATGTCCTTGACTTTTAAGAGCATTTTCCCTTTTCTAAATAACATTTTAACTTCAACTTGTGTTGCTTAAATATTAAAAGTCTTTATGCTGCCATGTTGATTTTCTTTTTACTTCCTCTAAAAGTCTTTTCTTTACTACAAATTTTTATTAGGATATCTATAAAATGGAGGCTGTATCTTCAGGGTTAATAGGATCACAAGTTGTATTAGTCTGTGAGGGTTGCCATAACAAACTACCCCAGACCAGGTGTCTTCAACAAAAGAAACTTACTGTCACGGTCTGGAGGCCAGAGTTCAAGATCGTGTCTCTCTTTGGCCTGTCGACAGCTCTCTTCTCCCTGTATCTTCACATGCTCTTTCCTCTGTACTGTCTGGCCCTAAATTTCCTCTTCCATACTAGATTTTTCTGCACTCCTTATTTTCACTTAATCACCTTTGTCTTTAAAGAGGATCGAGGTCCATACAGTCACATTCTGGAGTACTGGAGTTAGGACTTCAATGTATGATTGGGGGAGGGGGTATAGATCAGTCACAGCACAAGTGTGTAATGCCTGACCCACAGAAGGCTTAGTAAATCTGCTTAGTGTTTATCTGCCTCACCAGTGTTTAGGCTGTACAGACTTTCAGTGGAATACTGCATGTCTGTAGACTCTCAGGCATACTAAGCCTATTTAAACAGGCAACCCAGCATTACAGCAGGCTTACCCTGTCCTCCGTTATCAGAGAATAGTCTGTTTCTTCCCTCTGCCCCAGATTCAGGATGTTAGGAATCTTTAAAATGACTCATCCTTGTGTCTCTCCTCCCCTTTCTGCCCTCTCCCCAAATCTTCTGGCCCTGTTCCAGGGTTCTTGTATCTATATGTAGACATTTGCTCACCTGCTGATTCTAAACTTAGTCATTGCCTTACTCTTCTAAAGTACTGGTCCCAACTGACTTCTCTTCTAGTCACTTTTTTCTTATTCTCTATCTTTGGAACTGCTGCTGTGTTCTTGGCATATGTGAGCAAGAGTCACCCAAGGCTTCAAGTGATTGTCACATAGCCCTGTACTACTCCTTTGCTGCCCTCAGCCCTAGTGGAAGGTCTGTAGGGAGAGTTTGTGCTGTGCTCATGCTTCAGAGGTACAGTATTCAGTCACTCCCATAGTTTCCCAGCAACAACCCATCCCCAGGGACTGTGGCCCATGCAGTACACTCTTCCAGCTCTCCCCAGCTCCCAGTGTGCGTGTCCCCAGAGAAGTAACTGGAGGACTTCGTGTCTCTGGGCAACTGAGCAGCCTCCTGAATGCTCCTTTGCACTTGTTTTTGTCTTCCAGCTGCAGAGCCATTGCTCCGTGATCAAAGCCTGGGTGCCCAAGCAGCCACCATGGCCACAGAGTACAACCTACCGAGAAGCCGATCACCGACTGAGATAGCCCGAGCGTGTGTGTGCGTGTGTGCAGAGGAAGGAGTGGTGTGCTGTGTGCGTGTGCATGCATCTGTTTACGCTCTCTGGTCCTGAATGCTGCCTGGGCTGGAGGAGTACCTGAAGCACACCTCACCACAAGTGCTACTTCTCGGCCTCCATATATGAGGCCAGAAGTCAAGGCGATAACCTTCAGCCAGGACCTTTCTCTGGGAGCCCCTTCTTGACTGAATAGAACATAGTGGTTAGGACCCTAGTTGGAGTTCTGGCACCAGCCTCCCTAGTCCTTCTTCCCTCCTCACTGAAGAGCAAGAGGATCACATCTTTGGCTCTTGTCCAAAGTATGGGATTCTAAAGGAATCCAGAATCCTACCAGGTTCCCCCTTTCTGATGCTAGAGGCTGGGCAGGTAGTAGTGTATGGATGCTGTCTAGACTTAGCCTCCTGGCCTGTCTTATTCTAAAATTTCCTGCCACTTCCTTGGGCATCTGGAACCCAGCATAAGTCTGTGGAAAGCTGCAAAGTTTCTGCCATTGTATAGAAGTACACCCAGATACCTAAATGGTGTGGTGTGTACCAGATCTGTAGATAGCAGCCTAAGACAGCACATCTGCCTTGTTCAGGCTTCGAGCTCTCACTGTTCCTTTCCCAGAAGCTGAGAGCCACTCTCCGCCTACCCAAGACCTGTGGAGGGGCCAAGGTCAGAGTTGGTCCCTCTACCAGTCTAAGTCCTGATGGCTTAAGGCCCCCTGGCTCCTCTGGCCACACTCCAAGGCACCTTAGTGCTCCAGTGAGGACAGCTGACACCCTGCCAGGAAAGCTGGCCAGTCTTTGTTCTGTGGGCTTCCAAGACCTGCCCTGAACTCGTCAGCATCTAAGCTGCATGTCAGCTATCTAGTAGCTGGGCTGTAAGGACTCAGGCAGAGGGACTTGGGGAGGGGGCACTGCCAGAGGGCAGTTGTCAGAAGTCCAAGGAGAGATCACACCCAGCACACCACCCCTTCCCCAAGCAGCAGTGGGAGGTTTGGCCCAGAAAAGCTGAGCCTTGCAATCCAGAGGGCCTGTCCTCCCACTTCCCTCCCACTGTCAGAGGCCCATGTTGAAAAGAAGTCATGAAAAGGATTGTTGTAACTAGAGCAAGTCTTCCTTCACCCCGTGGCCTGCACTTGAGCCACAGGTTGTGTGTGTGAGCCACATGTGTGTGTGTGTGTGTGTGTGTGTGTGTGTGTGTGTGTGTGTGTGTGTGTGTGTGTGTGTGTGTGTGTGTATGTGTATGTATGTACACAGCTGAGAGGGTAATTCCTGTTTGGATTGTTCTCACATGTAACATTAAGCTGGCCTCTGGGCCTTTTCCTTTCTACCTCCCCTGTGACCTTTCCTAGCCTCAGAGCTCTTCACTCTCTTGGCCCTGGCCCTCACTGTCCTCAGACTAGAACCTGGGGGTCAGGCTCCTGTCTCCTACAGCTGTCCAGCACATTGACAGGCTTCTTCCTGAGATGTCCTCAGGTTTTCTCAGCAGAGAGCTACCTTTAGAGTCCAACTGTTGTATGTTTGTCACCCTCACTAATATGTCCCATAGTCCTGTGGGGAAACAGGGCACAGGTGATGGTGTGGATCCAGAGCATTGGAGTAGGCGTCCCTCTTCCCTCAGCCCCAGCCAAAGGGAGAGGGATTGGGGTTACTTGCCATGGGGAGTGGAGTGAGCCTGAAAGGCAACGGCTGAGAGGTGGATTCAGTATTTATTTAGTAGCACCTTCAACTACCAGGATGATTCCTGCCTATTTGATGATGACTTCTTCCCTAAGGCACAAATTGACAAAACCACCTCCCCTACTACCACCATTCCTAGCATGCTGACCCATTCCCAGGACAGCCTTCCAGTAGAACAGAGCAGGCCACTCCCAGAGTTATGGGGGGTGGGTGCAATGGCCTGGAGCTCTATGATGGCTTTGTGCCTCCCTTCTAGCCCAGGTGGCTCTGGAGCTGCCACAGCAGGGCCCCAAATCCTGCTCCAAGGGCAGCATGGAGAAGAGATGGTTGCAGGTAAAATGCACTTTATAGAGATTTTCTATTGCTGCGAAGGTATGTTTCTCCCACAGTTTGTGAATATTCACTTGTTTTATAAATGTCTGATCCTGTCTGAGTAAAACTGTGTTGTCAATCTTGTGGGAGGTGCGGGGACCAGGGATTGGTAAAGCTGAACCTGAGTGAGGCTTCATGCCAGAACACCTTAGTTCTGCGGGGGTCAAGAGCCTCTTATTCCTCCTTGAAGACAGGAGGTTGTGTGTGAGCTCCCCATGGAGAAGACCAGAGTTGGAGTCAGTCAGCCAGAACAGTGCAGAGCACCCTGGACCCAGGATGAGTTCCTGAGTGCTATCCACAGTGACCCAGCCTCACAGCCCCGTCTCGGGCCAGTTCATAGCCAGGCCCTCAGCCATCCTTTATTCCTTTATTTACCTCAATGCAGCCACTGAAGCGCAGCTGTGGTGAGGGGCGTGTGGATCCTCTGAACAACATGGTTGAGATCTGCCGCAGCCAAGCCTGAGTGAGGCCTGGGTGCTGGCTCTGTCCCATGCCATTTGGCCAGAGGGCCATGTTGCATGGGTTTTCCTGCTGGGGAAGGAGCCCAGGCAAAGCCAAAGAAAATCAATCTGCCCTGCACAGAGGGAGAAAGGGGAGGAGCTTGACTCAGCTCCTTCTTGGCTCTGCCATGAAATTCCTGCTGTTCTTTCTCCTCCCTTCTCTTTGCTTTTCATATGACTTTGCCCCCTAGGAGCTAGAATACCTTTGTTCTTGATCAAAAGGTTCTAGAAGCAGGAGCTGTTCGTGTACACACACTCCTGACCTGAGGATGCTTCCTAGCTGAAACAAGCAGCCATTTTCATTAGCCATGATTAGATAAGACTTTTCCTGGGAAGAGAAGGCTGGTGCCATTGCAGCAGGTGATTTTTGGAAAAGCTTAGTGTGAGAGGCCTGAGCCAAAGTGACAGAAACGTAAAATGACCCTCTGAGCTCCAATGGCAGGGAGGAGAGAGGTAGCTAAAGACTTTGGCGCTAAGTTCTGGGATGTTCTTGGGACTGGAACAGGGGAATTGCTTATTCTAAAGCAGGTGCTTGCAGCTCCTTGCTGGTTACTACGTGGAAGCAAAAGGGGTCAGTGTGACCAATTGGCAGTGGAGATTTGCAGGTAGGACTACAAACTAAAAGTTCGCTTGGCCTTTTTGCCCTGTCCTGCAATTCTCAAGTGGCCAGAGAAGCAGTGACATTTGGGCAGAGGCTCTATGACCCAGCAAGGCTGAGGCCCTGGCCTTGGCAGACCATGCTGTGAGAGAACCTAATATGAAAAACATGCCATGGAAGATCCAGGCTTAACCCTCTGATGGGGAGAGAATACCACAAGGAAACCAGAGCCAAACTTTGCAGGGGTGGAGGGAACAAAAGCAACCAAAGGAATCTGAAGGTGTCAACCACGGGAAGGTCCCAAGTCTTAGAATGTGAGAGGCTAACTTGGGAGTGTCTGGATGCAAAAAAGGGGTGCTCTGCTGAAAATGCAACTGAGGTGTTGAGTGAGGGGAGTACTGGAAAAGTCCTGGAATGAAGGAGACACTAGGGGACCTAGAAGCCAAGGGCAGGACCCAGTTAACTAGGAACTGTAGCTGTTCAGAACTGAAGGGAAGCTTGGATCACCCTCTAGAGAGGGTCCTGGGTGGGGATGGGGGCTCCCAAAAGGGACAGGAATCCCAGTGTGGGAAGCGGGATGTTCCCAGCTACTGGTGACAACATATTGCTATTACATTTCATCCTCGTCACAACCATGGGAGGCATCATTACATTACTGTCCCCGTTTCACAGGTGGTAAAATCGAACCTCAGAGCTGTCAAGTCACTAACACAAGACCCACTGCCTATCCACTTGTAGAGCCAGGCTGTGACTTCACACCACCTGCCCTCCAAACCTGTCTGCTCTTGGAATCCACTCACACCCTCTCTCCTTTCTCCTTTTCCTTCCCAACCCTCCTTTCCCACCACGCCGCCTTTGTCTCGGCTGTGGGGGACCAAATATGGACTTGGAGAACAGGGTCTGGCCATTAGTTAACCTGATACTCTGGTGCTAGGTCCACCTCTAGGAGAGACGCCCACGCTTGCAACTGGGGGCTTTGCGGGGTAGGGCAGAGTCCTTGTGAGGTTTAGGGCGGGGCGGGGCAAACCCAGGGTCGCGGGGGCCGAGGCTTCAGCACCTTGGAGAGCACCACTGCGGGGGCGGGGCCAGGGGCGGGGCCACGAGACCCCGGCCGGGCCCGGGGGCGCGCGCGGGGCGCTCTCGGCGGGCTCGCGAGCGGTGCGCGGACCGGAGCCGCGCCCGCCCCCAGCCCAAGCCCCGCGGCGGCGGCGGCGGCCTCCTCGCCGCGCCTCCGCCTCCCTCGCCGCCGCCGCGCCGCGCTCCGCCCGGATGGCCAGGGCTGTGCCCGGGAATGGCGGAGCGAGAGAGCGGCGGCCTGGGCGGGGGGGCCGCGTCCCCGCCCGCCGCCTCCCCGTTCCTGGGGCTGCACATCGCGTCGCCTCCCAATTTCAGGTGAGAATCCCTGGCCGCGAGCGCCCCACCCTTCGGCCCGGACAGCTGCCCGTGCTGCCCTCCGCCCCCAGAGCCTCGGGATCCCGGGCCCGAGCCGGGGGCGTGGGGTGGGGTCTCTTCCCAGGACAGAGTCCTCCCCGCCGCGCGCAGCCTCCCGTCCACACTGCCGCCGCATGGTCCTGATTCAGCTCCCTCCGCCATTCCACGTCCCGGGTGCGAGGCTCTGAGCTGGAACTGGAGGAGGGGGTGCAAGGCTGCCTTCTCCCCTTCTCCGGCCAGGTCTGGGGTCTGGTAGAGGTCCCCGGGGGAGGCAGGCGAGCAGGCAAGCTCGCCCGGGCTTTGCCCTGCCCCCTCACAAGGTTTCTGGCTAGAGATGGGAGCTGGGGTGGCTCTCGGGTCCCAGTTTCGTGAGGTAACCGACAACCTTGGTGCTGGAAGGAGGGAGTCGAGTCGTGGGCCCCTCCCCCAGCCGTGCCTGGCCAGATGGGACCAGTTGCTAGGCCGGCATGGCCAGGATTCTCTGGATTTGGGCAGAGCACACCTGGTCGGGTGTCTCTCAGGGTAGATGCAGAAGGGTTAGCCTCAAGCAAGGGATCCGAAGCGGAGCTGTGAGAGGGGGCGTCTACCGAGGAGTGGCCAGTGACATATGGGGGTGGGGTCCCCTGCTGGGGTAAGTACTCAAGACCCTGACTTTAGTGCCCCTTCCACCCCACCCTCAATGTGGTGTTTGGCTAGGTGGATTTCAGAGCCTGGATAGGGGAGGAATGACTGTCCTCTTCCATAATCCACCCCCCCCCAATTGGTGAGGAGAAGAGTGGAGGTGTCACTGTTCCAGAGCCTAGAAGGAAGCTGAGACATACCCCATTGTTCCCCCATCTCAGGAGCTGGCGCCTTTCCCTCTCCTGGGGCCCCTTCCCCAGCCAGGCCCCAGCTGGGCTCTGGCGCCAGCCCCTCCTCTGATCAAGGAGTCCAGTGGCTTACTCGCAGGCCCTCAGGTGGGCCGGGACCCCTGGGAATCTCTAATGGCACCATCAGGCCCAGGAAACCTCCCTCAGGCCAGCCCTAGGCCCAGAGAAGAGGGTCAGAGGTAGGCTTCAAGCCTGAAGACTGGACAGTCTCAGCCTCCCAATAGTGCTTTAGATGCCCCCAGCAGGGCACACGCTGTGTGTGTCTTCTTGCCCAGCGGCCTCTGCAGGGAAAGAGCATCAAGGTGAGGGACCTGGGTTCAAATTCTAGCACTACCACTTCCTCACTGAGTGATCCAGGCAGCTTTTTGTCCTCTCTGGTCTCATTTGTTAAATGGGCTTATTAATATTGATTCCTGTCTGGAAAGGAGACAGTGCCTAAGTAACTGTTCAGCCCTCTGTGCTGGCGCGTGTCTGTACAGCTCAGGGCTGTCACAGCATTTCCATGCTGCCTCACTTAACCCTCACAGCCACCCTGAAGGTGCATATGGATCTCCCCTCTGTAGAGGTGAGGCAAAGAAGGTTGGGGAAGGCAGGGGACTTGCCTGAGGACCCTGAGAAAGACCAAGGCTGGGTCTGGAATGGACCTAGGCCTGTGCCTGCTCAGTCCACTGTCCCTCTAGGCCCAGCCTCTGGCCCTGGGCACACCTCCTTCCCCCCTGCCCTCTAGCAGGCCATTATCATACAGGGTTACTGAGAGGAACTGAGCCGAGATAGGCACACCAACCAAGGAATGTATGGGCCAGTCTGGCTCAGGCAGGACGAGGGCTGCAATAGGCTAAAAGGCAATAGTCTAGAAGGCTGAGGCGTAGGCCAACTCCAGGACACTGTGGCAATAATAAGGGACAGTGTCTACAGCCCTGCATGGCCTGCCCTGCCTCCCGCAGCAGCCCCCACTGCCTTTTCTCTTGTTCTGCCTCCTGCAGCCCCTGGCCCAGCTCCATTTAACCCTGAGCAATTGTGCTCTCTTGGGGCTCTTTGGTAGGGTTGTGGACACAACTGGCCTGGAAACCCGCCATGTTTAGCTCTGTGCCCCAGCCTGGGCACTTAACCTTTCTGAATCTTCATTTCTTCTTCAGTGTGCCAGCGTTAGCCCCTGATGAAGACTCAAACGAGACATCACATGTTGAGTGTTTCTAGGGTTGTGTGTGTGTGTGTGTGTGTGTGTGTGCAGATGCACGCACCCAGGCCCTGACTACCACTGTCAGCTCCAAGAAGGTATGGGGTCCATGCTAGAACCTTGGTATCTGCGCTGCTCAGCCTAGACTAGGTGCTCAATTATGCCTTACTTGTTTATTATTTAATTAAGGATAAATTGGGTGCTGACCTGCTAGAGAACACAGAGGAATGGTAGCTGTCACTGACCTGTGGGAGGTGCTCGATCTGCAGGTACCCAGTTAAGAGCTTTCTGTGTGCAAGAGCTTCCCCCTCCCCACCCAGCATGTGAACAGAATGTTATCACTCATGCTTTTCAGGGGAAGAAACTGAGTCTTTCAGAGCTTAGGTTAAGTGGCGGAGCTGGGATTTGAACCAGGCAGTCTGATGTCAGAGCTACCTCCAAAAGACAGAACCCTGGAATATTGGAGGAGCTTTGTGGAGGGGCTAGCATGGCATGGACAGGACAGAGCGTCTGTTTGTTGGTTGTGGGGTTATGTAAATATGTGATTTCTTTTTTCTGATGATAGAAAGGTTCCATGTGGTTACTAGTGGTCACAGCTGGGTATGGGGTGGGATGAGAGATTTTCACTTTTATTTTTACATACTCTGTAATATTTGACTTTGTAAATTTATGGTGAGCATGTATATAGGTTACTTGTGTAACTTACAAAATAATAAAAGGAAATTTGAAATCAAAGTGATACATGTTCATGACAAAGAAAACTATCAAAGAGGATTTATACAATGATAGATACACTGGCACAGGTGGGTGGCAGGGACAGGGGACAGTCATCCCATGTGGGAATACCAGCAGGACAAAGGAGTGTTCATGGGAAGTAAAATGAGCTCCCTGACTTGGGTGTGTGGGAGTCATGGATTCCAGAGAACTTAGAAACCAGCTCATAGGAGCTAGGGGTGCAGCTCAGTGATAGAGCCTTTGTCTAGCATGTGTGAGGCTCTGGATTCCATCCCCAGCACTGCAAAAAATGAAAAGAAGAACTCAATTCATCCAACTAACCACCTTTTACTCAGAAACAAGAGAGAGCCAGTAATTTTCCCAAGAACACACAGTAAGTTAGTGGCAAAGCTAGGACAGCGCTCACGCCCAGACTCCCTGGACGGTTTCTGTGTTTATCTCTTTGCGGCACTGGACACACGTGGTTGCTCCTTCCTTCACTCACAAATATTTATACTTTGCCAGGCTCACCAGGGGGGTATGCAGAGGTCCTAGGGTAGTGCGATCTTTACGTAGATGACAGTATAGAGGGGAGACAGGCAGAACAGAGCCTACCAGATAGACTGAGTATGAAGGTAATGCAGGTCCAGGGCTACCAAAGAGGACCAGGAAAGACTCACCAGAGGAAGGGACAGGCCTTGTGGCCTGGTGGACAGGAGGAATCACCAGAGGAGGCCACAGCATGCCGGAAGGGCTGGGGAGCAGGAGGGCGGGCTGATGACACCCTGATCAACAGTGTGTGGAGAGCAAAGTCACACAGAAACTTGTAGGACGTGTTAGGACGCTGGCCTCTTCACTGACAAGCAGTGGGGTCAGGCAGGAAACAAGTGCATTGCGAGGATATTCTGTAAGATCACTGTGGTTGGTGGGCAGAGTGTGGACAAGGAGACAGGGTGATCAGCTGGCCATCCTTCGGGCGACAATGAGGGCTGTGGACAGGAACTAAGAATGGTCTAGGGGATTGGGTCTGGTCTGCAGGGTGGAGGAGAGGCAGCAGTGATCACGTAGGTGCTGGGACTCCCTGGGGGTAGGAGATAGAGGGTGGACAGGCAGAGTGGTCAGATCACATGGACACTTGCTGGATTTTGACCAGGGGTCTTTGGGACCGAGTTGGAGGAGTCAAGCAGGCAGTTATTTGAGGTCTGGCACTCTGGGAGGCAGGCAAGACTGGGCTGCAGCCAGTCTAATCCCTGGGAGTATTGGCACATAGAGATGGCTGCTGTCACTTCAGAGAGAACCTCCCCTCCTAGGAGAGGGAGCAGAGGGAGAAGGGAGGCCTGTAGCCAAGCTGAGACCACCAGCCCCCCATGCTTTGATGGAGGTGGGAGGCAAAATAGCCAGGGCTGCTCCTGGCCTGGCTCCTGGCAGAGGAGGCTGATTTGCCTCACATGTAGTCGGGGCAGGATTTCAACCCCAGTTCTCTGACGTCTCTGGATTCTTGGGATGGGCCACAACCGAATTTTGACCTGAGCCCCAAAGGTTCCCACAAATTAGGGGTCCGCACCATTCCTACTCAAGGGGCCTTACCCATTCTAGAATACCACCTCTGTTCCCTGGCCGGCTTGTATTTATTCAGAAGTCTGCGGGCGTGTCTACTGGGTGCTGGTCCTGTCCTGTCACTGGAGACACAAGTAAGGAGTGCATGACTGCTGCTCTTACCAAGTATCTGTGACATGCTGGCTTAGTGCCTGTTTTGGAGTGAACGTAGAGAGTCAGCTCCAAGGTCTGGCCCTGCCCTCAGGAAACAGGCAGCCCCAGGAGAGGGCAGGAGGCCCCAGCTAGGGACTGAGAGCCTGGTGCTGGGTTGGTGGGGGCCAATACCAGAAGTCTGCCCAGGACAGCAAAGGAGAAAGGTCCTCCCAGATTCCATCACATCACACAACCACGTGTCCACGTTTATGTGTCTTCCTGTGGGAAGACATAGGCCACGTGTTCTGCCGTTCTGCTCGTTCTGTTCATTGCCATTTCCACATTAAGACACAGATTCTGTAATTTTCCTTCCAGAAGATGCATGGCATTCCATCCACTGGGAATGGGCCGTAGCCCTGTTCTGGCCCATGTGGGTCACCACTGCCATCCCCACTCAGGGGGGTCACACAGCCTGTGTGTAGAGGACCGTGCCCTCAGAGTGGTTTTCCAAAGTCCAATGGCTGCTGACCCATCTTGCCACCTAGTGCACCAAGATGTTTGGACAAACCAAACACATCTTAGCATCAAGCGAGGGTGTCCCTTGGGACTCGTTTCTTGGTCTGGATTCAGTTTTCACTAAAGATGGTGTCAGGAATAAATCCAGCCTGACTGGCAGTGGGGAAAAGAGGGTCCTGAAGGTGAGGCCAGGCCTGGCTCACTTCACCCCACCATTTCAGCCAGCTTTCCAGAGGCCCAACCAACCGATCCCAGACTCTCAGGTATGGGTGAAGACACAGGAAATTGAGTCCCGTGGAGACCGACTTAGAGATTTGTGAGGCAAAAATCTAGAAAGGTGCAGAACACTCATGGTTCATTCACTCAACATTTACTAGGTACTTATTAGACACCGCACTCATTGATGGAGAAAGACACAATCCCACTCGTGCAGTCCAACTGCTTCCCCGGGAGACCACCACCAGCCTACCACTGGTCACATGACCCAAAGGAAAAATTAGTCATAGGCTGCCAGTTGGAAGGCAGCTCCGTTCAGAACTCAGGGCTGCAGAGCGCCCTGGATCGCTGGACCATAGGGGCCGTCTGCATCATGGCTGGGACCTATGGTCTCTCAGCTGGCGTCCTTACCACGTAAAGCACAGCCAGGACTCAAAGGCTCTGGGTGCCACACTCCTGCCTCCTGCTGGCCTTGCTCAGCGAAAGCGCAGCCACATGTACTTTAAACTCGGCCTATTCTTGGCTTGAAATAGTAATTAGGAAGGACTGGGACTGTTGTCAGGGAAGCAAAGACGACAGGGAAATGTGACAGCATGAGGCATGAAAACCACATGAGAATATGCAAGAGGCCCAGGCCTAGGGTGGGGTGCAGGGGTTGAGGTATAGCTTGCCCCCTGCTGGGGACAGAGAGAGGGGGGAAGGTCAATGCAGGAGGAGAGGCTGTGGATGTGAAGATAGAGACCAAACTCAGAGTCACCAAGTGTTAATACGGCAGTTGTCCACCAGAATGTCTGACTGATTGACAGCAGTGCTCCAAGGGGGGCTGCAGAAGTCCCTAGGCCCAGGGCGAGGGCTGCAGCCTCCCAGAGCTCTGTGATTGAGCCAGGTGGCCCTGTGTGCTCAGGACTCGTTTCTGAGAAGAGAGTGTATTAAGCAAGGTCAGGAGGGAAGCTCCTTCCCTTCTTTTTCCTCCCTTCCCTCTATCTTTTCCTGCCTCCATCTTTCAGTCCCTACTGTTGGCCTGTGAGCCCAGAGGGGCCAAGGGTCTTTGCTCCATGAAGGGTCTTGCAGGGTCTGGCTGGAGATCCAGACCATGTGGTGCCAAGAGAAGAGGGGGGAGAGGGCAGGGTTCTGGGTGAGGGTGACTTGTGAAGGGGACTCCTTGGCTGGTCCTTCCCCCTAGTCCTTGGTAGTGACCTGCCAGCACTCCGCATCTCAGAGTTTACTGCATTCTGTTCATCCGCACAGTGTCAAGGTGGAAGACAGCGCATGGCTTCATTTTGGGCAATGCAGGCCCAAGCACCTGAGCCTTCGTGCCTCCAAGTGTGAAATGGGAGGCCCAGAACCCTCTCCCAAGGTTGAGAGGAGATGCCCAGCAGCAGTGTGGAAGTAAGAGCCAGGATTTGCTCTCAGGCCACCTGCTTCCAGGCTTGACGTGGGGTCTTCCTGCTGTCTAGCCCTGCTTAGGAAGGCACCCCAAACTAAGATAAGGGCACTGGCAGCAAGGTGATTAACAGATTCAACAGGTTTTCACCCCAGGTGGCTGCTGTCCCTTGGGAAAGGGGCAAGGGAGAGCACCTTCCTCACCCCAGAGGAGCCAGGAATCAAGCGCAGTCTACCTGGCCCCCAGCCTAGAGCTCTTCCCATCACTGTCCAGTGAGCCCAATTCCCTTGTCTACAAAGGACAATTCCCCTGGCCCTGCTCCAGCCAGTCCTGTTGTTCAAGAGACTGGCATGTCCTGCACTGCAGATGTACACCTCCTGCTCCAGGCCACACTAGACCCTGTGGGCCTTCCTCCCACCCCTCTGGAGGCTGAAGACATCCTTTAACAAACACCTGGTCAGCATGTATTGAGCATCCAGTGTTTGCAGGATACCCTCACCAGCTCTGCCCTCCAGGGAACTATCTGGTCTAGCCAGGAGCTTGTAGGAAGAGGACACATATTGAACGGGGTAAGGTGTCTGATGGAGACTTGGTCTTGTTGGCTTCACCATTACTGACTCACATCCAGGCAGAAGGTGACTCCAACCACATGAAAGGGAGGGCCAGGAGGGCTTTCTGGAGGAATGGGCTCCATGGAGTATTTCTCTGGCATTTTGAGGGCTTACCATGTACTGTAGCCTGTGCCTTCCCTCGAGGACACGAAGCAGTAACACATGGTTACACGTGGAGCTGGGGCCTTGAATGCCACACATAGGAATCTTCATAGTGCTGATAGTGCGGACGTGAGGAGACTGAGGCAGGTGGGCAGTGGTCCAGCAGGGTTGGGCAGTGAGGAGGCACAGATATGCCCAGGCTCACCAGTAGAGCAGGAACATCAGAGGACACCTGTCAGATGTTTGTCAAAAGATGCCCAATGGTCTCCAGGCTCCCTGAGGCCGGCTGAATCCCAAGGACTCCTTTTGCACCATGGGCCTTGGTGACCTTCCAGGGAGCACTTAGTTTGTGCTGGCCTCAGGGTTCCTGTCCTAGGGCTGAGATGCCACCCACTTCTGGCTTCTAGACTGGCCTCCCCCCACTGGCCATGGGTGTCCTTGCACACCAGCTGGTGGTCACACCCTCCCATGGCCCTGGGGACCTATCACCTTTGGGCTGTAAGTCAGAAAAGGCTGAAGGAGCACTTTTCCCTTACCAGAATCCACTGGACTCTTTTCTCTTTAGGGGCCTCAGGCTCTGTGAAAGTCAGTCTGTTACCACCCAGCTCCATTTCAGCCCTGTGCCAAGGGGCCCAAACACTGACCTGGCCTTACCTGGGGCTCCTTCTGACCCACAGGCTCTTGATTCTGGGGAGGGAGCAGCCCAGTCCTGGGCCCATAGAAGACTCCCCAGTGATGTGTAGGGTCTGAGTCTGCAGCTGTGTGGATGAGGTGTCCATTCTTGGGAAGCTTTGGGAGACCCTTCATCTTCCACCTGGCATCTTGAGTGTGGCACTGGCCCTTTAAAGCAGATCAGGGGCTGGCTTTGGGGGGGAACATCTCAGATTCTGCCATCTGCTCACAAGCCTGGGCCAGGGAAGGGAATCACCCAGCCCCCAGTTAGGGGCATTGGAAGGGCAGGTGGAGCGGGTGGCATTGATTGCAGTAACCTGATCCCACGGGGGAGGCGGCATCTTCCCAGCGCAACCAGGCTGCAGGAGGAAGCTGTCTGCAGCTGAGGGCTGGGCCGGGAAGAGCTGGGGCTGGGGTTGGGGCTGGGGCTGGGGCTGGGGCTGGAGCTGGGGCTGGGGTTCAGGTCGGCAGCTGCTGCCTCCTCTTTGGCCCATCTATTTTTAATGAGCTCCCCGGGCTTCTGCAGCGGGCAGGACGCAGAAAGACAGGCCCAGGCTGTGGAGGCTGGAGGCCCCAGCTCTGCTTTGAGCCCTGGCCCCCCCACCCTTCTGGGCATGAGAGGGCAGCCCTGGGGCCCTGCAGCCCCCTGGCTGGGCAGGGCTCTCCATGCAGCTGGTACTGAAGATGGATTCCAGCCCAGACAATGACAGCTGGTTGGAGGATCAGTGGGAGCGCTGGTAGGGGACCTGGGGGCTGATTGGGGACCGGGCACTGGTGGGGGAGGGGCGGTGAGTGATGGCACTCCAATGAACTCAAGGGTCCTTGTTCCACTTGAGGTGAAAGGCAAAGATGTGGGCCTCCTAGGTTCCCCTGGGAGCTTGGTCCCCCCACCTTTTGAGTGACCTTGGATGAGCAGGGTCCCTTGCTCTGTGCCTAATCTTCAGGTCAGTTTTTTGGAGAAAGGCCCAGGCATTCTCCCTGACTTTCTATTTGTCCCATCCACACCAAACCAAGTGGAGTGATGGGGGGAGGCGGGGGACAGGTGCAGGGGACAGGCAGGCACTGCAGTGACTGGGCCAGACCTGCACTCTGAGATGAGGTACAATACTGGGGCTCCAGAGGTGCCAGTTAGTTTGTTAGTGTTCCAGTGCTCTGTGTAGTCAGTCTCCTGGGGCCTCCAGCCCCAGCCTGGGCCTTACATCTGTTCAGGGTCTTTACACTAAACAAAAGATTGTGTGGCTGGAGGGATGAGACCTAGAACATAGCATGAGGGCATAGTTTTGGAATGGGCCCAGCCTAGATTTTCCCCTTGTTTGTTCCCAGGACCCAATGGGTACATCTTTCTGGGTGGGGGCATGGGGCACCCCTCTGAGGCTGCTGGGCTCCTCTGCCAGCACCTTGGGCCTTGTTACTGCGGACTGAACAGGCCCCTCTCCTCCTGGCGCACCTTGGAGTCTTTTCTCACCTCTGATTCTCTGTGGGCAAACTGGCCCTAGCATCTGCTTTGGCCCTGGAAGGCATTTCTCTGGCCTTTTGATTGGCAACAGGATAAGACTCCTAGCCAGGAGGGGCTGGAGGAACCCAGGGCCTCCACCTCCTCTGCCACCCTAGGAGGACTGCCTTTTGGCACAAGCTCCAAATTCTTTCACTTCCTGTTGGCCACCCCCTCCATTGGTGCAGATGAGCCCAGTCTTGCCCTCTGGGGCTGTCACCTGTCTTCCAGAGGCTGTCCCTTGGAAGAGATCCCTTAGCAGCCCCACTGGGTTATAACTTCAGCTTTCCTGTCCCCACCAGGCTCACCCATGACATCAGCCTGGAAGAGTTTGAGGATGAAGACCTTTCTGAGATCACCGATGAATGTGGCATCAGCCTGCAATGCAAAGACAGCCTGTCCCTCCGGGTAAGGGCTGGCTTGGGGGAGCCCCTGAGTAGGGTGGCAGGATGGGTAGGAACAGAAGTGAGGGCATCCCCACCCTCAGGAAGTGAAGTAACATGCAGGAAACATCCGGTACAATGCTTAGGTGCTCAATCAGCATTATTAGTTTATTTTGCCTAATGTATCATTTTGTCAGGGCAGAGGCAGGAAGCAGTTCTTTGAAGTTCCCACAAGGAGAGAGGGCAGGAGGTCGTGAGATGTAGGACAGTGGCAGTGAGGGCCAGAGTTAAGGCCTTTTCAGGAGCAGTCTGGCAGAGGGCCTGAGGCAGCACAAATCTGGTGGAATCTGCAGTTCTTTGGGGAAGGAAATAGGAGCCAGGGCACTTTTGGAATAGCTCCCATGGCTGCCGATTGCCACTGCACCACACCAGCCGCACCACATGGGCCTCCCAGTCCCTCTCTGCCTTATACTGAGGGTTTGGCCCAGCATCGCTGTTGCTTTGGGCCCCGTCTTTGCCGTAGGAAGATGGTGCTCTCCTGTCCCTAAAGAACTGAATGCTGTCAGGAGATTCTCAGCAGCTGGGCACCTGGACTGGCTGGGCAGCTCCACTCTGCCTTCAGAACAGGAAGAAAGGGCCACCTGGCTGGGGCATGGACAACAGTGCACAGGGTCAGGTTTTAGAGCCCAAAGCTTCTCTCAGCCTCAGGGGGTAGGTAGCTAGATTTGGTGTTAGGGAAACCACAGTGTGAGATGGAGAGGGGGTGCTTGTCTCTAGGTTGACCTCTTGCTACTCCAAGCTTCTGAAAGCTCAGCCAGGCAGAAGGAAGCCGAGGGGAGAGGATAACGCTCCAGTTCCCACACCCCAACTCTCTGGCTAGGCCAGGAAGAGATGGAAGCAGAAGCCACTATTTTGGACTCTGACACTACTCCCTCCCCCAACCAAAGTCTGCAGGAAGGTCTCCTGCAACTAGCCAGGGCCCTGATGCAGTACCAGCTAGGGGTGTACACAGGGGGCTGTAGTCAAGCTCCGGGGGGCTACCACACACACTTGGCAGTGACCTTAACTCCCTGGGCAGCTGGGAGGCAGTATTGGCCCAATCAACCAGTGAGAGATGGGTCGGGAGATCTGTCCAAGGCGCCAGGGAGTTAGTGGCAGAGCAGGAACTAGCAAGGAGCTCGGGACTGTCAGGCAGGTTAGCTGAGGTAAGATCCCAGATGGAGGGGCTTGGGACAGTGAGCTGAGAAGAACAGGCAGGGAGGGCGGGCGATGCCAGCCCTAGGCCCCCGGTGCCGCCCGCTTGCCCCTCCCCTTCAGCATCCCTCTTCTGGCCGCCGTCAGAACCCCCTGTCTGCACTGCGGCCCTCCGGCTAGCTCCCTCACGTGTCTGAGACTCAGTTTTCCTCAGTGGCCTCTTCAAATACTAATTGTCCCTCCATTCCCTGTGGGGCCCGAACTCCTTGGCTACCCCTGTGTCCCCATGGTAACAGCGGTGATTTCACTCTGGGCTCCGCTTACAACCCGGGTGAGGTCACCGGCCGTTGCCAAGGGAACGGGAGGGTGCAAGGAGGCGGGAGGGTGGGGAACCGTGGGAGAGGAGAGTTGTGGACCGTCAAAGACGCCGACGGGAGTGGAGGGAGGCGGCCTCGCATGGCGTGGCAGGGGGCGCGGGGAAAGAGCCCTCTGTCCCCAGCCCCTGCCCGGCTCCCTCTTATCCCCCCTCGCCACCGCGGCGGAATAGACTCGCCCAACGTGGGGCGGTGCGCGGCGGCCTTGGCCCCGCCCCTCCCGGCGCGACCCCGCCCCCTGACGCCCCTCCGTCCGCGCCGCGCAGCCCCCGCGAGCCGGGCTGCTGTCTGCGGGCGGTGGTGGCGGCGCCGGGAGCCGGCTGCAGGCGGAAATGCTGCAGATGGACCTGATCGACGCAGCGGGGGACACTCCTGGAGCCGAGGACGACGAGGAGGAGGACGATGAGGAGCGTGCGGCGCGGCGGCTGGGAGCGGGGCCGCCCCAGGCCGAGTCTGGTCAGGAGCCGGCGCCTCGCGGCCAGGGCCAGGGCACCGGCAGCGGGGACACGTACCGGCCCAAGCGGCCCACCACGCTCAACCTTTTCCCGCAGGTGCCCCGGTCTCAGGTGAGGCTCGAGCGGCGGGGTCGGAGCTGAGGGGGCCGGGAAGGTGGAGGGAGTACGCAGCGCCTCGCGGGCCTGGGCCGGCGCACGGTGGGCTGCTGCGCGGGGAGGGACTTGCAGGCCTCCGCGCCAGGGACGACAGGTCTTGCGCCCGGGAGGGCAGGAAGAGAGGTTCGCTCCTGGGGCGGGGGGCTCCGGGGGCTGGTAGATCTGTTCTGAGAGGGGCCGAGTCCACCTATCTGGGTGTGGAGCCTTGAGAAGGGTGGAAGGAGTGAAGGGGTTGTCAGGGACCATAGAAGGATTGGAGAGGCAGGGGATTGGGAGAACAGGGCTTTGGGGGAATTGGAAGGAGGTGGGCGCCTGGGGCTGTGGTAGGGTTCCTCTGTAGTTATGGGACTCCTGGTAAAGGTGGCCTGGAGAAAAGGGCATCCGAAATGGGAACTTGTGAGGGAGAGATGGGGGTGGGGGGCAGCAGCCTTTGAAATCCCAGCAGCTGGGAATTCCAGAAGGTAGGGGGAGTGATAGGGGATGGAGCTGCTTGGCCGAGTTGGGGGCCTAGGGCCCCTGTTGGGTGGCTGGATGCCAAGGAGAATTGAATGGAGTGGCCCTTTGTCTTCCAGGCCCAGTCTGGAGAGGTACAGGCAATAGCTCAGGGAGGTGGTGCCGCTGGTGGATCGTGCAGGGGCTGCAGGGAAGGGGTTGTTCCCTTTTCCCAGGATCCCCTGGCGGCTCAACTCATGAATGTGAGGGCTTTTAAGGGTGTTTCCAGGGGAGGAAGCCCAAGCAGTAGGGAGAGCCCTGTGCATGAGCCCCAGGGGGCTGAGAATGTGGGCTGGGCAGTTCCAGAAATCCAGGAAGGGCTGCTGACAACTACATCTGTCATTCCTCAGTCACGTGCAACTGGGGTGGGGAGGGGCGGTGAGGGTTATGGAGTCATCCTGTGGGTGATTCATCCCAGGCCCCCAGGCCAGCAGCTGGGGAGACCCTTCTGGTGCTTTTTTTCAGGCTAGGCTGTAGCTTCCCGAGCTCCATGGCAGGGAGGCAACCTGTTTTCCACTCAGGCTCGATTTGAGCATCTGTCATATATACCTTGAGTGTATGTGGCTGCAGGTCTGAGTGCTCTAAAGAGTTCCCACTTCTGCCCTCTGCCTCCTCCCCTCAGGCTGGCCATGGCAACCTGGGCGCAGGCTGATAAGAGTAGCTCCCTGAGCACTGGCCCAACTGCCTTGAGCGAGCAAGCCTGGGAGAGGGCTGTGACTTGCCATCCGTCTTACTGCCTGAGGAGGGTTGAGTGAGGCCCTTGGCAAAGGGAGATGGAGTGGGTACAGCACACAGCCTAGGGATGGCCTGATGGGGGCAGGGCCAGGGCCTCCCTGTGCCGGGCACTGCTGACCGCTTCTTCACAAGGGTCTTTTGTTCCCTGCACAGGACACACTGAATAATAATTCTCTAGGCAAAAAGCACAGTTGGCAGGATCGGGTGTCTCGATCATCCTCACCCCTGAAGACAGGTGAGTCAAGATCCTTTTCCTGACCTGACCGACCTCATTGCCAAGAGCAGATCTAGCAGTCTCTACTTGGCCCACTGCACCCTGTAGCTGGGGCTGAGGTTAGCTGTGATGAGAGCCAGTTGACTGGCCCCAGAGCCCACCAAGGGAAACTGTTCTGGCTTCTGTGTGGACAGCTGGGAGTGGAGGGATGGGGAGCCAGGGGTTTTGAATGGGGCCTCTGCCCTTAGCCCCGATCTGCCTGTCCTGTAGGGGAGCAGACGCCTCCACGCGAGCATATCTGCCTGAGTGATGAGTTGCCACCCCAGAGCAGCCCTGCCCCCACCAAGGATCGAGGCACCTCGACTGACAGCCCTTGTCGCCGCAGCACTGCCACCCAGATGGCACCTCCAGGTGGCCCCCCTGCTGCCGCACCTGGTGGCCGGGGCCATGCACACCGAGACCGAATCCACTACCAGGCAGACGTGAGGCTGGAGGCCACTGAAGAGATTTACCTGACCCCAGTGCAGAGGCCCCCAGATCCTGCAGAGCCCACCCCCGCCTTCTTGCCACCAGCTGAGAGCCGGATGTCAGTCAGTTCTGACCCTGACCCTGCCGCCTACCCCTCAACTACAGGGCGGCCGCACCCCTCCATCAGTGAGGAAGACGAGGGCTTCGACTGCTTGTCGTCCCCAGAACGTGCTGACCCACCAGGTGGGGGATGGCGGGGCAGTCTGGGAGAGCCACCGCCACCTCCTCGAGCCTCCCTGAGCTCAGACACCAGTGCCCTGTCCTACGACTCAGTCAAGTACACGCTGGTGGTGGACGAGCATGCGCAGCTGGAGCTGGTGAGCCTGCGGCCATGCTTCGGAGACTACAGTGATGAGAGCGACTCAGCCACTGTCTACGACAACTGTGCCTCTGCCTCCTCACCCTACGAGTCGGCCATTGGAGAGGAGTACGAGGAGGCCCCCAGGCCCCGGCCCTCCACCTGCCTGTCGGAGGACTCCACACCCGATGAGCCTGACGTCCACTTCTCCAAGAAGTTCCTGAACGTTTTCATGAGTGGCCGTTCTCGCTCCTCCAGTGAGTCAGCAAGGGGAGGGGGGCAAAAAGCACAGAGAGAGCCCATGAGGGGTTCCTGGGAGGCGGCCTCAGGCCCCTTCTGCTCTGCCTGGGAGTCAGGGCGGCACTCTGCCCGCCCCACACCTCAGTCCAAGCTGAGGCCACTCCTCCAGCCTGCCCTCACCTGCAGGTGCAGAGTCCTTCGGGCTGTTCTCCTGTGTCATCAACGGCGAGGAGCAGGAGCAAACCCATCGAGCCGTATTCAGGTGAGGCCACCCCTCCCTGCCTCTGCCATCGCCGTGGGTGACCAAACTGAACCCCTGCCATGAGCAGGGGCAAGTGTCAGAGCACGGTGATGAAGTACTTAGATGCCATGAGGAAGCCAGGTGCTCTGGGGCCCTGCCTACACATCCAACTCGCACCCCACCTCTCCTCCAGGTGGGGTGCTTGCTTCCCATGGCCTCACTTCCTCTCAGGGCTCTTGGTTCCTGGGTGGAAGATGTACTGTGTCTGAGTGACAAGATCTGACCTAGGAGCCGGCGTGGTGCTAGGCACACACAGTGCTTTGCAAATGTTTATTGAATTAATGGTGCCACTGTGGCTACCCAGCCCCAGGAGGGCCTAGCTGGACAGGCCCTGGTGAAGAATTCCTCACGTGCCCTTGTTGGGGACAGGTTCGTGCCTCGGCATGAAGATGAACTTGAGCTAGAAGTGGACGACCCTCTGCTGGTGGAGCTGCAGGCTGAAGACTATTGGTACGAGGCCTACAACATGCGCACTGGCGCCCGAGGTGTCTTTCCCGCCTACTATGCCATCGAGGTCACCAAGGAGCCCGAGCACATGGCAGGTAATGTCCTTCTCCCTCCTGCTGTCAAAACCCAACTAGCTGCCAGGTGAGCATATGCCCCAGATCTCCACCAGTTGGTGTGGGGGTAGCAGGTGGCAAGTAGAGGTGATTTCAGGTTCATTTCATAGTTGAGAAAAGTGAGGCCCAGCCACGCAGAGACATCTGAGGATCATGGCACCCTCTGCTGGCTGAGTCACTCCACATGCCTCACCCTCCCTCCTTGGGTTGGCTCTGACCCACTCCTGCTGGCTCTGCCACACTTCGCTTCACACTTCTTTCCAGCCCTGGCCAAGAACAGTGACTGGGTGGACCAGTTCCGGGTGAAGTTCCTGGGTTCTGTCCAGGTTCCCTATCACAAGGGCAATGATGTCCTCTGTGCCGCTATGCAAAAGGTACCTGGGCCCATTACCGACATTGTTTATTGGGGAAATGGACACAAGGGTCTAGAGGCGGTAAAAGCCTTATGCCCAGCCCGGGGATAGGTGGGTTGAGTAGAGGAGCAGATGGAGCCTGACGTGGCCCTGTCCCTCACCCAGATTGCCACGACCCGCCGGCTTACCGTGCACTTTAACCCGCCCTCCAGTTGCGTCCTTGAGATCAGCGTGCGGGGCGTGAAGATAGGTGTCAAGGCTGATGATGCCCAGGAGGCCAAGGTGACTTCCCGCTGACTGGCCCCTTCCCTGCCATGCCATGCATTTGCAATGATATGCGAGGATTTCCTGCCCCACCCCGCACACCGCATGACCCTCTGCTTCTCCTTCCTGTAGGGGAATAAGTGTAGCCACTTTTTCCAGCTAAAAAACATCTCTTTCTGTGGATACCATCCAAAGAACAACAAGTAAGTGGGAGAGACAGAGGTTGGGGGGACATTAGGTGGTGGTCAGCCATCATGGATGGGCTGAAGGTCCGAACCCCTGTCCCACAGACATCTGCCTTCCGACAGGTACTTTGGGTTTATCACCAAGCACCCTGCTGACCACCGGTTTGCCTGCCATGTCTTTGTGTCTGAAGACTCCACCAAAGCCCTGGCAGAGTCTGTGGGGTACGTATGTGTGCCTGGGGAGCTTACCCCAGTCTCAGGCCCCTAAGCTGCTTTCTCACGCTCAGTATAACCCCTCAGTCCTCCCCCAGCTGGAAGCCCATCTCCCCCAGTGCAGTGCCTGAAGGGAGCCGGGAGGGCCTAAGGAGCCCAGGCCCTGGCCTAGCTGCTGGCCCTTCCTTTAGCTGCCACCTTCCCCTCAAGGTGGCAGAAGAGCAGAGCTGAGCAAGGGCAACTTAGGAACCAGAGCCCTTTGGGGTCCTGAGGCTCCCACTTGAAAACCCCAGGACAGGTTGAGATATCCGTCCCCTTCACCCGTGTACCCCCTGCCTTCCAGGCGGGCGTTTCAGCAGTTCTACAAGCAGTTTGTGGAGTACACCTGCCCCACTGAAGACATCTACCTGGAGTAGCAGTGCTGCCGCCCTCTGCATCCCCCAGGCTAGTGCCCGAACAGCTGCTACTGATGGGATGTGACACTGTCACCACCAGAGGACAGGAAAGGGGGGCTATTGGCCCAGGGTGGGGGGATGGGTTATGGGGAGAGGCAGATACAGTTTATTGTAATGTACAGGATTAGACTCATCTATGGAGGACAGAGTGGGCTGCCCAGGGATTGGGAGGGGGCAGGGTGCCAGGCCTCTGGCCGTGAAGGAAGCCGTTCTGGGAACAGAGGCTTTATCCAGTTCTGGGCCTTATTTCCCCTGCCAAGGGCCCTGGCTCTTGGCTCCTGCCTTGACAATGCCCATGCCACCTGCAAGTGCCCACCTTACCCCCATCCCTGGCTCCCACCAAGAGCTCTGAGCCCAGCCACCTCCCAAGGACTTTCCAGCAAGGAAATGGCAACAGGTGGCGGTGAAAGTCCCTGTCCTCAGCTGCCATCCATGGGGCCTCTAGATGACTCCCACCTCCAGCTGCACCGGCACACTGGCCCCAGCACTCCTCTGTAGGAGAAGGCTGCAGCAGGCCCTGCCCAGCAGGGAGAGGAGGCCTCCAGACTGGCTCCAGCCAGCCCTACCATGGTCTTGTCACCTGGCCTCAACTATTAAAGTGCCGTTTCCTGTCTGGACCACAATGGGCATATCTACGCGGACCCCTCCCATGGCGTCTTGTTACACCCAGGAAAGCCAAGGCTCTGCCGCACAGAACAGCTTTATGTGGGGTGCCCGTCACAGGTGTGCATCATAGTAATACTCAGCCATGTCTGGCCCGTCCCGCTTGCGCTGTTGGGCCTGGGAGAGGAGGGGTCGAGGTCCTCTCGGCCATGGGTGCTTCGGTAGGACCCCATAGTCTAAAAAGAGAAGAAGGTAAGGTGGAAGGATGAGCTGCTGGTTTGGGACAAGACTGGTCAGCCTTAAAGAGGGTGCCTGGGGTGAGAGACAGGGCTGGTCCTAGGGACCCTCTGGGGCACTGCCGCTGTGTGGGCTGGGGTCAATGGGGAGAGGAAAAATACTACCATCCACCAGGCCAGAAAGTGGCTGCGAGAGTTCCAGAGGGGCTGAAAATTCCTCAGGAATAGACCGCTGGGACCTGCAGGAGATGGAGTATTCAGCTATGGCCCCAGAGGCCACTGCCACCTCCCTGTAAACGGGATGGCCCAGGGTGAGGGACCTGGCAAGCCCTTGACCCCAGAGTAGTGGCCTTCCTCCAGGGAGGGCAGGGCTGCACCACTGCCTTCCAGGCCCTTAAGCCCCTTACCTTAGGGGCTGGGGGCGAAGGAGTGTGACTGCTAGGATGAGGTAAAAGAGGAAGACACTGAGCCCGGCCCTGGGGTACAGAGCCCCCAGCATGGCAAGAACCATCTCCTACACGGTCCCTGCTCTGACTTCTGCCTGCCCCTCCCCCCAGCAGGACAGAACCTGCTGCCAGCTCCCAGGCCACCTCACAAAGCACTTTAGTTCCAAGGCTCAGCAACCACCTACTTTAGGGTGAGGCCAGAAACCTCCACTCTGAGGTTTGTGTTTTGTCTTATTTTACTGACACTGTGGCCAGCAGGTGTCAAACCAAATCTTGTTTCATTGTCACTGCCCCAGGGCTGAGGGCACAGATGTTGGGGTCAGATCTGTTCAGACCCTGCCCTTGCTGCTTGCTACCCTGTTTAATCTCTACGTCAGTTTCCTTATCTGTGAGGTAACATACATGAAGTACCCGAGGTCTGGCACACGTAGGCCCTCAACAGAGATTAGACTCCTCACCACTCAGAGCCCCGACATTGCCACACGGCCCCCACCTGCTAGCATCTCACCCTGGAAGGTTCTGAAGCTACAGAAGCCAGAGTACGTCTCTTAGCCTGGATCACCCAGAGTCCACTGGGCTCCTTGTGTCTCTGTCTGGGGGCCTTTCCCACGTGGCTCCCTACAGCTAGGAACAGTGGATCCAAGGGCTCCACAGGCTCTGCCATAGCCCCTAGGGCTGGATAAAGGGATTCCAAGAGGAGCACAGCTTTGGAGCTGCTCCTTATGGTGAGTGCAGGAGGTCAGTGCATTTTGGCACTGCAGGATCCTAACACCTGAAAGCTCAGGTGTGGAATGAGTGCAGTGTGAGAAGACGTTGGGCGTGGTCCCTCTGTGGGCCTGAGGCAAAGCTATGCTGCCACTGTGAAGGCTCTTCTCTGTTGGGTTCCAGCACTGTGATGCCACAGCCCAGCCTGGCCCATTTACTAATGCCATGCTAACCTGGCTCACTTCTGGCCATGGAAACTGAAACAAAACCCAAGTCCCGCTCTCCATCAGTCTCATCAAGATCTGAGAACTAAGCTTTGGATTTATCCTTGGTAGCTTAGTTGCTTCTGCGACAGCAATCTGGCAGTTGCTCCAACCCTGTGCATTACCTGTTGTTGTGGTCTTCAGGGCTCAAGAGAGATGCCCTGTTTTCCAACCCTGGCTTCTGGTTCCACGTTTCCCCATGAGGAGGACAAGTGCTGGAAATGCCCCTCCCCCTTCCCTGTGCTCCGGGCCACCCGCTAACTTCTCTAGGACCATTTCCCTTTCCCTCCTGGAGGTGCCTCCTCTCCCACAGAATATTTGGGATGCTAACAAACATCCTATGACTCTGTCAGAGTGCCCTGAGTCTCAGGAACTGGAATTTGTACGCTCTAACTCCAAAGCCCCCACTTTTTATGCTCCTTGCCTCCTGGATGTCATCTTGCCTTCCTTATCAAGGGGGGAGGCCTGCTTGGGTTACCCTTGATCTCCCCTTCCACACTGCCACTGGCTTGACTCAGCCTGTCCCATGGAACAGGTAGGTCTTTGTCCCAGTTTCACAGCTTCCACCCTTTGATCTCTGCCCACCAGCCCATTCTCCACAAGCTGCTGGAGTGATTAATGTTTAAAAACAGCCCCTTCCCTGCTGCCTGCCACAGACCAGGGCCTAGTTCCTTGCCTGGAAATGGGATGCCTCATCAGACCTGGCCCTGACCTCCCTCAGCCTTATGATATCTGCTCCAGCCCCAACAACAGTGCTCTACTCTTCCACTGCACTCAGCCGCCTCTGCTACGAAAAACCTTGTGAACACAGGGCTCTGTGGTAGAACCTATGCATGGCATACATGAGGCCCCGGGTTTGATCCCCAGTACTGAAACAACAAAACGACTCACAGTACTGAGTTTCACAGCCTGCTGGAACACTTCGCTGCCTCCATCATCCCCTGTGGGTGGCTCTTGCTTCTGCCATGTGATCCCAGCTGGACTATGCATCCATCTGTCACCAGGACCTCAATGCAGTGTGTACATGTAGGCATCTCACTAGTGTGGGAGCCGGAAGGCAGGGAGCCAGGCCCTGCGTTTCTAACCACAGGCCAGAGCCTAATACAGAGCAAGTACCAAGACACTTGTTAAACTGGGTCAAAGGTCAGACTACTGACCGCCTTTTCCCCTTCCTTGAGACTATAAAGTCGCTCCACAGTGCAGCACCAGCTGGCATTTTTTTTTTTTTTTTTTGAGACGGTCTCATTACTGCAGCCCAGGCTGACCTTGAATCTCAGTTCTCCTGCCTCAGCCTCAGTGCCCAGGTGGCACTTCTCAGAGGCACTTGGGAAAGCATATTCAGACGAAGCTGGTCTATCTCAGAGCAGCTCTCTAGCTGTTCACCTTGGAGAAGGCAGGGCTTAGAGGACACAGGTGCAGACACCCCTCCAGAACCTAAGGGGCCATGGCTACCCAGAAACTCCAGCAGGAGAGGCTGGGCCTTCGACAGGACAAAGGGACAGGGACAACATCAAAGACAGGAAAGTTTAGGCCCACACAGCCCAGGCCCTCTCCCCTCCGCAGCAGCCCGCAACCAGGCTTGCCACCCAAGCTTTCCCCACATTTTCCTGGCTTTCCCTCAGAGCCTTGGGTTCCTCCTTTCTGTCCCAGCTCCAGTGCTACTGGTGCCTGCTGTCCTCTCCCACAGAACGGCTTTACTCCCGAGTCCACGCACAGGTGGGCTGGCTACTTGCCAGCTCTGTCACAGGAGGCTTGAGGCCTGGCCCTGCAGGAGAAGGGCAGAGGCCCTGGTCAAAAGGCACACTGGGTGGTTGGTCATCCATTCTCTGGTTCAACTTGTCTTCACCAGGGCCATTAGAGAAGCATTTGCTACCACAGCTGCCAAAGCAAACAGCTGCTCACACTTGACATGGCCAAGTCACAGCCTTCCGCAGCAAGATGACCATGGATCCTGGCCTGGTGGAGGCTTCCTGGCCCAGTGACAAGGAGCAGGCTGCAGGATGGTGTAGCTAAAGTGAAAAGGGTATTAGGAAGAACACTGGTGGTGACCAGCACATGTGCAGGGCCTGGCTAGGGCAGGAGAGGTGCTGGGTGGAGGGCATGGAGAGACTGTATACGTGGACACTGCCAGAGTCACTTTTATTAAGGATGAGGGGCCCTGAGGACTACAGGGCTGCCCACAGCAGCATAGCATGCCACCCTGCCCCTCCCAGCACCCCACTCCCAGGATGTCTGTCAGCCCCAACTGTAGAAATAAATTTTCTGCCAGGTGGGCAAGTAATCCATGAGTGGCCCTGCAATGAGAGCGAGGAACAAGTCAGGGCCAAGGCCAGTCCTGCTCTGTCCCCACCACAGCCCCTATGGCCCAGTCTAGCTGCTCATACTTGTGCACTGCAGGTGGCCACTGGGTCTCCTCACCCTCTTCCCTAACTAGAAGACAAGGATCCTCAGGCTCAGAGAAGCCAAGACTTGTCCAACTAGTCACCCTCTGCTGGGGTAGGACATCCAAACAGATTGGCAAGTTCCTTCCCTGTCCTAGGAGCCTCCACCAGATGAGATGGTCTTCTATTACCTCAGGACACTGAGGCAGGACAAAGGCTTCCAGGCTGACATGGCCTAACAACTCCCCACCACAGGACACTCTCTTTCCCCCACAACCCCAGCTCCACAGGCCACCCTGGCTCAGGACTCAAAGCCATCACCTGCCCAACACTGAGGGTTGGCTCCCTCCTGACTGTGATACAGAGAGCAAACAGTGAGGTGGGGCCACATGCCATCTGCCACTGGTGACACTCCATAACCACATGCCCCCGCCCATACTTACTCGCCACTAGACCCACACCGGGGATATGATCTGCCAGCAGCTGGAGCAAAAGGAGGATTTTGGCCCTGGATGAAGGTGAGAATTAGGGAGCAGGCTGAGCAGGGATGTGGATGTGGTTCTCTGCAAATGAGGAGCTAAAAGCCTTCACTGATCACCAGATTTTAAGGAGTGCACCCAGACCAGAGCAGACCCCAATACAAAAGGATGAGACCTCTGGATTGGCTCTGGTCTCTGCCTTCCCCCAGTCACATCCTGAGTGCTCAAGGCTCCATGTCCTGTTGGCAGTTTGTGTGCCCTGAAGACACCCTCCTCCCATTCTCCTTTCCCTCTTTCCTCTCTTCCTTTTCCTCCCTTTCACTACTGTGCCATGGACTCAGTGCCAGGGCAGAGTGCCAGAAGGTTCTGAGGGGAGGAAAAGCCTGCCCTGCCCCCAAGAAGCCCCATCTGCAGAAGAGCTGAACCACACAGAAATCTCACATGCCAATGCTGAGAGCCGCAAGGGTCCAGGAGAGGACACAGTGCTGAAGTCACACTGCCTCAGAGGAAGGGGCGAGGGCCTAATTTTTAAGAGACGGGTGTTTCCCGTAGGGAAGCTTGGGGTGGTCAAATGATGATGACTTTAAAAGAAAAACTAAAAGACACAACAGTTAAGGGTTGAGGATTTAGCTCAGTGGTATAATGTTTGCCTAGCGTGTGTGAGGTGCTGGGTCTGATTCCCCCAGCAAGGCCAAAAATACCCAAAAAGACCTAATATTTATGAAGTGCTTACTATATACTGGGCACAACCATATAAATTCAGTCATTTAGCCCTACAACAACTCCCTGAGATAGACACCATCACCACCCCCATGTCACAGATGAGGCAGGGGATGGGGCACAGAGAGCTCATGTAGTTGGCCCAAGGCCAGGGAACAGGAAGGCAGGAAGGCTGGAGACTACTGTGGGGGAAGAGGGTGGGGAGAGGAGCCTGCTCCTTGAAGACTGTGCCACAGAGCCCTCCAGACCTGGCTCCCTGTCCTTTGGGGAAATGAGGAATGTCTGTACCAGATTTCTAGACCATTCTCAATTTGGGCCACAAGGCTGGCCAGGTTAGCAGGAGAGTGAGCCAAAGCGCAGGGCATGCAGTCCTGGAGCCCCCTCTGCTTCTGGAGAAAACATGGACTTGGGACTCACGCTGCCACTGGCTAGCTGGCCATCTCTGTTTCCGTTGCTCAGCCTCTTTGCTGCCCACCTCCTTGCTGTGAGAAGTGGTATAACGCACACTACTTGGCCAGAAGAGGCGGAAATGAGACGGAGGGCAGAGAGCTGGCACCTGCCACTGACTGCCTGGCCTCCCTGCAGTGCCTTCACCCTTGTTGTTCTCCTGCCAACGTGCGCAAGCTCATGCAGGCCCAAGGTGACGAGCAAGGGCTCTAAAGACAGGGTGGCTGCCACTGCTGACCATGTGGCTGCCTCTGGTCTCTTCCTGCGGTGGCCAGCCCCACCCACCCGGTGGCAGCCCTTACTCAGAGAAGCGGTCGTAGAACGGGGAGCGCAGCAGGTAGTACAGCAGCAGGATGGTCCGGCGGCGCAGTTCCAGCCGCTCCCTCCGGGTCAGGCCCTTCCTGTCGCTCAGGAGGCTCAGGCTGGGGGGAGGAGCACCATCAGGGGCAGGCACGATCTGTGCCCATGAGAGAAGACCCGCAGACCAGGAGTCCACGGGGGCAGCCACAGGACCAGCAGGGGCCACTGCCCATCCAGGTGACGCCAATATGGAGCCCTATGAAGGATGTGGAGTCCCCAGGCAGGCCCAGGCTCACCTAGTCACATCTACAACACCTGACAGCAGCCAGGGTGTCCATGACCGCTGACCCCAGAGGCCCAGACTAAGCACTGCCGGCCAAGGTGTCAAGGATGTCTCTAGCACAGGGCTGGGCTCAGCACTCTCCAATCTGCCCCGACCCCCAGCCCACAGAGCCAGCCCCAGCCTGGGCTAAGGAAGGATACGGTGCAGCAGGGGCCGGGTGATATACAAAGACTCTGCAATGGTCTCCTGTAGGCCCAGGGGTGTTGCAGGGGTGTTCAGTTCCTCCTCCTCCTGCTGCTGCTGGGGGGCTCCCCAGTGCCTTGAGTGTAGGGACGGAGCTAGAACACGGATGAGTGAGACAGGCTGGGGAAGGTGGGTGCCAATGAAGCCAGTCCTTCAGGCCCACACTAACCTCAGCACCGAGGTGCCCGGTCCAATGCATCTTCCACTTACTGTTCTGGAGGGTTCGCAGCACTCGGTTTGACCGCTTCCCCACATAGGACTGCACTTGGCTGCCTGGGCTGTGGTCCCCGTCTAGCAGGGACAGACAGAAGGGCACACTGTTAGGAGGACACGTGTCCAGTAGAGCCTGCAAAGGACATGTGTATGATGAAAGGTCAGGAGTTACGGGGAGAATGTGTGAGCTTGTACTAAAGCTGCAGCTAAGTTGAGGGGTCCAACATGGGACCTGTCACGGGGGAAAGCATTCTAGATCCCTCCCTGTCCTGGGGAAAAGTCAGCAGCACCTGTGGCCATAGCCAGCCAAGGACCCAGGCTTCCCAGGGACTACAGCAAGGCAGGGAGGACCTAGCACAGTCACATGCATGGGAACCACAGCACACAGAGGCCACCTCTGGGCAAAGCACTGCCCAGACTCAAGGGGAGGCCAGAGACTGATTGGTGATGGGCCCAAAGCCCTAAAAGGACAGAGATGCCAGGTGCCCTGTCTTTTGAGGCAGTGGCTTGTCACAGAAGCAGGCCCAGAGACCAGGTTGACAGGCCCACAGGTCCCCTCCTGCTCATGCTCTGATCCTCTTCCGCAGCCACAAGAGGAAGAGGACTCTTATATCACAAGTCCAAGTTCAAGCCCGGGGTGTAGCTAAGTAGCAGATCGCTTGCCACAAAAAATACCAACACCACAAAAAAAATGAGGTTCCGAGTTTCTTTTTCTTTCCTACAGAATATATGTTGAGACCACACTGAGCTGATGGAAAGATGTGCTCTTGGGGAAGCAGCTTACCTGGGAGTTGTGCCTGGGTCTCCCTGTCCAGCGGAACAATGGGGGGTGAGGTCTGGAGGCCAGCCTTGAACCAGATCAGCAGGAACATCCGCAGGACAGCCCTGGATTGGGGAGTATGGTAGGACAGGGGAACGTGGCTAGTAAGCAGGTAGCAGGGCTGCTCTGCTGAGCACCATCCTTACAGCTGGCCTGGGCCACCCCACCCAAGTCCTGCCCTCCACAGCCCAACCTACTTGGCCAATTGAATGAGGGCAATGACAAGCCAACGGCCCACTTCGCCCCACACCTTGGTGGCCCCCATCTCCACGAAGACCTCCACGCACTCCAGCACGCTCAGCCATGTCAGCAGCTTCTGCTGGGACAGTGACTGCAAGAAGCCCAGACCAAGAGGTCAGGGAGCGTCCCCAGTCTCAAGCGCTAACCCCCATAGGGAGAGGGCACTTCTGACGAGATGTGGATTTTCACTTTTCCCTTTGCAAGTTGGAACATGAACTCCACCACTAACAGGCTGGTGGCCTGGGGCGGGCTCTTCCACCTCTCTGAAACTCCATCTAGGACGGGAATACTAACACTGGTTTGAGGCTCAGGTGGATGTAGACGCGTCTCATACTCAGTGATGACATGTCGCACACATGCTGGCCAGGGGTATTTCATTCCTGAGTCCCTGTGCTCCCCACCCTCAGCTCTGGCAGAGTTCTCACCACAGGCAACTTTTTCCGAAGCTCCTTCCGTAGGATCCCATCATTGAGCAGCACGAGCAGGTTAGAGGCAGAGTACACTGAGGAGTAGAGTGTGGCCTTGAGAGGCTGGCTCTGGGGCCTCCACCCCTCCTTTCTTCTCCCAGGAGCAGGCATCACCTGTCAAGTGTAGTGCTCAGCCACCCACAGGATATGTGGCAACCAACCTGCTCCTCTGCCCACTTCCTCAGAGCCCCACACTCCTCAGTATGACCTTGTGTGGGCAGTTGGGCCAGTAAGGGGTGCGTCCATCTCAGTGGCAAACCAGTCCCTGCCCCTGGTCACCCCGCTGCTCAGAACTGCCCCTTGTGCTCCAAACAGTCACAGGTATATGGTCCCACATCCTCAACTTTCCCTTCTCTACACCTGTCCCCAAAACCATGTTTAGCTTTCCAAACCCAACTCATTCTTTCAGAACTGTCACCTCTGGCACTCACCGGCCAAACTACTACTGCTAAGAAACTTACAGTGCAGGATCCCGGAATCTGGGCCATCTGGATTTGGATCTTGGTTTTGGAGTCCTCAGTGACTGTCCCTAGCCTCACTGAACTCTGTTCCCTCAACTGAACAGTGAAGACAACCGTGCCCACCTTATTGTGGAGAGGACTGACTGGGAAGAGCAAGGCACAGTGAACCCCATCAAGGTGATGAGACGTGTCTCCCAAGTACGGGGCCAGAAGGGCCCCGGGGCGTGGACAACACAGTGACAGAATGGGCAACCCAGATCCTCACGCCCTCTGGAAGCCCTCCCAGGCCCAGGCCGCCCCACCCCAGCCCAGTGCCCGGCTCACCCAGCTCTGACAGCTCGTGCGAATCGGAGAAGCGACCTGGGGAGAAGGGACAGGAGGTGTCGGGGAGCTGCAGCTCGGGGTCCCCGGACGTCCCCTCCCAACGCCCTGCTGGAACCTAGACGGAACTTCTCAAGCATAGCGATCACTATCCGGAGTCCGCGGGTAAGGGGCCATTGGGGTCATAGGTCAGGACCCCGAAGGGATGGGTCAAAGGTCAGAGTGGCACCTGCGAGCAGGTAACTGAGGCCCCGCACTGCCGTCTCCAGTTGGGCCGTGGCGGCCGGGTGACGAGTCACATACTCCTGGTAGCGGAGGCCCAGGAGCCGCAGCTTCTCCATGCCTCCCTCGGCACCGACAAACCCACACCTCCACAATACGACTGGCTACGGCGCCCTGTTTCCTGCGCCCTCCTTCCTGCTTCCGGTCCTAGGCCCGCCTCACGATTGGTTAACTTCCGTGGGTCAGAAGAATGGTGACGTAAAGAACCTTTGAACCATCCTCCATCCCATCTCTTAAATCTCCTCCCGCTCGGGCAGCGTTGAGCAACTGCGGGTTGCACCCGCCCACCGTACCCCTTCAAGTCATTGGTTAAAATACTCTCCGCCTTCGACTCGCCCCAAGTCTCAGGGACCTGCTCTTCCGCCTTCTTGGTTGGCTGTCCCTGCGCATGCGCAGTTCGAGCTGCGAAAGGCGCAGCTGCAATTCCGCAGCCCCAGTAGTTCATTCCATAGAAGGGAGTGCGAATCTTGAGTCTTTCCAGTAGAGCGCCGAGAGGCTCGAACGGGAATCCCGGATTTTAAAGTGTTGGGGAGGTAGCTCGCGGAAAGGAGCTGCGATCGGCACGCAGAGTCTAAAGACGGGGTGTGTCTCAGCAGGTGCACGTTTGGCCAGTTGTCGGTCTTCAGTCCCCCATAAAAGGTGGTGCTGCTGAAACTGAGACAGCGAAGGAAGCAAGACTCCCAGCGCCGTCTCGTTCCCCTAAGCCAACAGATTTAGTGCCCCGGCTTCCTCAACGACTGCGTTCCCCCTGAACGCACACCGGGACGTCCATCCCTGCCGAGAAAAACCCTGCCCCAGGGTTCTGATCTCGGCTAGGGGTGACCTTGGGCGGGAGCTTCCCTTCTCTGAGCCCCGGATTGCCCGTCTGCAATGTGGTTTGAGGACAGACTTGGTCTTTGAACTCGTTTTCTGACCTTCGGGTGCACCTTCAGGTGCTCCCCAAGGGACAGGGCAACTTCTGGGAACCCCTTCCCAACCCTCGCAGCCCGAAGTGGCGGCGGAGAGCCTCAGCGCGCGCGCAGGCAGAGAAGGGCTCTCCGAAAAGGCAGCTGATTGGCTGTGGGGAAAGGGGCGTGGCATGTCTATGCCATTGGGGACCAGGCCCGCGAATTTACGGTACCCTGGGACTAGTAATACATTACTTTACCTAATCCCCTCCCATCACATATTATCTGCAAGTGAAGAAGAAGGAGTCTGCTAAAGAATGCTCAGACCCGGGCGCTGGTGGTTCACGCCTGTAATCCTAGCTACCAGGAGACAGAGATCAGGAGGATTGCGGTTCGAAGCCAGCTCCTTCAGGTGGTTAGCTGATTCCCAAGGCCTAATCTCAGGAAAAAACCAACACAAAAACAGGGCTGGCTGAGCGGCACAATTGGTAGCACATCGGTTTAGTAGGCGTGAGGCCCTGAGTTCAAACCCACCAAAAGGAAAAAAAAAAAGGTATGCCTAGTCGGTTGTTACATACATGTCTGCAAATGACATATACATGTCTGCAAATGTCATAATGAAACCATTATATAATCTAATTTTTGAAATGCTTGTGTTTTTAAAAAGCATGACCTGTCTTGATTCGAATTCTGGTCTAGCCTAGCATCTTAAAGCATCACATTCACCTGGAAGCCACAGTATTTCCACTCCTCCTCCTCCCTAGTTTTCCTCTATATTCGGTGGGGAATTGGAGCCTCCCACCCTATTCATGCCAGTGAGTGAAGACTCAGGGAGAGGTGTCCTATGACCTCAGAAGAGTCGACAGTTTGAGCATCCAGGAAATAATTTCTCCTTACCTGGATGCCACACTCACTCATCTTCCTTGCAACTTTGCCAGATTGGTAGGAAGTTCTGCTCACACATGGGAAATTAGAGGCCCATGGAGGCAAGGACTTGTCCCAGGTGGCATGAACCAAAATGATCCATGGCAGTGCCTTCTAGCTTACTGCAGAGCCCAGCAAGAACACAGACATGTTGAGGTTCCTTGGTCATGAGGCAAGTTAGCAACTGGGATTAGGACCTGGGCACTGGGCAGTGTGTGGGTTTGTCTTCTTCCATCTCAAGGTCTCAATGAACTTTGGCCACTCCTGCAGCTATGGAGAGAGGGACAGGAGGAGTGGGTGTGGGGAGTGCACGTGCTCATTTCATCAGCACTCACAGATAGGGTGGTCCTTGCTCTGGGGAGGAGGGAGAGGTCTGGAGGACAGAGGAGTACCTTCCCTGGGACAGACTGTGAAGGATCCTGGAGTTGCAACCTGTTTCCCTCCTTGCCATTAGGAAGGTGGGCATGGGCCCAGCCAGGTTGGTAGGGGCATGGCTGCCTGAGTTTCCTCTCTAGATCTGAGCCTGATTAGGCCCCAGAAACAAAGAGTGGCCAGTATGTGCAGGAGACATGCAGGGCACCCCCTCCCTGCTGGACTGGACTGGGCTGGAAAGGCCTCTGGGCAAGTTGGGCTGGATCCTCACTCCTTCAGTCTGTCCCAAGTCACAGAAGAGAGAAAGACCAGTTTAACAGGTACAGATGAAAACACTGGAGGCCCAGAGAAGAGGCCTAACTGGTCCAAGGTCACTCAGCAAAGTCCTGGGTAGAGTTAGGCCAGAGGACCAGCACTCTTCCATATACCCACACTGCAGTCACATCTGCAGATTCAGTGTCCCCACTAACTGCTGCCCCTGCATGAAAGATTTACCTTGGGCCAAGTCCTGGCTGTGTGCCCAACAGACTCTCTCACATGTAACCCACAAATGGCCTCACTGCAGCCTAGAGTTGAGGAAAGGAAGGGCTAGAACTCAAAAGTTCTGGACACCAGGGTGGCCCCTGCACCCCCTACATCTCTCAATTTCCAGATGTACAAGAAGCCATCATCAGTCTCCACAGCCCCCATTACCCCTGGCCTCCAAAAGCCCAAAGGCTTAGCCCCCTCCCCTATTCCCCTGAAAGGCCTAGAAGGAGTCAGCCTCAGGCTACTTTTTCTGCACAGCTGCTGGACATAAGGCAGCTGTGTCTTTTAAGACCCAGCCTGAGCACCTTCCCAGGTCTTGGTGAGGCACTGTGTGCCCACCCATGTTCCACAGGGCCCTTGAGCAGCCTACACACTAGGAGAGAGACAGGCAAAATAAAGAAGCGAACACTTCAACCTCCCAGTAGTACTAGGAAGAAAATAAAGGGATGTGGAGTGAGGCCCTGCATAGAGAAAAGGAAGGTGAGGGGCAAGTCCTGGAGCAGAAAAGTGAGAAAGCTGCTTCTGCACCAGCGAGCCTGGGGAAGGGGCTGTCTGACACGGGAAGGGGCCACAGGGTGTTCTTGTCTAACAAGCTTCTTAAACTGTCCACGGAGAATCATGCCTGTGTCCCCGGATTGATGTGAGGATTAAGGGAGATGACGCTTGTCAAACCCTGAGCACAGGCCCTGGCCCCACAGTGTGTGCCCAACCAACCGTGGCTGTTCTAGTTCCCACTCCAGAAAGCCCAGCACCCCACTAGGCCAGAGGCCTGGCTGGGGCCTGCTGTGGGATGGAGGAGAGAAAGGGAGAGAGGAAGATTCAGGTTGTGGTGCCAGGCACAACCACCACACTCTAAACAGGAGTGGGAGAGGCCCGGTCCTGCGCAGGCAGCAGTGAGGCCCCTCGCTAGCGCATGGACGAGAGGTGGCCTTCAAAAGGATGCTTTGTGTAGGCTGAACCAGGCCTCCGAAAGGCGGCCAGGCAACCAGGATTGAGGGTGGGGGAAGGAAGGAGGCTCCAGGTGCTCTGCGACTCGGGCAGGTCTCAGCAGGCCCCACCTCCTGTCCTCAGAGCTGGTGTCCCCGACCCCTGCGGCCAGACATTCCGGTCCCCTTTCCTCTTTTCCTACGTCGGCTCTTCTTCAGATCCCGAGCCCGGGGTCACCGGCCCCTCCACTTAGGGGAAGGAGATGGGGGATCCCAAAGCCGGGAGGAGGGGGATGGGCTCAGGCGCAGGTAGCGGGGACAGGTCCTTCCTAGGTGGCTCCCTCCGCTCCCGCCAGCTCTCCCCGCGTCTTGGTGGAAAACTCTACCCAGAAAGGGGGCTCCGGGTTCCTCGCCCGCTGCAGGGCCGTCGGATGCGGGGCAGGGGCGGGGCCAGGCCCGGGGGTCTCCCGCCCCTTCGAGCTCAGCCAAGCGGAGGTGAAACCTGAGCCCAGGTTGGGGGCGGGGCTGGCCCGCGCCGCTCCCCGACCGCCCCCCCTCCCCGTGTCCCCGCCTGGGCCGGGGCGGCTGGATCTGCAGGGCTGGGCCGGGAGCCGCTGGAGCAGGTGAGGGCGGCGACTCCGCGCGGGAGAAGTGACCGGGCGGCCGTCGGGTCCCGCCGCCCAGGGCTGACCCTCCAGTTCTCCTCCTTGGTCCGCAGGGTCCGCGATGGAGCCCTCGGCCCCGGGTCGCGCCCCGCCCTGAGCGCCCCGCAGACGGCCATGCTGCCCCGAGGGCGTCCCCGGGCACTGGGGGCCGCCGGGCTGCTGCTGCTGCTGCTGCTGCTTCTGACCGGGTTCTTCCTGCTCGGGGGGTACCCGGAGTGTGAGCGCCGCGAGCCGGGCGGGCGAGCGGGGGTCCCGGGGTGCGCCCGCTGCCCGCTCACGCCACGTGTCCCCTTAGACGGGCAGCTGCGGGAGGCCGCTGCCTACGATGGAGACCCGCCGGCGGGCCACGGGGGCCACAACCGTTCCGCCTGCGCCCCACAGCCGCCGCTGCCGCCCAAGTGCGAGGTAGGTGCGCACGACCCCTAACGACTACCATCCCCGGCCACCTGGACAGCTGTGGGAATCACAGCACCTAGCATCTGGCCGGGCGCTGATCGGCCAGCTGGGGACGCCTGGAGTGCAGGCTTCCTTTGCTCTCGGCCTCAGTTTCCCCACTTGTGAAATGCAGAGGCTGCATCTCCGTACAGTCTTCCCTAGTTCTAATACCAGATGGGGCTACACTGGTCTAGGCCAGGTCTGCTCTAGGCCAGCTGTCTAATGGAGGGAGGGATCTGATGCCAACCTGGATGTCCCCTCCCCAGCTGTTGCACGTGGCCATCGTGTGTGCAGGATATAATTCCAGCCGAGAGGTCGTTACCCTGGTGAAGTCCATGCTCTTCTACAGGTACAGCCAGGTGGCGGTGGAGGGAGGGTCAGGTGCCAGGAGGGAAACAAAGCCTCCAGCAAATCACCTCAGAGCTTCAGTGTCTCCTCCTCCCTTGAAAGGTGGCAGAAGATGGAGAGCATCCACCTCCGAGTCCCTAGGGGTGGGGGTTGCCTCACCTTGTTCCTGCTGGGGTCTCTCATTCCTTTTTGTCCACCCAAAAGGAAAAATCCACTGCACCTCCACCTGGTGACTGATGCCATGGCCAGAAACATTCTGGGGACACTCTTCCGCACGTGGATGGTGCCTGCTGTGGTGGTCAGCTTCTATGATGCTGAGGAGCTCAAGGCAGGAGCCTCCACCTCTGCACTCCTGCCCAGCTGCACCCACCCCTTTCCTTACCCCCGTAGTTAGGGAGGGAGGGAGGAGAGTCTCATACTTAACTGAAACACTCTTTTGGGGTTCAACCCCGCTTCTCACTTTGTCACTCTGTGTTCCTGCACTCCGAGTCCCTACTCCACCAGCTCACACCTGCCTTTCCCGCCCACAGCCCCAAATCTCCTGGATCCCCAACAAGCACTACTCTGGCCTCTATGGGCTGATGAAGTTAGTGCTACCCGGCATCCTGCCTTCCAGCCTGACCCAAGTCATTGTCCTGGACACAGACGTCACCTTCGCCTCAGACATCGCAGAGCTCTGGGCACTCTTTGCTCACTTCTCTGGTGAGAGGTCTGGGACCCTGCCCTAATCATCCCCTCCTTCCCTGCTCACTCAGGACCCCCTATGCTGTAGCCTCACGCTCAGATCCCAGGGCAGCCTCGGCACCTCCCTCATACCCTCCCCTCCCAGACAAGCAGGTGATCGGTCTCGTGGAGAACCAGAGCGACTGGTACCTGGGCAACCTTTGGAAGAACCACAGGCCCTGGCCTGCCTTGGGCCGGGGATTTAACACAGGTGGGGACAGTGGTGGGGGAGGCAGGAGGGTGGGCCGCTGGGCCCCAGGGCTGGGTAAGGCACAGGATGCTAGGAAGCTCCCAGGAAGAATGGTGCCGTGACAGAACACTGGATGAAGAGCCTGAAAGCAGGTCAACTTTGGCTGTACGTGCCGGATAACTGGGCTTTGTCCTTCTGAGCCCGTTTTCTCATCCATTAAATGGGGAGAGCTAACATGGTCCAAGCAGGGGGCTGTGGAGGACTCTGTAAGCTGCACAGTGTGCAGCTCCTCCCCTCTACCCAGGAGCCTTGAGGGATGACAGAAGTAGACCTTGGTTACATCTGAACTATCAGAAAATGCAATCTTGTGTTAACAATGGGGACAGATTCTCAGAAGTGCACCATTAGGCAGAAATACATCATTAGAAAGTTTTGTTGCACAGAGAACACAGAGTGTATTTATACATACCTGTTACACATCTGGGCTACGTGGTACAGCCTGTGTTCTGCACAGAACACTGTAGGCAATTGTAACACAACTGTAGTGTTTATGTATCCAGACACGGGAAAGGTGCAGTAAAAACACTAGGTGACAGGACTTTGAGACCTCTATTGTATATGCAGTCATCTATCACTGATCAAAAATATCACCATGTGGAACACGATCAAGAACTAAACATTCAGCCTGGCATGGTGGTGCACGCCTATTATCCCAGCTACTCCGGAGGCTGAGGCAGGAGGATCACATGTTCAAGGCCAGCCTGGGCAACTTAGTGAGACCCTGTCTCTGTCTCAAGAAACTTTTAGGAGGCATGGCTCACACTGCCTAGCAAGTGTGAAGCCCTGAGTTCAAACCCTAGTACTGAAAAAAAGCAAATCATCATTCAGACGATCGGTTCATGACCGCCCCTAGCTCCAGGAGCATTGTCCCTGGTGAGCTTGGCATCCTCTCCCCATTGGGCAGGTGTGATCCTGCTGCGACTGGACCGGCTCCGACAGGCTGGCTGGGAGCAGATGTGGAAGCCAATAGCAAGACGGGTGCTCCTCACCCTGCCTGCCACCTCCCTGGCTGACCAGGTCTGGGGGAACCTTTGTGGGGATGGGGGTGGCAGGCTGGGTACTGAGCGTGATGGCTGTCTCTGCCCAGGATATCTTCAATGCCGTCATCAAGGAGCACCCAGGGCTGGTGCAGCCCCTGCCCTGTGTCTGGAACGTGCAGCTTTCGGACCACACGCTGGCTGAGCGCTGCTACTCTGAGACTGCTGACTTTAAGGTAAGTGGGGCAGGGGCTGAGAGGGGACAAAGTGGTGGGGGGGAAGGGCAAGGATGGGGACTCTTGCTCCTTGTTCCCACCCTTCTATTGACAGCCTTCTGCGTCCCAGGTGATCCACTGGAACTCACCAAAGAAGCTGCGGGTGAAGAATAAGCATGCCGAATTCTTCCGCAACTTGTACTTGACCTTCCTGGGGTACGATGGGAAGCTGCTACGCAGAGAGCTCTTTGGGTGCCCCAGCCAGCTGCCACCTGGGGCTGAGCAGGTGAGGAAGGCCACCTTCTCTTGTGTCTGGGTGGCCCTGCTTCTCTCTGCTCTGGTGGGAGCCAGCCTTGGTTGGGGAACATGTCCTGTGCCAGCCCTGGTATTTCTCTCCTGGATCCCACTCAGCTGCAAGGGGCCCTGGCACACCTTGATGAGGAAGACCCCTGCTTTGAGTTCCGGCAGCAGCAACTCACTGTGCACCGAGTGCACATTACTTTCCTGCCCCATGAGCCGCCACCTCCCCGGCCTCACGATGTCACCCTGGTGGCCCAGCTCTCCATGGACCGGTGAGGGAGCCAAGGGCAGTCCCAGGGAGCATGGCGTGGGCTGAGACTGGGGATTTTGGCGCTGAGTGTTTCATGTGATAGTCTGATGCTGGGGCAGTGAGCTGCCTGTCCTGGAGAGTTCCGGAAGTTGGAGACTCTGGATATTGTGGAAAGAAGTGTGGGCTTTGCAGTTATCCAGCTGCCTAGAACTGCCCAAGTAGCCGTGGAACTGGGGACAGGTCCTAATACCTCAGGCCCCAGTGTCCCCCCCATCTGTCAGAAGAGGAAGCTCCTGCCTGATGGCTGGTTGTGAACATTGAGACTGACTCAAAAGTGCTTAGAAAGAGTTCAGTCACTTGGTGGGAGGTGGACAGTGGGGGGAGCGGGTTGGAGTTTGCCATCATGGCTAACTTTGGGAAGGTTTTCCAACCCTCTTTGGGCTCCTGTGCAAGAGGGGCCCTGAGCTGGGCTGACCACCCCCCTCACCCCAGGCTGCAGATGCTGGAGGTCCTGTGCAGGCACTGGCCAGGTCCCATGAGCCTGGCCTTGTACCTGACAGACGCAGAGGCCCAGCAGTTCCTGCATTTCGTCGAGGCCTCGCCGGTGCTTTCTGCCCGGCAGGACGTGGCCTACCACGTGGTGTACCGTGAGGGTCCCCTCTACCCTGTCAACCAGCTCCGCAATGTAGCCTTGGCCCAGGCCCTCACGCCCTATGTCTTTCTCAGTGACATTGACTTCCTGCCTGCCTACTCCCTCTACGACTACCTCAGGTGGGCCCAGAAGGTGTGAGAGGAGCAATGCTTGGGGTGGATGCTGTCAGGATTGGTGCACCTAGAGGACCTTAGGCTGCCATGTCCCTGCTCCTTTCGGGAACTCTGTGTCCTCTGCAAAATGGGCTGTTTCTCCGGGCTGCCATTGAGGCAGGAGACCTGCTTCAAACAGCAGCTGCATGTGTGTCTGGCATTCACTTGGGGCCCCAGGGTTAGCTGTCCTTTGAAAAGCAGGCCTGTGACCGAGCCAGGAGACCCCTGGGCCCAGCCCTATAGGCAGAGTGCACTCTTCCCTGTGGTTCACAGTGCTCCTTCTCAGGGCCTCCATCGAGCAGCTGGAGCCGGGCAGCCGGCAGAAGGCGGCTCTGGTGGTGCCCGCGTTCGAGACCCTGCACTACCGCTTCAGCTTTCCCAGCTCCAAGGCCGAGCTGCTGGCCCTGCTGGACGCCGGCTTGCTCTACACCTTCAGGTAGGAGAGGCCACTGCTCTGCCCATTGTTCCCGCATCAGCCCCCAGCCCATGAGTTACCAGTCTCAGCCCAGCTCCCGCCTGCTCCTGCTGCACAGGCACCACGAGTGGCCCCGGGGTCATGTACCCACCGACTACGCCCGCTGGCGGGAGGCTCGGGTGCCATACCGCGTGCAATGGGCAGCTGACTATGAGCCCTACGTGGTGGTGCCTCGTGACTGTCCCCGCTACGACCCTCGCTTTGTGGGCTTTGGCTGGAACAAGGTGGCACACATCGTGGAGCTGGATGCGCAGGTGAGAAAGGTGCCTGTGTGCACCAGCTTTGAACGAATCCCCGCAGGTCAGATCTGCATTTGCCACTGGGCCACATCGTGAGGCAGTACTAAGTGTGCCCTTTGGTGTCACCTAGTCTCTTAGAGGGTTGCTGAGCAGACCTCCCCACAGCTTTGGCCTGTCCCAGCCAGCCCAGCCTGGCCCTCTGCTAACCCTTGCAGGAATATGAGCTGCTGGTACTGCCTGAAGCCTTCACCATCCACCTGCCCCACGCTCCAAGCCTCGACCTCTCCCGTTTCCGTGCCAGTCCTGCCTACCGAGACTGCCTCCAGGCTCTCAAGGAGGAGTTCCACCAGGACCTGTCCCGCCATTATGGGGCTGCTGCCCTTAAATACCTCACTGCCCTGCAGCAGCCCCAGAGTCCAGCCTGAGCCTCCCAGGTTGGACCTGCGTGGACTCCCTGGACTTCGGCCTTGGCTCTCACACACACTCCCAGCAGACCCTGGAGCACCCTTGCAGCCCACTACCCTCCCACATTGCTATTTAAATTATTTAAAGTCTCTGGAAAGGGCTGGATGGTGCACTAGAGGACCCTGGGTCCTTCCCCACTCCCCTGCCCCCACTGCTGTTCCACAGCTGGGGTCTAGCCTCCGTTTGCCCCAGCTGGCTTGGGGCTGGTTCCCCATCCTCAACTATCCATCCCTTTTTCATAAATTTTTTTTAAAGCTCTCTTTGTGTTCCTCCTGCTTTGGGAATCCAGGGCTTTCTAGGGCCCGAGGATGTCAGTGGACACCAGAGGTGCTCCTCTGGCTGGAGTTGCAGGATGACCTCGGTATAGTTCAGCTGGTTCCCTCCCAAAGACTGGGAATCTGGGACGGCAGAGGCTTGAACCAGAGTGTCTTGCCCACCTTCCCCTGTTCCCATCCCAACACCATGAGGCTGAGAGACTTTATTTGGCTTTATTTAGTAAAATGTTAAAATAAATAAATACAAATTGATCAGCTGCTCTGTATTCCCCCCACCCCCTCAAAACAAAAACCAAACAAACAAAAACAAAAACTTTGAAGCACAAAACTCCAAATACAAGTTCTACCAAGACTGAAATCACAGAAGGGCATGGACAAGAGACAGGACTGGGGTCTGGCTGACTCTCCTCTGCTTGGAGCCCGCTGACCTCTACCTGCCCGTCCTGCCGCCTGACTGCAGCTCACCTGGGCTGAGAGCCGAGGACATGGAGAGAGGTGCAGGGGCCAAGGCTGCCATGGGGGTTGGTGGGGTCCTCAGGAAGAGCTTGGGAGAGGGTTGCCAAGTGTGATTTGTGAGCGGGCCTCCCTCTAGAGAGCTACTTTTGAGAGTCCCATCCTGGCTTTTTGCAGGGGTGACCCTAGCCTAGGAGAGGCGCTGACAGGACAGATTGTTAAGTCAGATGAGAATGGGACTCTTGTTTCCTGCCAAGGGTGCCCAGCTGAGGGGTGGGGTGAGGTCCAGTCATTTACAAAGAGCAAAGCTGCCTGCCTTCAACAGAAGCCACGAGATCTGGAGGGCACAGGGCCTAGACAGTTTTTCTGGGCCACCATCAATCCTACTCCCCTAGGAGCCTTCTGCCCCTGGGGTGAAAGTCTCCTAAATTCAGCCCTTTAGGTAAGTTAAGAAGGACCACACCCGAGAAGGAGCTGAAGGGAAAGACCACTTAAAGTGTGAGCTGGGGCTGGTGATGAGACAAGGAGGCTTGGGTAGCCCCAAGAAAGGATCAGAGTGACAGAGAGGCTGTTGCCATGTACAGAAATGGGAGACCTGGAAACATGACCACCCTGGGGCAGGGCTGGACACATGTGCACCCTTCTCACCACCTGTTGGGCCTGAGCCAAGAAGCATAGGGGACAGAGAGGTGGCCATGCAGGGAAACTGGGCACTGAGATGGGACCAGCTGGCAGTTGCCCAGGCCACATTGCAGGTGCTAGAGACAGGCCCCACACAGGTCAGGCCCGCCAGGGACTGTCCCTGTGTCTTCCCGGTCAGGTCTTACCAGCAGGCTTGCCCCAAGGGCCTGGCAAGGAAGGAAGAAATGAGAGAGGATGAGTTCAGTGGAGTGAGACAAGACCCAGCAGGCTCACAGAAAGAAACAGGCCCTAGAGGTTCAAGAATGCAAAGGGTGGGGATGAAAGCTGATGACCTCACTGCTTCTGGTGGCCCTATATATCCCTGATCAGGACTGACAAAGGGACTCCTGATCCAGGACCCTCTGAAGTAACTGCAGCGCCAGCTGGTCTCACAAATGTGGCCTTCAAAACAGCAAAACCGGGCAGAGGATAGAGGAAGGAGGAAGTGGAGGCACCTCAGAGGGGTGGTGTTTGGAGTATGTGTCTTAGGTGGTCACAGATACCCACAGATCTAGGGGGGACAAGGAGGAGCTCTTATCTCTGCAGGACTTGGGGAAAGCAGATGGGGTGACCAGGGCTGTTTCTTTATAGTAAAGCAGTGGCTGTGGAATTTGAGCCAGGAATGGAGGCTTGGGGCAGACTGCATTCTGTATGCCACCCAGCTGACTCACAATGCAGCTCAAACCTGAACTTCAGGAAGAAGGTACATGACACTGCTCAAAAGCAGAGAAAACACAGTAGCTAACTCCAGGCAGCTCTTCTGGGGCAAAGACATCTAGTGATGATGGCTTCCCAACCTCTTTCCAGAAATGGTAGGTGTTGTGTGGCAATCCCCAGCTTGTGGGTCCAGACAAGTCCAATGGGAGAGCTGAGACAAGTGCATCTGATCCTCCGCCAATGATTTCCCCAACAAGTCCAGGCATCTCCAAAGCTCCCTGACTAGACGTAGCACCTTGGTTTCTCAATGAGAAAAGGGGGCTGTTCCATGTCCCCCTCACCAGTCCATAGCCAGGGCCTGTGAGACCTGTGAGCCAAACTGAATTTCGTCTTCTGACACCTTGGGAAGATGAATGAAGAGGCTGCCATGGACGAGCCTCATTTCCTCTAAGAACCTCCTGTGCTGCACTTGCAGGCCAACCTTTGTCTCTCTGGGCCTAACTGAGCAAGGGAGAAGCTAAGAGGCCTTTCTTGCTGCTCCTAGACTTTGGCCATTACAGGGCCTGGGCAGGCTCCAGAGAGATGCTGCCACTTGGCCAAGGTGCAGAGTCCCAGCCTCCATCCCTTCAGCCAGGGACATGCACTTGACAAAGGTCTCCAACGTGAGCACAGCATCTCACCAATTTACTTCCTTCATGGCTTGACGGGAGAGATGATCAGAGCCTTTGAGAACCCTGGTTTTAACAAGAAGGAAAGGGCAAAATGGGCCAAGCCAAGGTAAGCCCTCGATTCTAGCCCAGGAAACTGTATGGGTGGGTAGAGTGGGGAATTCTGATTTTGTAGCCTGGAGCCAGCAGTCAAAGAAAATGGCTGGAGTTTCGGACCTCTCTTGAAAGGCAAGACAGACAAGAAGGCCGTGCGGACTCTTAAGAGACACTGTACTTTCAAGACATCATCTCCTTCCTCCTTTGTTCTGATGCAGCCAGCTTGCACACCACACATCCTCCCCAAGGTCAGGTGCCCATTCGGATGAACCTCAAGTCTCACTAGCTGGTCCCCTCAGAGGCACCCCCAAGCACTCATAATGCTGGTGGCTGAAAGACCGAGAGCAGCACCAAAGGAAAGGATCTTATTTAGGCACCAGCCTTTGCTCTAGCAAGATCTGAGGAGACCATGGGTAGGGCCCTGACACCACACACACTCCATCTGGGCTTCAAAAACTGTAGATGAGATCCCTGTACTGAGAAGAGAGCGCAGTCTGCTGTGAAAGGAGGAAGCGGGGAGAGCCCCGGCCCTTAGTGGAGACTGGCCACCAGTCTAGAGACATAGACACACCAAAGCGTCTTCATGATCAGCAGGCTCTGCGCTAAAAATTATAACTACACGCCATTTTCTCCAGTTCTGACACCTTTTTAATAGAAATCACTGTTTTTAGGAAACAAATAGCACTTTCGTAATTTTTTTTTTACAATGTTTCTTACCTTGATCTTAATTTAAGTAACACTAGGAAGACCTCAATATCTTTTATTTTTTTTTAATTTAAAAAAAAGTTGTTGTTTTTTTCCCCAGATACAAAGATTTTTTTTTTTTTGCCCTTGCATAAAAAAACAGTGCCCAAACGATGACACAAGGACTCACAAAGACTCACTGGACCTCACTGACACTATGACTCCTATTCTACCATGCAAGGTCTCACTACCCTTAATTGGACTGTCAGCCTGAAAAACAGCTTTTCTATTCCTTATTTTAGTTTTTGTTACCAAAATGTAAAATAAACAACAAAATAAAACTTTGTTTAAAGAAAAGAACAAAATGAAATTAAAAAAAGAAAAGGAGACTTCTCCATTCAGTTCACACACACCTGGGTCGCACTGCTTCGCTCAGAACCTTCTCTTCTTATAAATATAGGAAAGGGATGGAGCTTCTTTTCAAGTAGAATCACCAATCTACCTTTTTCCTTCCTGGACCACACACACCCCCTCTTCCCTGCCTCTGCAAGGCCAGCAGGGTCCAGCTTGCCTTGTTCTCCAAGAGGGAGGGACTAGGGGACCACCGCAGATGAGCGATGCATCAAGAAGGGGAAAGGACTGCCTGAGGCTGCGGGAGGGAAGCGGGCACCCGCGGCAGGAGCGAGCTGGGGAGAAGAACCTAGTGGCTGCTCTTGGTGTCCATCTCTCCTTGCACTAGTCCCCCACCCCCCAGACAATAGTAAATACTGCTTATGTGATAAACCTTCCCACCCCTTGCTCCCTCCCAGCCCTCCCCTTCCCTTTTCTGGGCACTAGGGTTGGTTAAATCTCGATTTCCTTTTTTGGTTTTATAGTAGTGAGAGTTTAGAAACAGGAAAGCCCACACGCTCTTTGGACTTGTCTTCTCTACCTAAACAAACGGCTCGGCAAATAAGGATCTGAAACCTGCTTTCCTCCCTCCACCCGTCCCTGCTCCCCACCCAACAAAACAAAAACAAACCCATCGTGGCTGTGGAGGCTGCTGCAGGCACACACTGGTGTATAATAGAGAGAGTAAATATATTAGTTCACTTGGCATGGCGCTGGCAAAGAACCTCCAGCTGGCACTATTTCATGTAACACGGTCCAATCTTTGCCTGTACACACAGAATAAGAAGGATCAATTGGCAAACTCGGGTGCCACCTGGCACAAGCATCTTCTCTCTCTCTGGAACCAAAGAACCAAAAGAATTCTGTACTTTCCAGAAGAAATCCGGCTTTGCTTTGCTAGAGTCTTCAGTGTTTTGTCTCCTTGCCGCCGGGATCCCGTGGCTTCTCCTTGAGGGCTCTGTTATTTAGTCTCTTCCCCCTGGTTACAGTTCGCTGTGCAGCTCTGGGAGGAGGGGGAAGGGGCCGGCGTGGAGGAGGCGACATTGGCAGGGGGGGTGCAGTCCGGGCCATTGGAGATGGCCCCCACAGTGGCCTCAGAGTCTACAGGTTTGGAGAGGTCGATCCCGTGGATGAGGCGAATCAGCTGTTTTACCTTCTCCAAGGAGCTGTGCATCTCCTTCTGCCGGGCGAGGATGGTGTTCTTCATTTCCATGCATTTCTACAGCAAATAAGAAGGGTGGGAACACTGAGCCTCTTGCTTTTCTAACAGCCCCAGAGGGGAGGAGGCCCCTCCATAAAAGAACCCCTGTTGGACAGTGTGCAGCTCCTAGAATCAGTCCTGTTCTACCTGGTGTAGGCGGCTACTACCCAAAGAAAGGGGGCACAAGAGGCAAGAGAAGGAGGAAGTGAATGGGCTAAAAGCCCACAGTACTGGACACTAGCATGTAAAACCAAACTTGCATTACCACTGTAACACTATAAATAAAAGCCATGGGAAGCAAAGTTTCCACAGCTACCCTGAAACTGGCTTGGGCAGGTATTGGGATGGTCCCCCATGCTATGGGGAGGGGTGGTGGGGTAGGGGGGTGGGGCAGGTCTTTAGGACTGGACAGAGCTCTAACTGGGTTCAACTTGAGAATCTGCAGAGGATCATTTGCTCAGTAAGAATTTAGAGGCAGGGTCTGGGTGGGTCAGTAATGTTTAGGAAACCTAAGACAGCTCAAGGCCAGAGGACTGTAGCTAACAGAACCCCTCCTGTATGGTCACTGACTTGCGGTTTTTTGCCCTTTTGCCCTCAGCCTCTCACAGCTCCTGGCTTCTGCTTTAGGCAGAGAAAGAGATGCTAAATCTGCATGGTACACGTAGGTACTGTGAGGAGAAGGCAGCTGAGTAGGACAGCTCAACTGCCACCAAGTCTACAGCAGCAGTTGGTATCAGTGAGAGCCAAGGCCACTGTACTCCAACAAGGGCAACCTACTCAATGAAAAAGAAATCTTGCTCCTGCTGGGAAGGGCTGTGTCCCATAGTATACAACCCTCCTGCCATGTGGACAGGCAGGGCTCACAGTCCTATTACTGTCTAGAAACCTTCTTGCTCCCATTGGTCAGGAAAACAGAAACACAATCAGCATGGGGTGGAAAAAGGGAGTGAGGGAAGAGTCACGTGGACGGACCCACTAGATCAGGCGACAGAGTCACACAAGGGGACCTATGTCTGCCCAGGGTTAGGTGAGGTTCTACATTTTTCCCAATAACTCAGGAGTGCACACGGGTGATGCTACTCTGCTACAGCTGCTATTTCATCCCTGCAGCCTGGAGACTGAAAACCTGCTCACATTAAAGCCAGGAGGAGGCTTTGGGACTTGGATAAGGCACATGTAGCGCTTGGCCACTACACCTGGAAGGCAAACTTCACACCTGCCCAAGTTGATCACGTTAATAAAACACAAGGCCCGGAGCTGGCATCTGGGTCCACAGGTGTTGGTATGACTATGAAAGGGTCTACATTTAGGTCTGTGTCTAACCACTGAAAGCAGGAGATTGACTTACACTTATAGAATTGCTGAGTTGTTTCACCTTCTGCTCTAATTGTTCTCGTTCCTGTTTTAAATCTGAACTCCATTTAAGTAATTTCTGTTTCTCTTCTTCTTTTGCTGAAAAAAAAAAAAAAAAAAGAAAAAGAAAAAGGAATGGTCCTTAACAATAAGTTCTTTGGAAAGACTGCAGTGCTTAGAATGTTTGCCAAAGCAGATAATCTCTCCAAAGTGCCCCGAGTCCCACAGCCCAGGCACAGAACCTGCCCACTTTTCCTTATTCCAGGTCCATGAAAATCACCCATGGTTTGGGCTGGGTTTTATATGCGTTAAGACACCACACTTTTCATTTTTCCTTCCTAAGAGGTGGTACATATACTGTCTACTTCATTCAATAGACGGTTTTCATTTTTAGCTTTTCCTTTGAAAACAAAACAAATATTGCTTTCCAATCTTTTTTTCTAAGGCAGACCTTATCGAAAATGGATGTGGGTAAACTTTACCTGCTTTGTATGCAATATAGGAATGGACAATTGCTAAAGTCCCAGGCCATGGAATTGCTTCTTCTTTCTTCAGCATCTGAAAAGAATTTTAGAATTTTACCTTGAGAGGTCATCTCCGGGTAACAGCAAGCACCAATGCCTGTGGCTACTGACAGACAAACTCCAAGAAGGGCTTTTGGGAGCAGTATTGCAAGATCCTAGCCTACAGCTTCTGGACTACAAAGTTCCAAATATCAGTGTGGAAGAATGAGGTCCAGAGGCGTCAAAAGCCAAGGCACTTGTAGCCAGGCTTAGAAAGAGGCTGGGAGCTGGGTGGGTTTTCCACACCCACATGCCTCCCACTCCCAACAGTTAGAACCATCTGCCAAAAGTTGCACATCAGCATGGTGGCATTACCACAGCAGTAATTTTTCTTGACCTGACACAGGCTACCTGACTCAATTTCAGCTTTATAGATCCTTCAAGGACATCTTCACCAAGGCAATTAAATATCAGCTCCAAATTCTGCAGTATAACCTCGGTCTTCTGTCGATTACTGGAGGGTCATAAAGCAGATTCAGGAAGAAAACAGAAAGAGGACGGATGTCCTCCTTTACTGGAGACAGTGGGAATGAGACCAAAATTAAATGGGGAAACCAAGCCAGGTGTGTGGCAAATGCCTGTAATTCCAGTGCTCAGGAGGATGAGGCAGGAGGATTATGAGTTCAAGGCCAGCATGGATTACAACAAGAGACCCTGTCTCAAAAAACTAAGGGCTGGGATATACCTCAGTGGCAGAGTGCTTGCTTAGCATGTGCCCGGCTCTGGGATTGATCCTTAGAATGGAAAAAATAGATAAAGGGGAAACGAGAATTCTCTCAAATCAGGAACTGAGCAGGATCTCTACTTTTGCTAAGCTACTGGACTAATTTATTATTTATATTTGCCTATTTCCAAAAACTCTGAGACAGCTTATGACAACATAGTTTACAAAGACATAAAGATATATGCATAGCTGAAAAAAAGAGACCAAGAACCAAACAGAAAAGGGGAGAGGCAGCTAGGACAATTAACTAGTATGTATGCCTTTACGTCTATGAAATAGCAAGACAGTTTACAGTTAGTTCTCTGAGCTTGAGGACAACAGAACTTAAAAGTGAAATAGTTGTTATTTGAATTAATCAATTGGGCACTTTCCTTTAAGGATTTTATTACAACAAATAAAACCATATACTGAGCTGGGTATGGTAGTGCATGCCTGTAATCCTAGCACTCTGGAGGCCAAGGCAGGAGGACTGTGAATTCAAGGCCAGCTTGGGCTACATAGTGAGTTCTAGGCTAGCCTAAGTTATACAGTGAGACCCTGTCTCAAACAAAACAATACAAAATAAAAAAATCCCAATATACTCAATTTAGACCATTGTTAGAGAATAAGGCAGAATGAATTTTTGAGGGTCTTGACTTTTTAAGAACAGACAAGTCATTTCAGACAGAAGGAAGCAGTTAAGGTCTCTCCACTTCAGGCAGTATGATGGCTGCGCCAGAAACAGGAAGGTGTGGCTTGGAGCGGCATGAGCAGGAAAAGAGAATCCCACTTCCCAGGATTACAGAAGGAATTCCTGGGGTACTGGCCTTTCTCATCACAGACCCGCATCCATCAGGCTCGCACAGTACCTGGTCCTGACATCTGGGACAGATCCACATGCCCTTGGGGATCGTTTTTAGAGGTGGGTCTAAGCAGTCCAGATGATACACACGGGAACATGTGTCGCACATCAGCAACTGGCCACTTTTTCTGCAAACGCTGCAAAAATCTTCATGGATATCACCCTATGAAATTGAGAGGAAAGGTAAGAAAAAGGACAAAAAGGTAAAAATTTGAATGTTAACATGTACATTATGAATGCATATATATGCTTTAGGACAGTTAGCTGCCATGGCACAGTGACTTGCCCTCCAACACATTAGTGTTCAAAGAAAGTATGAACTGCCAAGGGCATACGCCTTCACCTGCTCCATACAGCCCAGGTTCCTCAAGGTGGGTGGAGGCATGGTTCTTAACTTTAAATGAGAGCCTACCAGAAAGCTCTGTAGCTGTCTGGGTCAAAATTAATCGTACAGGTGATGGCTCAGCATTTATTATATTTTAGTAAAAGCCCAACCCACACATCAGAAATTTTACAAGTACTGATATCCATTCATCAAAGTGTCTCACAATATGATACAAACACTCCTTGTTACCTATCATTTGGTAGAGGTAGGGGACAGGTATAGAAGGACTGGGAAAGACGGACAGGAAATGAAAGATTTGCTAAACTCCTTGCTTAATTGGGGGAAAAATGCAGCAACAGTCCAAATGGGAAAAGACTGAGTCAGGAGCAAATTGAACTCATATAAGCTTTCTAACATGAAGGATTTCGGAAGCCAAAGCAGCAGCTGACAATGGTGTTAAAATCAGTACTTGGCATTTGCTGTTCGATGGACTATTCTACTCTATTCTACTCTACTCTACTCTACTCTGCTCTATTCTGGGAGGCTTTATTCCTCCCTATTAAATACTTCTCCAGGTGGAAAAAGTCAAGCAGCCCCAGTCCACTCTGCCACCCTCCATCATGAGAGTTTTAGTACTCAGGTAAGTCGGCTGGAGCCCTCTGAACAAAGAGTACCATCAGAAAAAAAAAGCAGATCTATTTAAAACTTGGAGAGAACACAGAGGAAAAAAACAGAGTTCTTAAAGAGGTATCTTGCAGCAAGTCAATCCCTAGCCTGTTCTCTAGACAGGATTAAAACTGCTGATAATGCCAGGACACCAAGGAAGGGAAAAGACTGAAGGGACAAGCCAGAGGTTATTCAGCAAGTCAATACAATGTGCTGCTTTAAGATTTCTTGAGAACTTTTATGCAGGAAGCAATGATACAGAGAGGAACATTCAGCTCCCTCCTATGATATAACACACTTCTACCACCACAACAGTGAAAGAACACATCTTCATGGATATACATTCTCTCTCTAAAGGAAAGGACATGTTCTGTAACTCACTAGGGATCTGGCAAACTAGACAAAAGCTCTACGGTACAATGTAGTGTGGACAGATTTTAATTTTTTTCTTTTTAATAAGAAAATGCTATTTTGGGACAATAAAAGATACTCATTACATGTGTGAAAATATTACATGAGAATGTAGCCTAAGAGTTTAACTTCCGGGCCCCAAATAGGTTTCATCCCTGGATCAACAGCGACTTTCTTCTTTCATTCTTTTTTTTTCCTGTTTGCACCATGGATTTTCTTTTCTTTTTTTTTTTTCTTTAATTTTTATTTTATTCATATGTGCATACAATGTTTGGATCATTTCTCTCCCCACCTTCCCCCACTCCCTCCCTTACCCCCCCCTTACCCCTCGATACCCGGCAGAAACTATTTTGCCCTTATTATCTCTAATTTTGTTGAAGAGAGAGTATAAGCAGTAATAGAAAGGAACACGGGTTTTTGCTGGTTGAGATAAGGATAGCTATACAGGGAGTTGACTCACATTGATTTCCTGTGCATGTGTGTTATCTTCTAGGTTAATTCTTCTTGATCTAACCTTTTTTCTAGTTCCTGGTCCCCTTCTCCTATTGGCCTCAGTTGCTTTAAAGTATCTGCTTTAGTTTCTCTGCGTTGAGGGCAACAAAAATGCTATCTAGTTTTTTAGGCGTCTTACCTATCCTCATACCTCCCTTGTGTGCTCTCGCTTTATCATGTGATCAAAGCCCAATCCCCTTGTTGTGTTTGCCCTTGATCTAATGTGCACATATGAGGGAGAACATACGATTTTTGGTCTTTTGGGCCAGGCTAACTTCTTTCATTCTTAAAATAGGATAAGGGGTACTTTTTCTTCTCTGGAGAGCTAGTCTTTTTTTTTTTCTTGGCAGGGTTTGAACTCAGGGCCTCACGCTTGCTAGGCAGGCACTCTACCATTTGAACCACTCCACCAGCCCAGAGAACTAGTCTTTCTTGAACCTTAGCTTCAGGTTGTAAGTTTGCATCTTTCAGAAGTTTATAAAAATGTATGGTTTTAAGACTGTTTTACATGAACCATAGAAAGTCATCCGTGGTAGAAGTGAAGTGAGATGAACTGACACCTTTTTCAGAGGGATTGGGGGAGTAAGAGTTCTGTTCACTTTCCTTCACTCCCAATTAAGGAGAACAACAAGAAGGGGAGGCAGGGGGCACAGAAAACAAGAGCCAAAGGTTTTCTTTCAGTTTCTAAAGGGAAGAAAATTTCCTGGCCTGTTTACAAATCCAAAAGCAGTAGCTCCTAATATTTTCAGTGTCAGGATTCTTTAACATACTTAAAATTACTGAGAAACTCGACTTTTGGTTATGTGAATTGTATCTATTGCTATTATTGTATTAGAAGCTTTAAAACTTTTAACTCTGAAATAATCCCTGTGGAAAGTTATAAAAATAGTACGCTGAGAAATTTCCAAGTAGAAATTTAAATCACAAGTTTGCTTCCTACAGGCTGTCCCATCACACGTGTCCAGGGAATGGAAATGGCAGAGAGCGCTGCAGCATTTTCATGGAGAGTTTTGATTTTATAATCCCCCGAGGTTCAGGGACTCCAAAGCACGTTTTGAGAACTTCTGCCCGGTAAAAATGAAATAAAACGCCAAAATGTTTCATCCATACAGAGTAGGTTCTTTGCCTAAGGAGAGTAAAGGAAGTCTCACGAAGGCCCTTACAAGGGGTCAGGAGGCTTAGCTTCGGTGACTAATCAAATTATTATCAGAACAAAACGGTAAGCTGAAAGATGTCTGGCCCATGGTTCTTTACTAGGAAATAAGAACATGTTTTCAGGATACATGCTGGTTCTGTCAACTGCAACTTCACTGTGTGCTAAAAAGTTTTATAATTGTGTCAACATATCTTCCTTTCTTATAAAAATGATGATAACAACAAACAAGGCACATCCTGAGGATCGGTGTCTGGCTGGGTCTTGTATTACCAAGTCCTTCTAGATGGTTATTGATCCCCAGGAAATGCTTGGCTCTCAACAGTTACTGTTTAATTAATGCTGTTGAGGCTACACTACCCAGCAGCAAACATCCAGAGCTCTGCGTGCTGATTTTAATCACCACTGCTGTTGGGATACTGTAAAAGTAAAAGTCAATTATCTTTGAAAAAAAAATCAATTCCACTCGGTTTAACTTAGGAAGTTCTGAGCATGTTCAGGGACTTTAGAAAAGTTTTATTTTATCTTCACAGTTCTAAAAAAACCAATGTTTGCATTTTAAGATGAAATCTGGCAGAGCTTTTAGTTCATGATTTGATCTGAGTGGATCCTTTGGGTCTAAGTCTCCAAAGAAAACTATAAACCCTGCCAACTCCAAAAACCTAACTACAGCAACATGGTTTAGGAAAGAGACCGACAAGGTCACCTATCCCCCAGCACTTGTGTACAATTCAGAGAGAATACTACCAAGGTTTGATCCCTTCGGCCACACTTGAACTGGAGAGAAGATGGCACAAATTTTGGTGCCAGAAAATGAGGTTTCTGCCAGGGACTCCTGGTGCTCATTAACCGCAGGTTAGAAGACCTATAACAACTACTAATGCCGAGTTAGGAAAGCTGGATGAGATGCTAAACCTTCAGAGCCAGGATGACATAGCCTATAGTCATAGGCTATGTCTAGCTATATTCTGACTCTGTCAGAGACCAGAACTCTTCAATGACTCCCACCTCTCCAAAGGTAATATTCCCTTTGCTGCCTCTGGAATTTGACTCAGAATGTTCATATGGTATTCTCTTAGGGATAGGTATGTCTTTAGAAAGTTCTGAAAACCTTCAAGTTCAAGGAATTTTTTATCTAAAATAGTCAACAAGCTCTGCAATTCATAAAAGAATGGAAAATGAACAAAATGAAATTACTGGTTTCTCTCTTCAAACCTATTTTTCTCATAATCTTCGGTAAACAGCAGCTTCATCCTTCTGGTTGTTCAGGCCATAAATTTTAGATTTACCCTTAATTATCCTCATTTTCTCATACCTCATTTAAGAATCCTGCTGGCTCCTCAAAATATATGCAGACCTGACTGCTTTTCTCCACCTCTACTTCTACCACCCCTTCAGCCCAGACATCATCTCTTGCTCGGACAAATGCCACAGCCTTCTCACCAGCCTTTCTGTTTCCATCCCACTGGTCCCAAAGTTCTCTCTCCATACTCCAGGCACGGTGCTCCTTAAATCAAGTCTGATTTTACTAACACCTTAAAATACTCAATACAGGCAAGAATCATCAAAGGAGACTAGAATTATTGGGTAAGAGTCTGGTGGGAAACTGGGTGTTTACCATTTACACAGATTCAAAGTTGTCGCCCAACCAGAGGGAGAACAGACCTTACAAGAAAACAACTCCATAGATGAAGACGATCTCAAGGAATTAAAATTAACACTGCCAACAACAGGACAGACTGGCATCGCCTGCTTCCTGCTGTGAAGTATTAAGGAACCCCCCCACATCACTTAGTGTTCCAAAGAGATGCCTGTTTGAATCAATTCTGTGGGAACAATCACAATCCAAATGCACAAATGCACAAGCACTCTACATAGCAACTAGCCTATTTTAAAAAATACCAATACTATGAAAGACAAAAAATAGGCTAAGAAACCGTTTCAGAATAATAATGGTATTACTAAAGAGGTAATACCATGACAGTAAGACTATCAAGAGTAATCTTGGATTGGATCCGAGAGCAGGAAAAACAAAGTCAAAGCGTCACAAAGTATCATAATTAACTGGGGGTGTGGCTCAAGTGGTAGAATGTCTGCCTAGCAAGTGCAAGGCCCTGAGTTCAAACTCCAGTAACTGCTCCCCCCCAACAAAAAAGTCACAATTATTAGGACAACTGGAGAAATCTGATATGAACTGTGTATTATATTCTAACATTTTATCCATGTTAAATGCTCTCTGTTTGATAAACAGATGATGACTATATAAAAATATTTTTGTTTGTAGGAGATATACACTGAAGCTTACAATTTCTTAACTGGCTCAGAAAAAAAAAGAGAAGAGTGTGTGTGCCTGTGTGTAGGGGGAGAAACGAAGGTGGCAAAATGTTAACAACTGGTGAATGTAGGTGAAGGGTATATATTTGCTCATTATACTTATGATTTTTTGGGGGCTTGAAATTTTTATAATTGGAAAATTATGTCATTCCTTTACTTAAAACCCTCCAGTAGGCTCCCATTTTACTTAGAATAACAGTCACAAAGCCCTGTATGAGTAGCCCTCCCACCTCTAGGGTCTTACCTCACACTGCTCTGGCCCCACGTCTTTTGCTCCAACTATCCTGGCCTTCATTTGTTTCTTTCTTTCAATATGCCATGCCCGTGCCTACCTCAGCCACGGTTTTGCACTGCTGCTCCCTCTGCATGAAAAACAATGCTCTTCTTCCAGAGGCTCCCATGGTTCACTCCTTCACTTTCTATCAGAGTGGCACTCTCTAGTGACTTACATTATCTATTCCATTTGTCTTCTTCATCACACTAATCACTAATTGACAGATTATATGTTCATTTAGTTATAATCTACCTCTTCCCATGGAATATGATGAGCTCCTTGAGGGCAAGGAGTTGATTTTATTACTTGCTCTACCCCTAGCTTCAAGAACAGCACTTGCCTAGCAGAGTGGTGCTAAATTATCTGCTGAGCGAACTGACTGCTTTGTAAATGCTCATTTAAACAAATCAGAGCACAAGTTCACAATCCTGCAGTGTCTGGGTGAAGTGCTACTAAGTATCTGACTCTTTTTCAGGACCCTGTTTCTGATCAACTCTGTTAAATAAAGTTGCTCTACAGAACACTTCCACTTCTGGAATTGTGCTTGAGGCTGCTTTGTTCATGTCCCCACCCCAAAACACTGATGACAGAAACCTCTCAATCATGAGGTGACTTTTCACACCATTTCTCTTCTAAGAACTCATCCACAGTGGATCAAATTCAGACTCTGAAGACCCTAATCCCTGGTGCTATGTCGACATGATTGTCAAGGACATGGTAGGCCTGGGACCCCAGAAGAGGTCTATCTGATGTGGCACGCAAGGCATTCTGCAGGGTTTACTGCTGCTCCAGGGCTAGTTGAGAAGGTGTAAGTTGGCAAGGAGACAACACAGGACAACGGCTTTCCCAAGGTTGGCTCTCAGAAAGAGAGTGTACTTCCCCAGGTTACTTACGTCTGTGGAGGTGGGGCTGGGCAGGGACACAGGCTGCACAGGTGCAGGGAAAGTGAATGAGGTCTCTGTCTTTTCATTTTCAGGGGAGTCGGGATGACTGGATGGGGGGGATGTTGGGGTAAGGGCTCCAAACCCCAGCACTGCATTGTATTTTGGAGGACGACCTATATACCAAGAGAAGGGAACAAAAGGAAAAAAAGGGGAGGGAAAGAGAGGGGGGGGAAACGATCTTACATACCTTTGGCCAGTGTTCCTCATTGGCTAGCATGGAAAAGGAAGTGAGGTAGCAGACAGAAGGTTAATACAACAGTCCCAAGGAAGGAAGAGAAGCAAAGATTTAAACGTCATTAGAAAAACTACAAGAATCCCAAAAGAAGGGAGAAGAGTGCCTTGGAGAATGACAGAAGGTGCTGCTGGCTTATATAAAAACACCCCACCTTAGGCAGATTATGGTACCATTCCTGGACTATTACAACTTGAGAGATTTCTTGTGCAAGAACCAAGATGTCAAAGTCCAATGGGAGCCTAAGGCCAGAACAGAATTTATTTTTTCATCCCTTTTACATATTGTTCACTGAGGTTTGTTTCTCTGTAATTATCACTCTTATGGCAATGTTCTTCAGTTCCCACAAATGGATTTATTTAGCAGCTCTACTTTTTTCCATTTATTTCCTATCTACCTTTTGCAAAGTGAGGAGGCAAAATCCAAGTCAACTATTCTCACCCCGGTTGTTAGAGCACTGAGAGAGGTGTTCTGGGAGTAGGTGGAATGCCAGTAACAAGATGTTCTCGGTTTAATAATTAATTTAAGTATTTCTAGTCCCAAATACCCTTCTCAGTAGATTAAGAGCTGTCTTCCTGTTTTACAACATGAACAGTCTGGTGAACTCATGTCTAAGAGGTGGGGGGCTCTTCTAAGTCTCAGCAAAGACCCTGACAATAGCACTTTTGACTGAGAATCCTGATTTGAGGCAGAGCACTTTGAATCAAACTCATTCTACAAGGAATCTACAAATGAACCCCAGGGGTACAGGAAGTATAGTGCAGTCACTCTTATCACACATCTAAGTCAGGATCCTTATCTTCCAAGAGCCAGGGTCACAGCTTCTAAACTGTGAGTGATCATGAATATAAACTCAACATTCCAAAGAGGAGAAAAAAGAGCCAGAGAGGTGCAGACTGCCTACAAGCACTGGTGAACAGTGTATTCAGAACCGTGACTGTCAGTGGTTATAGTTTATACTAGGATTACGCACAAGAGTCATGATTCTGTCAGACATGACAGTAATATTACCTGTGTTAAACTGGCAATGTCTGTAGGATACAGACAAATCACACTGGTTTGTCTTTTCTAGGGAATTTAGTGCTGTGAGGAGGAAAAGCAAGATGAACTCTTTGTTTACCCTCAGAAGGCACATCTCAGGCAATGTGAATGCAAGCTTTTATCCTCTGACCTTGGCAAGAGATACCAAGGTCTTCCTGGCTCATTTAACCCCTGTCCTCTTAGCAGATACTGTCTACCAGCAGGCCAACTAATTGTGGCCTCTGACTGGGGGCTTCTTATCTGCCTCACAGGTCACTAAAAAATAGCTGAACACAAAACAACAAAAAATAACTTAGGGCACTCTTTACTGTAGGGCCAGAACAAATATAAAGCAGTAATTTAGGGGTTCTCATCTAAATATTTTTAGTTACCTGAAGGACAGGACTGATGAAATGTGACAGGTCACTAAGAGTAGGTATGGTATCTTCTTTGGGGGAAGGGGAAAGTAATGGTATAGTTGTTGTCCTGCTTAAGGTGGACAAAGGGTCTGGATGACCTCTGAAGCTTCACTGGAAGCTCTGAGATTGTGTGTACACATGCAAAACTTAGTATGCTAATCCACTCTGCAACCTTTCCAGCTTGGAACTGTAACTCAGGGACACATTGCCATGTGGAGAAAGGGACCTTGGGATGTATTACTGACATCAAAGAACGATTTCAGTACCTTGTTTATGAGCTCCAACCTGAGCTATTAAGACCTATTTAGGCTTGTACAGAGATGCTGCTGCTGCAGCTGCTGCTGGCTTTTCTGCCCTACCTAAGACTAAGGTGGATGCCCATGGATGGTCTGGAAGCTGGGAATAAAACTCTTTAGAAGAGTCTGCTTTGGGGAGCTTGTTTTGACAGTGCACTTTGCTCCCTTGACTGGAGATGTGTTCTCCTCCTTCCTGGAAAGTCTATGCTCACAGAAACATAGTCACGTTTCTACCCTCACTGGCAGCAGCATGGCCAAGACACTATTAGGAACACTTTGGCAACAGCAGTGCTTGAGCTGCTTCACCATGCTAAAACACTTCCTTTCACATGATGTTCTGCTCACTGAACTGTTCACGGATGGCCTGGAAGGCTTAGGGCAGAAATGCTGTTTTAAGTCATCTGCCTGAGTCAGCTTAGCCAGGAACCAGGAAAGTGAGCTTTTGATTTCACATTCAAAACTCTAATAAGAAATCTCTTTCTCTCTTTCTCACCCTGTTCCCAGAGAACAACAAAATTATTTTCAAGGGATAGAAGAGCCAGATTCTATGATGACGGGAGGAGGGAGGGAGAAGAAACACAACACAAAAGCAAAAGCAATAGCAAGGCAGGGATATAAAAAGATACTCACCTCTCTTCCGGGTCCCAGGATGCATTGTGCTGTTTAGGTATGTGACTGCACTCTTCTTACGCTTTGAGGATTAAAGAAGGAAGAGGACTGGCTGAAAAGCAGGGTTATTACTAACACGAGCACAACACGCCTATCATATGCCAACTAGTTAGTCTAATCATACCAAGGTCTCAATGCTAAAGGGTTTTATTACATGTATCTGGTTCTCAGAGAATATTCCAGAAAGGTTTGCCTCTGCTTCAGATGACAGTATAGTGAAGTCAAGATGAATTAAAGTCTTAAGGTAGGTTTGTATGTGCTCAAACTTAGAAAAAAACCTAAGGGGAAGGGTAAGTAGTGAATAATAAAAATTCAAAAATGTGTTACGCAGAGAAAATCCAGCATGTCACAGAGCTGGTCAAGTACAATCAGGGTACTGCTCTTAAGCAGGCTTTCAGATGACAGGTGCTAAACAAGTGAATAAAACAGGAACTGGGAGGGAAGGGGCATTGCTGGCTAGGAGTACCTCTGGCTCAAAGACTGCGCCACTGTACACTGGATTTGCTGTTGTTCTTCTTTTTCGCTCTTGTCTCTTGCTTTGGATTTCTTGGGAAGAGAAAAGGCTTAGATTAGAAGACAAATATGAAGAACTTAAAAAACTAAATTTCTCTATTTTATGTACTGGTTTTCCTGTAACGAATCAGAAACAGGGAAAAGTCTGCCTCACTGCCGCTTCAACAGAAGCAAGCACACCACTTAAAGGCAAATATGGAGGACTCACTACTCTCACCTCTCAGAAAGCAAGACCACACTGTCCCATGGTGCAGCTCTCTATGACTGAGGGTTCACAGTAGTCTACACTTAGAAACAAGCTGACCTGATTTGTTTTTAGACTGCTGTGTACAGAGGTCTGGATGGACTTTCTCCATAGACCAGTAATCAAAGTTCACCATTTTTAAATTAAATAACCAGGACAGGCGTAATTTTTCTAACAGTCCGTAAGATTTCGACAACCCAGAATGACTACAAAATACAGACAAGGGCTTGTCAGCGGAGCTCTTGCTACTTCATGCTGTCAGAATGAGAAAGACTCTACAGGGAACAGAAGTCACCTTAATTCAGCAGCTGGGGAGGTTTGCCTAGGATAGGAGTGTAGACGATGTTAGGAAGGGAAGGACCTGAACATTATACAGAGGACAAGCAATTTTTCCTCTAAAGGAAATAAAGTCCACACTGGTTGAATCATCCTCTATTTGTGTTCCAATGTTCTATTCTAGGAATTCAACACCATTTTCAGGAACAAAGCTGTGCACCAGAAAGAAAGCAGTGCCAAGAATATCTTCTCTTACCTTCTAGATGGTCATGCGTTACCAACCCTAGAGACACCATGAAGGCAAGTTTCTGTGCCAGAGAAACAAAAGAAACATGTACTTCAGTTTGGATTCTCACAAAGCCAATCATAGGTTCCAAGCTAGATACCAGGGAAAGCTGGCCCAATAGGCTGGCCATTTGATGGAAGCTGGATTCAGAGGAACCAAGAGCAGGTGGCTTCCCTTCTGGACAGTTCCAGAGATCCCCTAGAGATTCTCTAGTCCAACAGGGCTGAAAGAGAATAATGGGGGCCTACGTCTTCCATTATTTCAATGTCACAAATCAACATCTTAAGTGACTGTTTTTTTCTTTTCCTTCTTCAGAAGAATCCTCTTAAAGAGAATTTCATACTAAAAAAACTGCAGGATTTCAAAAGACTACCATACAACAAGTTCCAAATTCCAAACGTTCACTTATCATGAGTAGGTTGAGGTTTCTCACTTGTTTACTGTCACTGACTAGACAATGCTAACTCAAAACTATTGATTTTTAGGAATGACAGCAGATGATTCTGTTTTAAAACTATGATTTTCAATCAAGCCTGGACCTAAATATCATGGAGCAATTTCTCCTAAGACTACCCTGAGGGCTCCATCAGAAGCAAGGATGATTAGGGTACTGCACCCCAAAGATGGAATGTTAAGATACTTCAAGCTGGAAAGAGCAACAGATTGCCATTCTTTTCTTGTTTGGTTGCAGAATGAAAAATGTCTTCACCTTCTGTTGTACCACTGCTCATGGTTTCTAAATGAGACAAATTTCCTTCTCTAATGAATAAAGAATATCATCAATTGTTAGGAGATACACTTCTGTAGTTATTAATACTATAGTATAATCTTTAAAATATATATATTTTTTGAGACAGGGCCTTATTTTGTAGTTTCGGCTGGTCTAGAATGTGCAATCCTTCTGTCTCAGCCTCCCGAGTGCTGGGATGACAGACAGGTGGTGCCATCATGTTAAAAATCTTGACATCTTACCCTCAGCATTAAATATTATGATACTTGGGTGTGAAGCAACAGATTCAGCCTATTCAAGATATACTCCATGAGTAGACCACTTGAGAACACAGAATGTTCATTAGTATCTTCAGTGTTCTTATTTGAAAAACTTAGGTGGTAGCACACACGAGGCCCTGGATTTGATCCCTGGCACAGAAGAAAAAGAAAAAGAAAAAACAACCCAACAACAAAACCCTACAAAAATTTGATGGGTACTTGTCCCCATGCTAGGCAAAACACACTGGGGCAGGAAAGGCAGTCTTGGTTGTACTACCTGTTATCTAATACTGCATATTGGAATGACACACAATCTGTGGCTGCCAATCCACCATCATTCCTAATTTGCACTGTTCCTTTACAGTATAATCAAGATGAAGGCTGTTCACCAATGTTCTCTGTAAATAAAGCAGCCTCTTTTAATCAAGTAACAGCACCCTTCTTGGCCATGCAGCTCATCTTTGCCAGTCTAGATCAAGTTCATAAAATAATTATTAAATGAAAAAAAATCTCCTGTCTTATGGAAGAGATTTTCAGTGACAACCAGAAAAAAGAAGTTGTCAAGAAACTTTGCTTCACATAAATCCCACTTATGCCAAACAGCTGATTTACTCTCAATTTGGTATGATCCTGTTCAACTAGGTGACATATATGCTGCTACCAGGACGGCACCTACTTGCCCACAGTGTGTGGCACTGACGTGGGATATCCTCCTGTGTCTTTTAATAGGAAATCGTGCCAATAGTCTGCTTTCTTTTTCCTCCACCAAGCATGATACTTGTTATTAATTCTGTGGATGATTTTTTTGTTTCTTAGTAATTTGTATAATTAATATTTCTTTTTGGTTCAAGTTTTGATCCCTTCTTTAAATATACAATTTAAAATTCATTTTTTATCAGAAAGAATTATATTTGGTACTTGTTTTAGAAAAACCTGGACTAGCTCAATAAATCTTGCTTTTTTATATAAAAGAAATGACATGAAGCTTTGACGGCTTCATGCCACTACTTGACATGGTTTCATTACAAAGAATACACTGAGGACAGAGGGAAATGGATTACTGGTCTAATAAAAATCCAACTATCAGATATTCACCATATTACCTGTCCACATTTTTATTTTATAGCTCTGTGCAAAAGCATCAAACTAAAATATTCTCTTGTCTACAGACATACAGATGGATTCATATTCTATAGTTGTACCAGTCTTATTTTCTATTTGTATTTATAGTTTTATCCTAAGTTGTAGTATTACTATTTTCATTCTTACTTTTATGCTTCAATGAACACTTTCAAGCTACTGAGGTTTGGGGTTCTGATGCAATAAAATTGTGTTAACAAAACTGCAAAGTTAGCAACTATAATCAATAATGCAAACACACATTAGCTGAATGAACTGGACATCTTACAAATGCTGTCTGAGATAAACAGAATGTAACCATTACTAGGAATGTAACAGAATGCCTGGGGAATTATCATTACTCTTACATTTCAAATTTGTAAGATGTATATGAAATACATCATTTCAAAAAACTTTTCCTTTGAAATAACAAAATGTGTACATGACAGTGCACAGACCCACACTCTACATCAGTTCAACCTGACTTGGCAATAACACTTGAATAAAAGACAGAACAATACAAGGGACATAGAGTGATTCAGAAAGCAGACATCTAGTTGGGTGGGAGGAGAATGCCTGTAATCCCAGCCACTGGGGAGGTACAGTTATGAGGATCACAGCCTGGGCAGAAGTGTGAGACCCTATATGAAGAATAAAATAGAAGCACAAGGTCTGGGGCAAGGCTCAAGTGGTAAAGTGCTTGTCTTGCAAGCTTAAGGTCTTGAGTTCCATCTCCATTGCTACCAAACAAACAAACAGACAAGTATCCATCCCATACGTGAGAACAAACCACAAATCACAGACCAAGCCATGCCTTTGGAAAGATGGGCCTACCTGAGGGTTCTCTTCCCGTTTTGGCTTAGGTGCAGCAGGTGGGGTGATGGTACGGCTCTCTGTTTGTTTCTCATCTGTTTCTGTGTGGGATTTAACTGTCTAGAAGAGAAAAATTAAATGAAAATTCAGAAATCTTTTTTTTATTAAAAGAATGAAAATAAACAGCAGTTTTAACTATGGCCAAGAATAAAGAAAAGAACATACTTAAATGTGGAACCTATTAATAGAGGAATTTGTATCATGGATTTTGTTGGGGGGAGTAAAATGGAAAGCCTCAGATGAAGATACTAGATTGCACAACTGGAATAAATATGATTCTATAAATACAATTGTCCAAATTATATAAAATGAAAAATTCATGGTATAATTCCTGTGTATAAGGAAGTAAAGGTTGCGCTCTCTGATTGCAATATATCATAGGATATGGGGGTTTTCCCAGAAATAAGGTCACTGTCATTATATATGGGTCAGGCTCTAGTTCACAGCATACTTAATATTGGAATGATACTGAAAACATCTTCTTCAGCGTAATTCAAATCACAATCCAGAGAGACTATAGAATGACCCTTACTCAGGATATTTAAAGCCTGCCTGCATTATCCATTAGAGGAGAGACGTGATGCCAAAGAAGGGCCATCCTGCAAGAGGCTGAGGCCCCGATTACTTCCAACCTCCTCTTCTAAAGCATCCACTTAAACATAAAAGACACCAGCTCCATTACTATCTCCAAATACAAATGGTAGCAAGCATATTGGCTTGCATTACTTTGTTTACCACAATCTAATGGCTAATTCATTTTATGAAGTTCTGAAAATACCGAAGTGATTTTAGAACAGTGGATATAAAACTATAAATACAAATCTAATTTACTTTTTCAAAGCTGATAAAAATTATATGGATGGTATTTCCCTATGGTAACCAGATGTAATTAAATAAGAATGAAATGATCTGATTATTAATGGGCAGGAGCCAAGTGTAAGACTTCAAGCCTATGAAAAGAACACCAAAAGTTCTAAAAAATCATAATGCTGGAAACATTTGACTAAATCTGAAAAACTAACATTATTACAATGACACTTCACTTTCTTTCCCTCTGCTTTCCACAATATATTAGTAAAGTATAAGCTCTGTCAATATGTGGCAACTATTGCTCTGGGGCATGAATGCTGCCTTGTCATTTTTTTTCCAACCAGAATCCTGTCATATGTCTTCCTCCATAAGATACTTGAGGGTGGGGATTACTTCATACATCCCTTGTTTTTGCACCTCTTTGTGCCTAAAGAGTAGCTCATGTTTGCAGATAGTAAATAAAGAGTTCATCGATCTTCTGAGTAAGGAGATGACATACCAGGAGGATTGTTCACAATGCCTCTGCAGAAGGGCCTACCACTCCAGCTCACTGAGCTTTAATAATCCTTCACTCAGATATCTCTCTCAGTCAAGAAGAACACACTATCTGAGTGTTAGATAAAGAATACCAAAAAGCATCCAAACAAACTGAAGTATCAGAGGATGACGTCCTCGCATGGATCCTTGCTGTGGGGAAGCCAGCTGCCATGTTGTGAGCAGCATTATGAAGAGGCCCAAGTGGTGAGGAACTAAGCCTCTTACGTACAACCAGTGAACAAGTGAGGCATGCTTCAAATCATGTGACTGAGCTTGGAAGTAAACTACCCAGATCCAGTTAAGCCTTAGATGACAGTAGTCATGGCCAACTAATTTGATTGCAAACTTGTGAGGGACTCTGAGCCAAACTACCCAGCTACATTACAGACCAGAGGGCAGTGGGATGGCCATATTTAAAGTAAGGAGGAAAACAAAATAAAACAACATAATCAACTAAGAACTCTAAGAACTACTACAAAACTATTTTTCAAAATAAAGGAGAAATGAAGACATTCCCAGATAAACAAAAGCTGAAGACACTCAGTGCTAGTGTACCTGTCTTAAAAGAAATGCTATGGGGCATTCATAATGAAATGAAAGATACTAGACAGTAACTTGAAACCATATGGAGAAATAAGAACTCTGGTAAAGGCAACTACTCAGGCAAAAATAAGAGCCAGTATATATATATATGGTAGTTTTGATTTGTAACTGCTCATTTTGTTTCCTACATAAAACACAAATACACAAAACAATAATTTTAAATCCGTATTAATAGGCACATAACATATAAAGATATAATTTGTGACAGTAACAACAGGATACGGGGGTGGGTAGTAACAGAGTTTTTGTATATTACTGAAGCTAATTTGGGATCAGTTCAAGCCAAACTGTTTAAAAATTTATGAATGTAAAGTAACCATTAAGAAAATAAAATATGTGCGAAAGGACATGAAGACATGAAAATGGTCTACCAGAAAAAGATCAAACATGAAGGTAATACTGGAAGAACTAAGGAACAGAAAAGACCTAAGACAGGCAAAATAAAATAGCAAAATGGCCTAAGCCCTTATCAGTAATCACCTCAAATCTGAGTTAAACTCACCAGTAAAAGGCAGAGTGATAGAATGGATAAAATACATGTTCTAACAATAAGCTGTCTCCTAAAGCATCATTTTAAAATGAAAGGTGCAAAGGGTTGAAAGTGAAAAGTTGAAAAGAGATAGTATATGTAAATAGCAACCAAAAGGGTGCAGGGACAGATATACTACCATCAGACAAGTTTGACCCCAAGTCAAAAATATTTACAAGAGACACAGAAAGTTATTATATGGGGTCAGAAAAATCAATGTGAAAAGAAGATACAACAGAGTCCCAGAATATATGAAGCAAATATTCAAGAAGTAACAGAGAAATTGACCATTCCACAATAATAGTTGGAGATTTCAATACCCTACTTTAAATGATGAATATAGCATGCAGGCAGAAGATTAGTAAGGATGCAAAGTATTTGAACAATACTATAAACCAATTAGACCTGACAGACATATAAAATACACTCCACTCAACAACATTACACTTTTTCTCAAGTGTACATTGAACATTCTCCTGGATAAACCATATTTTAAGATACAAAACAAGTGGGGCGCTGGTGGCTTACGCCCGTAATCCAGCTACTAGGGAGGCTGAGATCAAGAGGATTGCAGTTGGAGGTCAGCCCAGGCAAATAGTCTGAGAGACCCCATATCCAAAATAACCAGAGCACAGTAGACAGGAGGTGTGGCTCAAGAAGTAGAGCCACAAGGACATGTGCTATGCAAGCACAAAGCCATGAGTTCAAACCCGAGTCTCACCAAAATAAAACAAACCACAATAAATTTAAAGAGATTGAAACCATACAAAGTATCTTTTGTGACCACATGGATAGAAGCTAGAACTCAGTGACAGACAGAAAATTGGAAAATCCAAAAGAATGTGGAAATTAAACAATACAGATTTCACCAAAGCATCAAAGAAGAAATCACTAGGGCAATTAGAAAATCTTTGAGAAAAGTGAGAACAAAACCACAACACACTAAAACTTACATGGTATAGTAAAAGCAAGTGAAGAGGAACATTTTTAGCTATCAGTAAGTCTGTATTGACAAAGAAGACCTCAAATCAATCACCTAACTTTAATAACTGAAAAAAAAAAAAAAAACCTAAGTCCAAAGCTAGCAGAAGGAAGAAAATAATAAAGATTGGAGTGTAGATAAATGAAATAAAGAACAATGAAAAATACAAAACCACAAGTTGATTCCTTGAAAAGATAATAAAATTTAAAAACATTTGGTTAGACCTAAGGAAAGAAGACATAACAACTAAAATAAAATGTGAAAGTAGGATACTATTATTGATCTCAACAGTAGTAAAAAAGGATTTTTAAGAGAACACAGTGAATAACTGTATGCCAACAAATTAGGTGACACTGGTGGAAATGGACTAATTTCTATAAACACTCACATTACCAAAACTGACCAAACATGAGATAGAAAACTAAATAGGCATATAACAACTAGAGATTGAAAAAACAAACAGAAATTACTGGATCAGATGGCTTCATTATCAATTCCACCAAACAGTTAAAGAAGAGCTAGTACCAATCCACCTCAACTCTTCCAAAAAACCAAAATCTTTTAATTCATTCTATGAGGCTAGCATTACTCTTGATACCAAAGCCAGACAAATATACCAGAAGAACAGACCAATTTTCATTATGAATATAGCTATAGAAGTCCTCAACAAAATACTAGCAAACTGAATCTAACAGCATTAGAAGAATGGCACACCATGACAAAGTTGATTTACATAGGAATGGAAGAGAAGTTTGATGTAAGAAAATAAGTGTAACGTGCCACATGAACGGAATCAAGGAAAACACTTTATCATCTCAACTGGTACAGAAAAAGCACTTGTTAAAATCCAGGGGCTGGGGCCAGGTATGGTAGTGCACCCCTGGAATTCCAGCTAGCTACTTGGGAAGTAGAGGTAGGAAGATTGTATCTGAGGTCAGCCCAGAGAAAGTTAGCATGAGATCCTGTCTGAAAAACAAACTAAATGCAAAAGGACTCAGGTGTGGCTCAAGTGGTAGAATGCCTGCATGAAGCAAGGAAGAAAAATCCAGGGAGGGGATGGGGGCAGGAGGGAGAAATGACCCAAGCCTTGTGTGCACATACGAATAATAAAATAAAAAAAGAAAAAAGAAAAATCCAATACCCCACCATATACATACAACAGACAACTACATGAGCAGAAGAAGAATATGTTAGCTTGACTATAGTAATCATTTCATTATTTATATCAAACCATTTTGGTATATATCTTCAATATGTACAATTTTAATTTATTATTTTTGTTGTTTCATTAAGTAGCACAGGCTGACTTCAAAATCATGATCCTCCTGCCTCTGCCTCTTGAGTGCTAGACTTACAAATGTGTTCTCTAACATACCCAGCTACAAATTTGTGTGTGTGTGTGTGTGTGTGTGGTACTAGGAATTGAACTCAGGGCTTCATGCTTGCTGGGCAGGCACTAGTCACTTGACTGGCTACAGTTTTTATTAAAAAAAAATGTAGGGTTGGGGATATAGTTCAGTAGTGTGTACAAAGTCCTGGGTTTAATCTTCAATAACACGAAGGAAAAAAAAAATCTAAAATCTACTTAAGATAAAGAAA